TGGCTGTTTTATAATTCATAATTTTCAGTCAGTCATTCCTGGGTATGAATGAATTTATCCCCATATAATACTGTTATTAATTCATGTGATGTAGACAACTGCCTTAAACAAAATAGTTGTTAGGAGAGAGGCAATTACATCACTGGTATTTTAGGTAAATGAAATGGTTGTGAGCACAGGATTGGAATACAAAGATTGGGTATGATCAACAGTCAGTGGGGTAGGGGCAGTCCAGTCCAAAATTTCCCAAATGCACCTCCACCCCAGAAGAAATGGTGTAAACAATGGTGCAAATTATAGAACCACATCCATCCTGGAAGATGATTCAATCCAGTTTATTACCCCTCAACATTTGTTTAGCACCAATATGTGCCTGATTTTACTGTTAACAAAAATGATGGGCTATCCTGCCTAAGAGTGTGTTGTCAGAAGAAGACACAATGGAGGCACAAACAGCAGAATTGCAAATACTAACTTGGATGAGTTCTGGTGTGACAGGAGTCCTCATCAGAAGATGGAAGAATCATGTTTGTGTAAATCTTACCAAGGATGAGTGCATATTGGAGCTCATGGGCACAACACACCATGCTTGGTAAAACTAAGGCTGTTCCTTTATATAAACAATGCAATTCTCTTATAAATCCACCTGATTTATGTTGAAATTATTTGGACTATGTGGTTGGGTGAAGAATGACCTGTTGGCTATAATGGAAACCATTTGAAGGGTGCAATTGTAAGGCTTCCTGATGTTGTCTGGGGGCCATAAGAATATTCAGTATCCTACCTTGGAAATCCTGTGATCTCGGAGCAGAAACTTCAGAGGCTGAGCCCCCACCCTGTCCCATCAGTTACAATAAGCACAGAAAGACTTGTGTTGGCTGTTTCCTCCAAAGTTAAAAATGCAACTTGGAGGTGAGAAAATGGGGTATCATGAATGGGGAGGTGTGCAGGCTGGAGCCAAGGCCTTATGTCAATTCCTGAGTTTGAAAACTATGTGAATGGCACCCAAAAGCAAATAAAACCATGCACCACATGTGTAAAGTCCCCCCCCCCAAGCAATTTGTCACATACTTGAAAGTAGGTGGATAATAAATGAAGAACACATGTTTCGAATGAACCAAATGAAACAGGAGCTGCCCAAGATGGCTAGCCAAGGTTATGAACAGCTGTGGGTATCACCTCTCCCTCCTGTCCTACTAAAGAATTGTTATCCTTTTAGGCTCACAGGTGAATTTACAGGACTGTTGGTGTCCACAGAATAAACGTTCTCAATGCACCTTTGCCTGATGTGCATCCTTTTCCCTACATTGATGTCTGATTTAGGTTTCTAAGTGCTGAAGTATCTTACATTTTGTGATATCTAAGTAGACGCTTTGGCTGTGACCCAAAAAGAACCTTCAGGCACAGCTGACAACTTGGACATACCTACTGGGGTATTTAATTTGTTTTCATTCGACAGGAGATCCCTATGTCATGATTCACAAACTGCTTTTGAGATCTTCTTCAGTTTCAAAAGTAATTTGCCATGCAACATGGGTAGAGGGATGCAGTTCAAAAAACACAAGTGCACATTGTCTTTGGGTGCACAGCATGAGTTGAACCATTCATTAGAGACTGTCCTTTACCAGCTGTAACCTGCTGCAGCTTTCTTAAGTTATATATTCTAGGCTATTACATAATATAGAAGGCTTATCTGCTAAAATACTGGTAAATCAGTCTTATCCATATATGCATGAAGTTCACACATATTTGTAACAGCAAATCTGAGAAATCAGTTGGCCTTCAAATTGACTGGAAAAGGTCATATTTTCTGACATTGCCTCATGGCCTCCTAAAATCTTAAGAATTACTTGCAAACTCAACACTCACACAGCTTTTGACAGCCACAGTAGGCGTATACTTCTGTTACTACCAACTAAATTGTCATAATGAGTGAGCTTTCAGGTTATTCATAACTCTTCGTCAGGCTGGAAGTTAGGTTTTCAGGGCAATCCCAATGCCAATAACAAAAAGTGGTGGGGAAGAACCAAGAAAAAATGGACACGATGGAAAAGCTCCAGAGATTATATCCTGCTAGAGACAAATCAGATTTCAGGCTACAGGAAGAGGTACACAGATAAGAAAAAACACTGTTTTTCCTTTTCTGATAATATAAATGCTAGTAGTTATTTAAATCTGTCTCTAGAAATTAAAACATATATACAGTATGTGAGATGGAGCAGTAGAAAAGAAAAGTGTTACAATCCTTGTGTTAACAAAGCTGGAGAACAATTTTCAGGGGTCTACTAGGTTAAAAAGAGTCAGTAGAAGCCAAACTGGGTAACATCACCCAGTAGCTGGAAGTCATCAAGTTCATTGGTGGTGAATTCCTAATTTTAACTTCATGGTGTTCTAAGTTTTAGGTTCCCATTCCTAGAAGGCTACATTCAGTAATTCACACATCCACACACACCCAAATAAACCTGAGTCAGGAATGTCAGGAACCTAACATTTGTTGGCATACCCCTTTCCCCACTTTAGACACTCCCATCCATGTGTGAGTGTAATATGGAGTGGAAAACTGACTCCATATTGTGGACCTTTGCACATTCACCCTATTCCAACCTTTGCCCATGCATGATGCCTAGAGATGTGCCAGTGTAGGGGCAACCCTGCTGAACTGGTCCATACTAATCAACACAGATTGACTGGGCAAAGTTGTGCAAAGATTGTCTGAATGATCCATGTGTTTGTTTAGCACACCCTCAGAAATTATCCCTTTAAAGCTTTTGCAGACATGTACTATACTGGCAACTAGATTCCTAGCAGATTATTCAGACAATTTCATATTGTCACAGCTGATAAAAACACATTACAAAGTTGTCTGAAGTACAGAAATCCAGGCATTATTCCTCCCCACCAAGCTTCTCTGAGAGTCTGAGGACCAGCCTGAATGGAATAGGAGCTTCCAACTGTGTTCACACAACATGACAAACAACCCTGCATGGTTACCGAGTCGCTATACACCAATCCTGTTCCTCCACCACTTTTCATCATTCATGTCAATGAGAATTAAGTACACATTGACCTCCTCCTATTCATACCAATGGAAACAAGATGTGGATAACTCAGGACTTTGTGCATGCTCTACAAGGTCAAAATGAAACAATAGCATATAAGAAGCAGATAATTACATTGTGTAATAAAATGTAAAACTTTATTTTTTTTTATTTGACAGCTTTAGAAAAGTAATAGGAATACGAGACTTTTTTTTTTCTAAATCCTCAAGCATGTACCATTATCAAATGAATTACAAAGCACATCAAGAAAACCAACTAGCTCAAGTCAGCAATTGGCTTAAATGGCCCCAAGTGTCCCTGAAAAGCTACCATGTGCTGAAGAAAAGCTGAAAAATCTCCACAGTGTCAGAAGGTGAGTTTTCAGCTGTTCAGGACTGTAAGATAATATTTCATATCCCATAAAGCATAGAGACAAACACAAGAGCATACATTTATGGAAAGGTTGTGATAATCCTGGAAGTCATCCACTTCAATCAACCACATCTTCAGTACCAAAAAAAAACAATCAGTTGGGTCTAGAGGTGGCAGCTTTTATTCACAGTCAGCCACAGAAAGTATAGTAATTTAAGACTCTTAATTATATACACCTGAGGAATATATGAAACTTCACATCACATTTGGCTCATTTGAAAGTTGTTATTATTAGGAGGGGAGTAACTTAGAAGAAAAGGAAATATGTTCAAAACTCTTTTTGAAAAGAAGATATATACCTAGATCCAGATAAATTGTCCACATACAGTGAGCATAAAGCAGTGAGCATAAATGAGATAATGAGATGCATAACCAGAAGGACATTCATTTCAAATGTGGATATTACCCATTAGTTTCAATGGCACATCATTTGGATGTGCACTCCAAAATGCACCCGAATCCACAACTGAGAAATGGCATCTAATGTAAAGAAATAAATAACCTCTTCATTTGTATCAAATTCAGTTTATCTGCACAGTTCCCAACACAATTTAAAACATGATTTGTGGGTATATTGACTTTTTAGTTGAGACTTCTGGCTGTTATGCTGAAACTGTATGCTAATGTGTAGACTCATAGGATTGCAAGAAAGTACATGGTGTATTACGGAATTGTGTCCAGTGATCAACATCAGTGTTCAGGTATTCTGCCGCTGAACAGAGGCAAGCATGCAACAAGAGGGATCAGTCTAAGTCCCACCCCTTTCCTTTGCATGCATTGCTCTCTGCTTGTGGGGAGCTTTCTCTTCTCCTTGTGTGCCACAGTGTTGGATAATTGGTGCACTGGCTAGTGTGGAGAACATCCACAGATAGAAGAAGCTCTCCTCTTCAGACACATGCCCTTCATGAATTGTGTGAATGAGGAACAGATAGAGGGCAAGAGCCCTAATTTCAGTTGTGTGTTTTCCCAGTTCAGATACCAAATGCCTGACTGCTTAGGTGCCCTGGATTCTAGTGTTACGATGTGCTGCCATTTTACTGTGAATACCTCTGCCTGCCACATTGGCTGTTGGCAGTGTAAATATGTGCAGCAGAATTAATATCTTATCATGGGTTATTATGCTACTAGATGCTACTAGGAAGAAGGAAGAAAGGGGAATGGAAAAGCAATAGTTCATTGCTATTTTGTAATATTTTAATGGGATCAGTAGAACAAAATACACAGTTAAACGTTTACATGTAATTGATATCAACAGGATTGCTGATGAACTATTGCACCCATTGCATATAGAAATGTTATTATAATAATAGGACTGCTTTCTGTATAAAAGTATTATTTAATAATTTATAGTATTTGTGAAGGTACATAAATAGAGTATAAACTGAATTTTAATTGGATGTATTTCTATACAAGAATTACTCTTTGCTTTTAGTTAATTGCATGAAGGGGATATGATTTGGCCCCTGATGTTAAAAAAAAAAAAACACACACATTCCTTTCTTGAAACAAAATAAACCTTCATCCATTCATTTACATGGTAGTTTCTTCCCATTCTAGTTCCACATCACCTACAAAAAAACAGAAAACTAGCTGATGACTTTAGAAAGTAATCTTATCAGGTTACATGTTAAGTACAAATACAAAGGAATTAAACAAATAAAAATGTGGTGCTTCAGCTGCTATTGCTGCCATTAGCAAACCAAAGGTAATGGCTGTTTTTTAGAGTTATATTTTTGGGAATCAATAGGGTAAGATAAATCTTGTTACTGCTGTGTTCAGTTTCTGCCTATTTATTCAGTGAAAAGTTGTTTGCACTGAAAAGATGAATATACTGGTCCTGACTCAAAGATAAAACCAAGATTTGATAGCTTTTTTTTATCTGGGAAGATAGTGACATTGTTAATGAATATGGTCAGTATATAAGAAGTGGAGAAATTGGTAAGAAAATTTAGTCTCCAGTATATTGACTTGGAGATGACAAGAAGCCAAGTGGACATATCAGACAGACAACAGAAATTAGATTGGATGGTAGGAGAAAGTTCTGGGATAAAGAAATAGAGCTGAATGTTATAACTTTTTAGGTTGTACTGAAAACCACTTTTTCAGCTAATCCTTCTAGTGTCTGCCCAAGAGACAATCACAAAAGCAAATAAAACTTTAAATCAAATGGCATTTCTTAAAATATGTTGTTTCACTATGCCCAAGGAACTGCACCCAACAGTGTAAAAATAAATTGATTTTGGCACAATCTAAAGCTTTTTACCTTCCATGGCATCCAAAGAGTCCATCTTTTGCAGTACTGAATAGTTAACAAAACATACAGGCTGGCTGCTTCTCTTGATAGTGAGTAAATCCAAAACACATTGGTGCAAATATATATACTGTGCCTGTAAAGTGTAGAAATGAAAGAATACTCAGGTTTGCTTATTTATCAGTGGACAAATTGCTGCCATTGAACATGTTTTGAGGTAATTTGGAGATGTAGATATAGAACAGTTTTAGCAAAAAGAACTTTTAAAGATGAATTGATGTTTTCTCAGATTGCTGGAGGGCATTCTAATAATCTTTGGCAAACTGCCTGGCCTTGGAATGGGAGGCAGGACCGAACTTCCTGTAGCAGCTCTTTAATGGTACAGCAGAATTGAGTTGAATGGTTTTAAAAATGAGATTAGCAAGTTCAGGAAGGATAGAGCTATCAACAGCTACTAGTCAATATGGCTATATATTATCTCCAGTATAAAGATAATATGTTTTTGGATCCTCCTTTCAAGGGGATATGACTGGGAGGTGCTACTCCATATATGTCCTGCTTGTGGGTTTTCTGCAAGCATCTGGTTGGCTATTATAGGAATAGAATGCTGGAATACTAAGGACTTTGGTTTAATCTAGCATAGCTCTTGTATGTCCTTTTGAAGTAGAAGTGGGAGGAATGTTATTTGGGAGACCAGCAAAGACAAATATATAGGAATAATTTCCTTTATTTTTTCTGGAATCCTGGGGGACACTACTACCATTCCAGGAAGGGCTTCCAGTCAAATAGAGAACTCAAGGCCATCTCTGTGGAGAAGAAGACATCAATATTACAGTGCCATACAGAAACGATAAGACCAAATAGAGCACATTGCAAGACTTCCTTTCACTCCCAATCAGGCACGCTCAGTCTGAAGAAACTTGGCCCTGGCTCCTAATCCAAAGGAAGCTGCTATCCCAAAGGCTGCCAGAATGCTGTCTGGGAGGTCAGGGAAAATGTGCCACATCCCAGGCACACCAGGGTACAGTGAAATGCACTCAGCTAAATCAAGGCTAAGTTTTATCCATTGCAGCATCCCTGGTGGACTCAAGATCATGGTGTCATATTAAAGCTAGTTTCACTTCAGGATAAAGGGGGAAGTGGTAATAAAATTCATATGACAGAAACAAAATCAAAGCAAACTTCTACCGGGTTATACATTTAGAAGCATCCATGATCCATGGAGATAGTAGCCATTTGGAGAACCAGGAGCAATGTTCCCAGCTACTCTATGTGGATGGAGCAGGAATAACTTCACCATTAGGAAACAGTGATCTGCCTTTCCCTGTAAGACTTCCTGCACACCATGTGGTAAACAACAGCCTTTGTGAGGTTATAATGATTTTGGTTTCCCTTGGAGAAAAGGAGGAAGTAAAAACTCCAGTTTGCCATCTGCTTGTCTAGAGTACCTGGATTCTAGCCCCCATCAGCCCAAGGCAAAATGAAAGATAGAAATCTAACTAAATCAATAAACAGCATGCGACCACACACACACACACACACACACACACACACACACACGAGAGAGAGAGAGAGAGAGAGAGAGAGAGAGAGAGAGAGAGAGAGAGTTTCATGCTGCTTATCCATGTTTTGAGTGTTGATGAGTCTGCTGTTGAAATAGTTGCTCTGTTTTCTCGAACAGCTTTCTCTGAGCTGATGCCCCTAGATGTGCTAGCCTTCATTGTCCAGGCAACCCAACCTGCATGAGATAGCATTTTATCACATCACCCCCCCTCCCACCACCACCACTTTCATTCTGAAGGCATAAACCAGGGTTTCTATCTCAGTGGTTATTTCTGAGGTTTGAAATGTCTTACCAGATTTTGTACCATGCACATTCTTTCACTTCTCAGTTCTGCTACAAGTCCATAGATATCCACAAAGTCATGGTCATTCATATGCTGTGTTAAATGGTCCAGGGCAATATAAACTCCTGTTCTTCCAACTCCAGCACTATAGAGAACAAATTGAAAATGAAGTCTGTGCATAAGGTTGTCTAAAGCATCTAACTGAAAATTAAAGTTTCAGTAACAAATAGAATTCAGCTTGAATAATAAAATAATTTACTTTAGTATAATAATACTTGGTGAATAGTATACCATGCTTTTAAAATATTATATTTCTCTAGTATGTATACTACAGAATCCAGTCAAAACAGTGAGAAACTGCTGGTTAGGATACATCCCACATATTCTAAGCACCTGCCCTAGCTGATATTATTGAAGACTCACTGCAATGAAAGCTGCCATACTGAAGCTGCTTCATCATCTTTCTGAATTTACTACCCGATGCTTATAATTGACAGTTGTCCAGCAGATGCTTCTCATTCAGTTTGCTGGTATACTTGAAGTAGAGCTCTTCATTACATTAAGTGTGAGATATTGATTCTATGTTCTATATGTAAGCATACCTTTCTTGTTATCAGCATTTTGTTCTTTTTCTTATACGGTTCTGGCCTTTTCAACAACACAGCCAATGACCACTTCCCCACAGAAGGGTAGGCAATTTGAGATGGTGGCAAGTTGGATAAATTCTCTTTTTATTCCTGATAAGCTAATCTCACTATTTTGTGACATGAGATTCTATTCAAATAAATGATCTGCTTACCTGCAGTGAACAACGATGGGTGTACTATCATGGGCTCGGCTGGCACGGATCAGCTTTACAAAATGGACTAAGGACGTGCTTGTTTCAGGTACTCCATGTTCAGGCCAGGCAGTAAAGTTACACTGACGAACCATCATACAATCCCCGTGCTTTAAAGGTCAGGTTGAAATAAATAAAGAAAGATTTTGTTTTAGAATTGCAAAGAATTCTGTGAACTGCAGAATTGTGGCCTTGTCATTCTACACAAGAAACTTGTCCTTGATTGGATTATCTTAGAAAAAATATTTAATGATTGGTAAGGCAACCTCACCCCAATGCTGAAGAAATAATACACTTGGTTAGGACATCAGATTGTAGCCCATTGTTCAACTGGATAAAATGACACTTGACACAATACTCAAGAATCAAGCACATCTCAGAGTCACTGGCACTATTCAGTAAAGAAGGTGGTCAGTCCTCAAAAATGTTACTGTCTGCTGTTAATAAGATGTTTTCTTAGTACTTGTTTCATGTTGTTACCATCTGAAGTGGCGAATTGGACATGCTGAAATATCTCTAAAATTAGCAGTCAGGCCTAATTCAGATATATATATATATATATATTACTTGATGTTTCATCACTTGATGACACATCATTCAATGACTTTCAGCCAAATGTGTAAACTGCCTTTTCTACTGAAAAAAAATATGTATATTGTGTTTGAGTGATGATAATGAAAGTTTTCTGTGTTTTCAATCTGTTATGACCATTCACTCAAGGAATAATATCCTGCTGTTGCAGTCTGATAGAATAGAATAATATGTGTTAACTTGATTTCAGATTCACTGTACTTTCCTTGCATCTGGACACTCAGCACACTCCTGATTTTGCACTAGAAAACTTAAGCAGGAGTAAAACAAATGGTCATCTGAATATCACTTTTTGGTTCACAAAATATACAGACATGTTTGTAAGTATAACATCCAAGATAGCAGATTCATAAATGCACAATAAACATCCAGGACAGCTGGATATATTTAGGATTAAAACCAGAAGTTTAAATAGCAGACCAATCATATTTTTCACAGGATTTTTAAAAAGTAGACATGAACTTACCCTTTCAATTTTTAGATCTCTGATGGTCCAGTCTATCTGAATATCTTCCACTAATTTAGTAATCACAATATCTCCAAAAACAGTCACCGGAATATTGTCTTCAGGCCAGTATTGATGACACCTGATCTGCAATCAATTTGGAGTAACATGGTTTTATACAAGCTTCTTGGATGTGTAATTGGCGGTTATCAAATCTATTTGGTGACTTACCCGTCCTTTTTCAAAACACTGAGTAAGCATAACAAGAGTTTTTGCTCTTGTTTCCCATACCATTCTCCAGAAATCTCCCACCGTGCCTGGTAATGGTCCTTGAGTTGCAATAAATTCATTTGGACATAAATATCCCTAAGGAAAAGATGAATCTTAATGCATACTGATAAAGTAAAAGGAGAAACATGCTTTCAGCAATAAATATAATTTTAAGGCATATCTCATGTGTCTATACTATTAACAAAAATGCACCTTATTATTGCATGAGGACTTCAGAAATTCACTCATTCTGAAAACTCAGTGTATTCCTATGAACATTCTGAAGGACCTGGACATTACAAGTAGCCATTTGTGTCGTACTTTGTAATGTCCCTCTCACTGGATGATATACACACCTCAGAAGGTGATAGTGCTTAGCCATATACAAGTGGGAAGTATAATAGAATTTGCTGTATAGAGTGCTCCTGCTCAGGTGTATAAGTAAATAGAGAGATGGATGATGGATATGTAATGCCCCATACACTCATACATACTGTGTGGAGGAGGCAGCCCTGAGCTCACAATACCCTTGATAGAAATCAATTTTATTTATTTATATATTAAAGGTTCTGTAAGTGACTTAAAAGCAACTTAAAGCCTTTGAGTGTGGATCACAACAAATTGTGGCAAGTTCTTAAAGAGATGGGAGTACCAGACCATTTTATTTGTCTCTTAAGAAACCTCTATGCAGGTCAAGAAGCAACAGTGAGAACTTGGAATTACTGATTGGTTCCAAACTGGAAAAGGAGTATGGCAAAGATTGCAGGGAGAAATATCAACAAACTCAGAAATGCAGATGATACCACTCTCATGGCATAAAGTGATGAGGAACTAAAGAGCCTCTTGATATGGGTGAAAGAGGGGAGCACAGAAGTTGGCTTCAAACTCAACATTAAGAAAACTAAGATTATAGCATCTGGTCCTATCACTTCCTGGCAAATAGATGTGGAAAAAATGGAGGTAGTGACAGATTTTATTTTCTTGGGCTCCAAGATCACCACAGATGGTGACTGCAGCCAAGAAATTAAAAGATGCTTGCTCCTTGAGAGAAAAGCTATGGCAAATCTAGACAGCATACTAAAAAGCAGAGACATCCCCCTGCCGACAAAAAGTGTGTATAGTCAAGGCTATGGTTTTCCCAGTTGCAATGTATGGCTGTGAAAGCTGGACCATAAGGAAGGCTGAGCGCCGAAGAATTGAGGCCTTTGAATTGTGGTGCTGGAAGAGACTCCTGCGAGTCCCTTGGACCACAAGGCGATCAAACCAGTCAGTCCTAGAGGAGATCAACCCTGACTGCTCTTTAGAAGGCCAGATACTGAAGATGAAACTCAAACACTTTGGCCACCTAATGAGAAGGAACGACTCACTGGAGAAGACCCTGATGCTGGGAATGATTGATGGCAAAAGGAGAAGGGGATGGCAGAGGATGAGGTGGCTAGATGGAGTCACTGGGGCAGAGGGTGTGGGCTTGGGTGGACTGTGAGGGATGGGTGGAGGACAGGAGAGCCAGAGGAATGTTGTCTATGGGGTCATGATGGGTCGGGCATGACTTTGTGACTAAACAACAACAAGTGACTTACAGTGTTCTCCCTGAGTTTCATATATAATCAGAGTTAGATTTGGTTTATACTGCATTCCATATGGAGATTGGCACTTTCATATTTATGTTTCCTTTTATGGATTTTTATGATAAGGTTTAAGAACCTAAGTGGAGCCCTGTTGGATTGGACCAAGAGTCTATTTAACCCAGCACCCCATTTTGAACAATAGCTCATCAGAATAGACTGTACATAACAAATGTACATTTTGCATCCCTCAGTTACAGCCCCTCACCTCATTCTTCCACTGCAGAGGATTAACATAGCTTTTCCTTGCCACCTGTTCTGTATATTATGTATCATATAACCAATAAACAGCTGTGAATTACTAAACCTGTAAGTATCTAGAATTTTATTTGACTTGTCAGTATAATTCCATAAAGGACTAATCGTTCTCCAGTGTGAACAAATATTGGAAGATATCCTTTAGAAACAGTATCACTGGAAAGAAACCCCAATGAAAGAAACAAATGCTTATAGTTCTGATTTCCAAACCCTTTCTCTGACAGTTAATTCTTTTTTAGTGCTAAAATAGAAATGGTCAGCTACTTCTCTTGGAAAATAAAGAATGGAAAGGTTCTTCAGGAGGAAAACATTACATTAGCCATACAGAGATGAACGACCCTTTTAGGGCTGGAAATGCCAAGTTTTATCCACATTAACAAGAAAATAAACTAATACAGAATATCTACAAGAGAATTTAGTTGCAAAAGAAATAGAGATCCATGACCCTTTATATATTATTTTTGTCTGCTTCCCCATAATCAGTTTTAATAATTCTGTGGCATTGTAGAACTATTAAAAATGAGCTGTGAGTATACCTTGATGGCGATCATTGAATATTGCTTCACATTCCTTAAATGCCAAAAATAAGTTATAGGCCAGACATATTTCATCAGCCCGTGAGGAGAAAAAGCTGTTCTAAAATTTAGGAGATCTTGGCTCCCTTCTAATTTCTGTTTTGACTGGGGCATGTCTCTGTCATCATCAAATTCCCACCTGCAATCTGGGAGCAACAACAACCTAAACTTGAGAAGGCAAATGCAGTGCTATGCAGCTCAAGGATGAGCAACACACAGTCTGTGGGCTGGCGTGTTTTGCAGCCCCCACCCCCACAGAGCTGAGCTGCCAGGCTGATGATGAACTTGGTGTCACCGCGGCAAAAAGGCCAAATTTTCCCTCCCAAACAATGCATACGATGACTGTGTTCCTTTTTTTAAAATGACAAAATATGCTCTCCATGCCTTCCAGGAGCATGATTTGCCACCCCTGATGTAGGTAAGGAAAACCATGTTCAAAACCTAATTCTGAAAGGCTCATTTTGGGTAGGAAGACTGGGAGTGATAGAGGAGATGTTGAACAATGTAGCACAGTGATTCCTACCAAACTATAGCAGTACGAGAGTATTATGACATTTCATTTTTCAGCAGATCTAAATCGCAGCTGCTCTCGGAGTGACTCCATAGCAAGGATAATTGAGTATTTGGGCCAGTGGTATAGCAGAGACTTTGGTATGTTTTAGTCTCTGGAAGTGACTGGATACAACATTTTCTAAGCGAAACAATCTCACAGTTATAGTGTTCTTCAGTATTGTTCAGCAGATTATGCCTGGTTGCTGATTAAAGAGGGCTATAATGGTAAAACAGTAGGGTTTTAGTCAGAAGAGGGCACATGAGTACAGGGTGAATTCTGTGCACCTGAACACACTAAACAAAAAGTAGTTTATTGACCAGATAATAAAAATAGCACAGGAGCTGTGGCAGGAGGTGGGATGGGAATCAGGCAAACACATGAGAATTTTGTGAAAACAAATAGGGAAATATTTTCTAACCCCCCATCTCCCAGTTGTGGCAATTCCTGATGATGATGATGATGATGATGGAGGGAGGAAGGGAGGGAGGGAGGGAGACCTCAGTTTCATGCATTCTCACAGGATGTATGTACTAGTGGTACAGTCATCGGTGTTAATGCCTCCAAAATTCAGTACCAAAGCAGTTGTTATGTCTCTATTTCACTGCTCAATGATACATAAGGCCTGTAACTATGGAAGACTTCCAAGGCTATGGTAACCGAATGCTGAAGAAAAATCACCATGAAAACTAATCCAGAGCAGGAGTTTACAGGCCATGGTAATAACCCAAGAAATCAAGTTCCCTCACCAGTCTATTAGTTTTTCCTTTACCATATACTTAAAAAGATCAGAAATTATCGTAATCTCTAGAAATGAAGCACTGCTGTAATGATAAAGCTGATGAGGATGAAGCAAATATGTGCTCAGTTGCATCAGGATATAGGACCTGAAGCAGTGGGCTCAAATTACAAGAAAGGGGATTTGAATTAAACAGAATCACTTCCTGGTGGTACAAGCTGTTTGACACTAGACAGAGCACCTCAGCTTTTGTTTGTTAGAGGTTTTCAAGAAGAGGCTAGGTGACCACCTGTCAGAAAGACCATGAAATGCAGGCACCTGCAACTTGGACCCTTGGGGTGTGTCTCTCTGGCATGAATTGCATTCATTTAAATGTGTCCCTCTGATTGAGACCTGCAGTGACTTTAGGGACTAGTGAGACTTCTTTAATCAACAGAAGACTTCTCTTCATCATATCAAAATTAGATTGAAAAAAGACAAAGTTGACAGAAATCCAGACTGACAGATATAGAATAGACTTCATGCTGAACCTGTATCTAACCTTTAGAAGCCAGTTGAGCTGATGATTGGTATAAAAGCTGAGATGTTTCCATATTATTTATTTAGGCATATATGAAAATTCCACTTTGCAGTGAAAATACAATGGATTTTTCTAGTAGAACCATTCCTTGTTTTCATTCCATTCCCCACCATCACCATGCTGGCATCGACTCAATTTGTATCATGCCAAACCAGCATGAGGGTTTCCTTTTTTATGACAGCAATTTGCACATTTTTTAAAGTGTGCAGACTATAATTTGTGCAAATTGCATTAAAATCAGTCTTTCACAAGTGTGGACTCACACTTACAGAGAACCAAACTTAAGTCTTGCCTAGTTAATATTCCTGGAAGTACAGGAGGCACCATAAAATGGAGAAGGTACCATCCGGCAGCATAAAAAAAACAAGGCCACAAATAGCTTAAAATGTTTCTTTGCTTTCACTTATAGCTGTTAAAAGATGAGCTATCAAGTGAAAGCAAAACTGCAAATGGATATTTGTTTGCCAGTTACAGTTAAATGAGCACATTTACAGTGAGATCTTCTAGTCTGATTATGAGGATGCTACCTCCTGCATTTTGACAATAGTTCAAACAAACAGTAATATCAACATATATTTAAATAGAAAAAAAGTATTATCTTAGGAACAGAAGCTAGTATGTAAGGTTAAGAAGGCAAAAAACCTGTTCTCCTTCCATATATGTACATATGTTCAGAAGGATGAACTAGTCTCACTTAAGCTAAAAGTAATGGACAAAATGACCCTTTGCATCTCTTAACAGGAATTTAGGATGAGAAATTCCTTTAACGTCACATGAAAGCAGTATGACATTCTTTATCCTTCTTTATCCTGAAAGACTAGAGAACAAGATACATTGGAACTCTTATTGGTAACAGACTATCTAGAGAAACCTTCTATCAAAACAGCTTCTGCATATCAATTTTGTAATTCTGGTGCACCATCTTTGCTGTAGTTATTTTGTCAAGAGGATCTGCAAGAAATGTGGCAGAACCCCTTAGGAAATGTGCTCCAATGTCTTAACAGTTTGTGACATTGCTTGATTGACTTTCAATACATTTACCAGGCGATTTACATTCCAGAAAACAATTAAAAACATCCATCTTTGGTGGTCTGTTTCCACCTTGGCCCAAAGTGTAAACTGCCACCAGCGCTTTGGGAACTTAGTGCCCATTTGTTCATACAGGAAATAGCAACCAAGGTGTTTTGTGAATTGATGGACAGGGAAAGCAATTCTGCAGGGATCAGCTGTAATAAGTATTGCACTTAAAGTGTTCATATTTCAATGTCCTGTGCCATCATTTAATATTTGCAGTAATGAAAATTAAAACATATCTTATTAAATCTCAATAAAAACACTTTATCTCATAGTCCTACATGCTATAAACTGATAGCAGAGGTTGTACTACAACAGACACAAAGGATGTAAGGATGTAAAAGAAAAACAGATACTTTTTAACATAATTTTTTTTCTAAATCACTTTTCTAAGAGAGATGAAGAATTGGAACAATGCAATAACAGTTTTAAATTATTTCAAACTTACAGACACATAGCTGGCATTGATGTAATCAGATCCAGGTATACTAGCATCAGGCATTAGCTTCACTCTGTTATTATTATCTATCCAACAGAAAAAAGACAATGTAATTAGTTATGCTTGTTTCAGACTACTAGATAGATAGACAGATGACAGATACAAAATTAAATATAAAATGTGTGTGTGGTAGCATATATGATAACTTCTATACAATGTTATTATAACTGATGGCATCCTGACAATACATTACAAATGTTAGCAGCTTACCAGCCATCCTTTTAAATAGTAATTATCTCTCTCTCTCTCTCTCTCTCTCTCTCTCTCTCTCTCTCTCTCTCTCGCAGTTTGACTTATAATAATATGAAAGGGTCCTAATATTGTAATATGAAAACTGAAAACTTTCTGTTTCTTATCACTGCAGTTTTCAGGTTTAACATATTCAGGAAGTCTACCCATTGATGGGTAATATGTATATTTGCCTCTCTTACAGTAATAAGAAAAGTAAAGTGTCAAAGAGAAATTTCAAAGCTTGAACTGCTTTTTGTTCATTCATCTACGCACAGCCTTTATAAAATCCTAATGCATCCAGTTCCCTCACATCTGAACCTAATATTCATTTCTTCGTAAAGATGTGAGGCATGGAAGTACACTTAGACAATTTCAAAACTAAGCATGGACATCATAGTATGCACTGCCATACTAAGGATATACTGGAAATTGGAGCACAGAAAATGTCCTGAACCAGTGGTAGATAACGGGAGCAGCTGTTCTGAAAAGTTAATAGCACAGAATGTGGCTACATTAACAGAGGAATGCTTTGCCTCCCATCTCACATCACAGCTAATGCCTAAAATAATAATGGTATTTCTTGTCTTATTAACTGAAAAATGAAGCAGTGTTGACTACAGAGAGACAGACTCCTGTCTCCTGTGATAAAATCTATCCTGGCCTTATAAGTCATCATATATTCACTCTGATCTTTAGCGAAACTCTTACACAGTGCATTTACAAGTAACCTTAAGAAAGCATCACTATGTTCAAGCGGAAAGTGAATATGCAAACAGGTGGATTTTACATTTTCATATATAAGACACTTATTTTCCACCAGGAGAAAAGGTTCGGAAAAAGAATAAGGATGTTGAAACCTTGATCATGTTGCAAAGATAAGAAACTATTTCAGAATACATAGTTTACTTTACCTCCATCTTAATGTTTGTGTGAGGAAGCTAAACTGTATTAAAGCAAGGCATTTAATTAAATGAATAAAGAACTAAAAAGCTATACAGTCTATAATAAGAAATTATAATGTGGTATATCAAGATTCATGTTTACAATAGGATGTTCTCTTTAAATATTACATTGAGATAAAATAAAAGTTCAAGATATATTTGAAATATATTTTTTCAGCTAGTGGGATAATTAGTAAATGCAGCATACATGGCTTGATGTTTGGGAAACGGTTTTTGGACCTGTTCCAAGGAAGGTCAGCATCAGTTGAGGCAAGATCTGGAAGAAACTTGGGAAGTTCCTAGAAGATAACATATATGAATATTTGTTTATAAAAGTTTGTTTATAAAAACATCATGGTATTATTAAATCAGCAGTGAACATGTACACAGAAAGTCCAGTCTTATTAGCACATACAATTCATCTCTTCAGATTGGCATACATAAGATAGCTTGCAAGTACTATATTCTGTCAGTCTCAATGATATAAAAGAACTGATCTGCCTTTACTTCAAATCAGTTCATAAACCTGAATTTCTCTATGCAGACTGGCACTGTACAGAGGAAGAAAACACATCCACAACTGATATTATTTTTTAATTTCTAAAGTAGAAAAATATTTTTACTGTTTATTGCACATGATCATTTATCTGAAGTTCTGAAATTGCAATGCCTGTGTATTTTGTGTGAGTGGCAGGGGTGGCGGGGGGGGGGATTCTTGTATTTGTCCTTGCAAAAGAAAATAAGCCAATGTCATCAAATAAAACACTTAGATTCAGCAGTGTCAGTCTGGTGTGAGGAAAGATTTGGGCGTTTTGAATAATATGGCACATCTAAGGACAGCTGGCAAGATTACAGAAGTCTTTCACCTCATTGTCAACCCTCGTTACATCAGCAGTGTCAGATGCTAAGCTACAGAACAGAGTATCAGGCTAAACAATCTGAGCTTATATGAACTTTCACCTTAAAAGTTTTGATAAAGTCAGATTACTGCCTTTTTGTACTTTTGAGGGAGATTACCTTTTCCTAGGTCATTTAATGTGGCAACCATGGCCTGCCTTGGCCTCATCTATCAGTAATGCATTTTCCCTAACCCTTTATTTTGGGAGAGCAATTGCTACAGCATGAGGACAAGTAAGTATTTAATCAAGCAGGGACAACTGGCAATTTGTTACTCCTCACTGACCTCTGCCTCTGCGCAGGAAGGACAGGAAGATATATGCTGGGCATAACGAATACAGATAAGTAGAGGCAGGAGTATATCACATCCCTGCTCAAAATATTAAATATAATCTAAAATACAAAGGAATGGAAGTGACATTGGTCACGTAAAAAGTAGAATACACTGATGACAGGCAGGTTCTCAAGAGTTAGAAAAGAAGAAGAGAAAAACAGGGTTAAAATAAAATTGTTATTAACGCTTATCATTTCACCACCCTCCAGCAACCATCAAAGACTTCAACTTACTGCTAACAATGTCATTGTTTCTTGGAAATAGCCCATTACACACTATTCTGATCAAAACTTATCTCTATGATTAGTTGAGTGTTCCCCGTTCATTGTTTTGAACATGGTCTAATGCCAAATGCTTGGGAAAAGTTCAAAACATTGCAAAGTAAAATGATATCATGGGAAATTAATTTCTCCTACTGACTAATGCAAAGTTATTGTTGTGTGCCAGGTTTTCTTCCCTTTGTGTGTTTAAGGCAACAGGCCATTTCTTTGCAAAAACTATTTATTCACCAGAGGATACCCAATAAGTGCAGTCATCACAGAATGTATCTCTGAGCATACACATAAGAGTCCATTGAACCCAATCTAAACAACTGCTTCCAGAAACCCTCCTTTTGAGTACGTCTGTGCCTGATCCCTCCTGAAGGGCTCATTTGGAAGTGAACATGCCTCTATTCTATACATCTATCCTCTAATTGGCTATTCCTCTTCTCCCGACACTGCATCATGGGGTCAAGAGTTGTGCCAGGTTTGTCTGAGCTCTTCTCCCATGCCCCCACCTAACATTTGTGCATCTTGGCTATTCTCAGAGCCTGTCTGAGCACTTGGCATAAGTGCCCCTTCTTTCATCTCAAAGTCTGAAGCCCGACATTTCCAAGCCTCCTTTGCCTCCTCCCCTTCATTCTCTCTCTCCGAGTCCAGATTAGCGTGACTCATGAGTGCACGTCAAGGACAGCTGTCTCACTCATTCCCAAAAGATGTGACATGAGAATTGCCTTTTTGACAACCATTGCAAATATATGCACAAACAGAAAGTAACCTCCTCCAAAGAGGTAAGGAGGATGGCAAACAGAAGACAGGTCTTCTCAGTGGCTGCACCCAATCTATGAGATAGCATCCTAACAGCAGTTTACCTGGCACCTCCTTTACAATCTTTTTGGCACCAGGCAAAAACAATTTAATTTTCCATATAGTTTAATAATTGACTTTAATTCTGTATAATTCATTAATATTTAATTGAATTAAATGTTAGTGTGTTTTACTTGATTTTTTAAAATTATCAGGTTAAACTCTCAGTTGTACATGCGTATTATATCATACACTATATTGTATGTTTATTATACATTGTTGTAGTCTGTGTTTATGATGGGGATTGATTGTTACATTGTTGTATATTGTTTTAATTCTCATTGTTTATTTTGTTTTCATGTGTTTTGTAAATCTGCTCAGAGAGTTCTGCTGGACTATTGGTTAATGTGGATTATAAACTCAATTATAAATAAATATTAAAATAAACATGGTATACAGTTAGTATGCAAATGAAACAAGAGTTGTAGAAATAATTTAAGGCCATATGATTTCTTCTTCAGATTTAAACAAACTTAGGAAAATATCATTAGGTTCTTTCTTGCTTTGTTACCAACCACTCCTAGGGGAAGCAAAACCTGGGGTAGGATTGCAGATGAACAACAAAGTGAAAGGACAGAAACGGAAGGAGGAATCCTTCAAATATTAGCAGATCATACTAGCATTAATATTGATTGCTATTATTATTATTATTAATTATTATTACATTTCTATATCTCCCATAGCCAAAGCTTTCTGGACTGTTCACAACATTTAAATCACCCATCCTGATTTCAACCAGCCTGACCCTGCTTAGTTTCCAAGATTAGACAGGATTGGAATTTTTCCATATAGAACTTCAGGCTATATGGAATCTGATGATATGGAAAGCTAATGGAAGACAATCTGAGAGACAATACTGGTATAAAAAGCAGAATGGATTCATAAACAATATTAATATACATAATAATAGTAAAAAAAGTATTGCTCAAACTCATACTATAAAAGAGGAATATGGAAAGGAGAACACTTGTGGTAATATGTATGCATTTGTTAGTTTAAATATTTCTATCTGCCTTTCAGTGGATTAGGCTGTTAAGATAGTTAACAATGTAAATACAAAACACATATTAACAGCACAAAGGGTCCAGTATTTCAAATAGTGAATAAGGTAAACGTTTCCCCATGACATTAAGTTCAGTCATGTTTGACTCTGTTTCTTAGCTGATGGATCCAGCATTTGTCCCCAGACAATTTCTGTGTTAATGTGGCCAGCATGGCTTAACATAAGGTTCACAGAACATTGTTACCTTCCCACTGAAGTGGTACCTATTTATCTACTTGCATTTGCATGCTTTTGAACTGCTGGGTTGGCAGAAGCTGGCACCAAGCAACAGGAAATCACCCCATCAAGTGCAATTGAACTGCCAACCTTTTGATCCACAAACCCAGTGGCTCAGCAGTTTAAACTACTGTACCACCCACCATAATTAGCCCAAAGTCTTGCCGAAAAGCCATTTTTTCATTACCTGACAGAATGCAAGTGGCAACAAAATCAAATGTGCCTCCCGAGGCAGGCATTCCAAGTATAGCTGCTACACTAAAGTCAATTGGGCACACTCAGAATTTACTGGTATGACAACATGTTTAGCCTCTTCCCTGGCCATGCACATTACACCCACCCCAACTATTCAGCCCAAATTTGAAGAAGAGTGCAAAAGCTATGTTTTTGATTAACCATAGTTTGCTGTGATGCCCAATCCTAAATTGTGGTTAACAAGCCAGCTACCTTCAGGCAAAGCATAGTTAATCACAGATTATAAGTTTAAACAAAATGACAAACCATGGTTAAGCAAGTATAAAAGTGTAGGTTTGTGAACTGTTTCTGCTGGTCACATAGGAAAAGAAGGAGAAGTGTGCAAGCCCAGACATACCTATGCTCATTCACATCACAGTAAACTGTAGCTTAGCAAGATATTCAGACATGACCTCCATTCTGTGTACCCATTGACGACATCTTTTATGGGCAAAGGGCACAGAGTTGGGCTTCTGGTATTGCTCTGTGTGCATGGGCAAATTCATATGATAAGGGATTGTCCTTGGATCACCTTACCATTTACAGAAATGTTATTTTATCTCTCTCTCTCTCTCTCTCACTCTCTCTCCCTCCCTCCCTCCCTCCCTCCCTCTCTAAATCTCTCTTTTGGTCTCTCTGCATGCTAGTTCTGTACAAAGTGACTCCAAGTTTTCCTATCCTGGCAAGATAGAATTTCAGCTCTCTTGGGAGAAAAGAACATTGCATGCAGTACTGCTCAGAAGTATCTTATACTGAGGCCATTATTAAATGCAGACCAGGACTACTTAAGAGCCATGACCAAGAATCTGAAGGAAATGCTATTAATCTTCTCACTCTTTTGTTATTGCTTGAGAGGATGAAATATTATAATCTAATAGTATATCTGTCAATTGATTTTTCCCCTCTTCATTATTCACAGGTCCAGACAATGAACAATTCATGGCAAATCTATAAATACAAAATAATAAAGTCATTTGAGAATGACAAATGGTTTCTGGATTTGCAAATGCCTCTATGTGCTAGTAATGATGAAAACAATGCTTCTGAGACAACAAAAATGGTATCTATTTTAAAATTGTAAAAAACTTGATAGCCATATAGAAGAAGTTACTTATAAAAACATTAAAGTGTTTAAGCATAGTTTAAGTTTGACATACTTATTATATAAATGTCATGCACACTTTGGAAGATATATCTGTTTTTAACAGGATTAAAGACTTGCAGTGGTAAAAACACTGCTGGTTGTGATCGTATCATTTGTAATCAGTTGCATACTGTTGCTGTGACACATTACTGAGATGAATGGCATGTAAATAAGAACAATGCAAAGATCTTCTCAAACTCCCGTTCATTTAAGAGGGATCTTTACAAGAAGAGTGCTTGGAAGGCTACATTAGAATCTGTGGATATATTATGCATTTATGGAATCTTCCCTAATTATCAATTAAATATTGCCATAAACTACTTTGCCATATTCCTTCACTTTATTCTAAAATTAGGCTATAGCTATCCCCCAACCATTGCACATTCTTAAAGTGATTCACTTCTCAACCACTGCAGGTATCCAAGGAGTTTAAAAAATAAAACAGAGCAGAGTGAGCCTTTACATGGCAGAAGAGCTTGAGTCAGGACTTTATCCAGAACATCTATCTGGAAGCACCTACTTAAGTCCACAGCAGCCAATAAAAGTAAATCCGAGTACTTTTCAAAAGCAAAAGGACTTAGCACTGCAGTTTGGACTTGAATATCTGACAATTTTCTTTACAGAATGAGGCAAGCTGTCCCATAATATGATCATAAAAACCCAACATATTCATATCCAATATACAACAGAATAGAATATTCAATTTTAACAAGTGAAGCACTTTGTTTCTTAAATAAGTTGACAATGGGTTCCCCTTCTAAATATTTTGTCTTTGTCTCAGTCTGCAGCAGCTCAGTATCAGTCAATGGTTTCACAGAAGTGCTTGCTTTTGCATGCTTTTATGTGCATGCAGTTAATTGCTGTGAGCAAAGTGGGGTAGATTGGATCACTAATCCAACACCAGCGTTAAAGAAAGGAATAGAACGAGAAATAGTTGACCTCTCCATAATCACTATTTAAATTAAGCAGCAATACTTTCCAAATCAGTGTTGGGACAATGTGACATGTGTAACTACCTTCCCAGTAAATACAACATGATTATTATCCTTTGCTAGCCATGTTTTGGCTAGTGAAGGGAGAAAGATTTCACCTGCCTCAGGCCCATATTCAAAATATACTATACTTTTCAAGGGGGATCCCTCTTCCAGTCTAAGAACCACTGCTGTAAACTTTTATTTTAAACATACATACATATATGTTCATGAGTGTTTAAAATATGCATTTCTTTGATATTAAAGTCAGGTCATAATATGTTGTCATAGCACAGGAGGCATAGGCAACTTACAGTCCATAATAGAAGATGGTGGGATATAAAGAAGAAAGAGCAATAAAGAAGAAAGAGGAATGTAGGAATAATTCTGATCATACTGCAATAAGAAGACAGTAGTACCCAAATGAGTGTAACATTACTTTCTAAACAACCAAGTTAGTAATTGGGCATTGATGACCAAGGCCAGACTCCTTTGTACCTCTGCCTGCTTAAAATGGACATGAAATGTGACACATGAAATGAGTGGAGGTCCTGCAATGTTGTGACAACTGCTGGTAGCATACCAAAAATTCTTCTTGAAACTTTAGGTTGTTGTTTGTACAAAGCTCTTCAACATGCTGTAGAAAACATTTCTTGGCTATTGGCCTAGAAATAAAGGAATACAAGTTAGGTTTAGCTTAGAATTTTAAAGGAGGAGACCTAAGTATCAGAATATTAAGATATTATCATACAGAAAATATGATAAAAATCAAGTAAAACATAGTTATATGAATAGTTTATAAAAGAGAATTGTTTACTTTAGGTTTGGAATTCGTTTGAAATAATAATCTCTTCCAATTTTAACAGTATCTCCTTTAGCTGATATAACACAAATGCTGTCTAGAAACCACATTTTACAAACATGATTTCTCCAAAATACAATCTATCAATATTACATATACATATATTTGTAAAGTCACTTTTCAGTTCAGTTCAAGTACATAATGCTTCTTTTGTCACTGAGAAACCACTTTATACAATGCAGGGCTTTAGATACATAAAATATAGCAGTGACTTCATTCCCATAATGACATGGTTTTTAAACCCCAAGGAGTTAAATATCCCTGTATTACTTGCCGAGCTAAAACACAGACATGCAGGCTTCACCCCAGAGAGAGAGAAAGCATTTCTCCAGTTACCATGCAATTAGTCATGCTTTTATGATTTACACACAGCTTGGAGCTTTTTCTAATAAACATACAAAAGGAATCACACATTACAACTCATCAGACTAAGAAATCTATAGTCACAATGTAAAAATTGGCAGTTAACTTACTTGATGGATTTTCTATAACTAAGCAACCTGCAACAGAGATTATGTTAAATGAGGTAATTTGCACATTGGACCACTTGCATGCTGGTTAAATACTTGACACAACAGGGATAGAAGAAAGGAATCAAAATGCATTTATTTTGTCCCATGTCTTAATATCCCATGACTCTTATGGGATATTTGAAGCAATGGTGCCAAAACTAAAATATTCATAAACTGTACTACTATGAGCATTATCTGGAAACTGTGAAAGTTAGAGTCTGATTTGTACAGTGTAAAGATAAAAAACACAAAGGCTTAGTTGACCAAAATCATGTGTACTGTGTTTTTAGAGGAAAATTTACAAATATTTGTCACATCCTTCTTCAAAATTCTGTGCTTACAATGTCAAAAGAAAATCCATTCATTGAGGTCAGTGTTATTAAAGCTGGCTACTCTGCAGTATTGTCTTCCAAACAAAGCTTTTTAAAGCATACATTAAGTGCAAAAGAACTACTTGATGTAATCACTTGCTTCATATGAGTAAGCCTTGGTTTGTTTTTCTAGATCTATCTAAATTATTCAGCACCTGAAGTTATCAAAAGCTGATGTCTTTGGGCAGGGTTTATTCAGAAGGTAGATGATCATTTCTCCACCTAAACATATCATCTTATATATGATAAAGCAGAAATGATATTGTTTTGCTTATTAACATAATGGACAACATCCAGTACTGTTGCCTTACCTCCATTGGTTCCCTAGGACAATCACTTCCACCATGAAGAATTAGCAGTTCTAAAACTAACACTGGAAATTTTTAGTAACTCTCATTTCTGTAATGAGATTGGCCAGCATAACTCATGTCTACAAGCACTGCTGATTCGTTTCTTTCAGAAAACTATTATTTTCAGTTCATTCAGATTTCTTCAGGAAACTCTTAGTTCCTATTATGCTAGTGCTCGGTCTAGCCAGAATGTGGGATATGTTGGACACTGCCCAAGAGATTTTTACTGAAAATTCTGTATTTTTAAAGTAGTTTTCAAAGAAATATTTGTACTGTCTTAGATTCATGAAACAGGTAACAATGAGATAAAATGGGAAAACTATACAGCAGAACACAGCTTCAGCTTAACTGAATTCTGGGAGGTATTTCATCCATCTGCTATATCAATTCAGATTCTGTCCAATGTATAGAACATAGTTTTGAAGAATTAGGCTTTATCCTGCCTGGATTCAAGAAAGAGTAGATAGCATACTGACAAATGCTCTTTTCACTAACTAAGTGCCATATTGAGACAGCAACTATATTTGATTGCATACATACACACACACACACACACAAACACACACACATTTCTAATAATTTAAGAGCATGATTAATGCAAGGAAATATGCAGTGCAATCTTATGCCAGTATAGTTGGAGGTGTGTCCCCCTGTACTGAATAAGGTTTAATCTCAGGTAAGTATGCAGCTTGAGTTTCTGTAAGGTTCATAGAATAAGATGTTTTAAACCAATCAGATGTGGTTCTAGCAGCAGCTTGACTTTATTCACTTAACACCTCAGGTTGCTTGCAGTCTGATCCTTTTAGTGTTTGAAAAAATATGCCAACATGTTAGGTGGGGCTTGATCATATGAAAGTTTGAGTAAGATTGCAGCCTATAGTGTTATAATGAAAACTTGAAAGGTGTAATCTGGACTGAAGCAAGATGACCCATCAAGGACAATTTACATAATAGAACAAGCTTCTGCATTCAAATAACTCCTTTGGATCAGGACTCAGGCAGGTAATGGTGGCAGAGAGCAAAAGAGGCAAAATGTGCAGCAATCTTTCTTGAATTAGTGCCATGAGCACACATCAAACAGAAGGTCAGAATGGGAAGGTAATGATCACCTGGTTGGGATTAAGGATATGCAATTGACTACCCTCTAAAGGGTAGTTAGAACTGGCCAGTTGTTGAATATGAAGAAGTTTGAAAACAGAAGTATAGGATGTACCCAAGTGGATTAGAGCCAACTAACACTAGGTTCATGGGCAAATTATTAATATTAGCTAATATTATATTCAAAACATCTTGTATTATAATTTAGTATAGAATATATTATATTCTAATATAGTCAAAATCAGCTTCATTACACAGGAAGTTTATTGCTCTATGGAAGGAACAGAACCTACTCACAAGTACATTACCAAATGCATTCTGTAGAAGAAATGCTAAGGTAACTATTGCAGCAATTTTTTCCCAGTTACTGACTTCCACTGACATTGCAATGCAATAGTATATAAAAAATCTATACAAGGGATCCATGTTTGGGGAAGTTATTGTGCAGGGACTCAAAATGGTTCAGTGGACAAGCTTCCCTTTAGGGTTTGGAAAACATGTTAAGATTATTGTAAATACATCTGTTCAAAGCAACTGAAGTTTCTGAGAGTTTGTAATATTCATCTTGTCTAGAGTGATACGTGAAGCCTCTGAGCCAAGCTGAAGTTTCAGTTCAGTATGACTTTCTCCTGTCCCCCTTCAGTTGAGTTATTTGTCTAGATTGAAAAAGAACTCATTTATTTATGTTGGCAATGGTGACTGGAGTTCATGTTGTCACACAGAATCAGCTTACTTTCTGGGTCAGTCAGTTGAGATCTATTGGGAATTACATCTTGTTCAATAGAAAGCCACAGAAATGAATATGTTGACTAAAGGCTTAACTCATAAGCACCAAAAGCAGTTGATAGGAATAACCAAGGAAATAATTTTCAGCAACTTAATTGAGATCTTCATTGTTCTAAACCCTCAAGGCCAGTATAGAACAATAATTCCTTATGAAAAGCCCTTATAACACTTCCCTCCCCCAACCTCCAGGTTGGAACTCAATACCAGACCTTCAACTGCTTCATAATGGCCTAACATAGATGTGGGGAACTTGCGACTCTCAAGATGTTTTGGCCTAAAGCTCCCATTATCTCTCATTGCTGATTATGCTGGTTAATTTTGATTTGGCAACTCTCAAAGCACTGTTCAATCCCAAATATTTTGTATGAAAAGTGATTGGTCACCCATCTGATATATCACTTGTAATATGGGTGTAATATGGAAAGTTATGTAGGTATTACCAGCATGTACTGTATATGTGTGTGGGGCAGTTAACCTTTTAAAATAGTTCAATAAAATGCATAGGCACTCTCTTACATTTAGACATTGATGTCCTAACCCTGAAGATAAAGGAAAAGAAATGGTACTGAAAGCACATCAAAGAAATGTGCCACTGATTAAATCCATATAATTAGCATTTGATATAAAATATTCATATAACTTTAGAAGTGTGGGATTTGAAATTACAGTTATAGTAACCAGCAGGTTCACAACAATTACTGCAAAATATCCTTGAAGACCACATTTTCAGAAATCCATTCACGTCTAAAGTTGGAACTGCACATTTAAACAAATACAGGTTGAATCTCACTTCATCCCTCTGACATATGCTAAAACCTGAGCTATATTCATATGTCATTGTATGTACAAGATGTATTCTGCATTTCTCCAGTCTTGCTAGCATCAGCCAATGATGTGGATCAGGCAGGGAAACATATCATACTGATTTCATTACATACAATGTCGCATAAGGTTATGACATAAGTAAATTTTACTGCATAATGGAGAGACATGAAGTTTTGCCCTGATATAGTTTGTAATATCACATTTTCATGATATCATTTTATGATATTCTTGCAAACTCCAGTTGTGGTTCAGGAAAAATGTAACATTAAATACTGGATCCTGATTAAATACTAAATACTGTTTGCAATTTATAAAATGCAAAACATTTAATATAACCTTTGCGTTCATTGCTATTATAGTGACTGGGTTTCCACAAGTCATGGTGGTTTCTTAACCGTTGTTAGTCTGTTATATCCTCTGAACCTCATCACAATATTTCAGCTTGTTAGGCTTAATCTATAGAAACCACAAACAAAAACACTGGTCTATTCTATGGTTTCTCCATACCACATTGGCTTGTTGGGCATCCAAAACTGGAAAACACAACCCATCATGATGTGAAGGCCAGAAGCATAGAGTTGCTTGCCAAGAGTGGCCATTACCACTCTTGCTAAGTGGCGAATCAAAGAATGCCAAGATAGCTGCCAATTTGTAGGCATGTCAGAGGCACCCCCACTCTACCTGCTTCCAACCTCAAAGAACTTTGGGGCAGGACTGAGCGATCAGGGGTCAGCACCACAGAAATGAGCATTGCTGAGCTGATTCACCCACTTTCCTCCCTGCTCTCCAAATGCATGTTCCTGAGAGAAGGCTCACAGGGTTGTTACTGTGAGAATAAAATGGAGCTATGCAAACCACCTTGGTTCCTCACAACAGTGAAAAAAATGACTGACATAAATGCAATGTAATAATAATCTTTGTCACTCAGCTCAGGTGACGCTCATGTGGCTTCAGTGGCACAAATACCTTCTGCCAGCTTCAGTTAGTGCTCCAGCTACACTCCTATTTGGACAGAAATAGCCTGGTTTCAATAACTATGCTCTGGTAATCTCTATACTATACTACTGCAATATACCCCACTGCCCTTGAAGATAGTTCAGAAGTTGGAGCTTGTACAAAATGTGGCAGCCAGACTGAAAAGTGGGACCTTTTGGTCCAAGCATATAACCCCTTTTAGCCCACGTGCACTGGCTGTTTATATGTTTCCAAGTCCAAATCAAGGTGCTGATTTTAACCTATAAAGCCCTTCTTGGCTTGGGGCCACAATGCTTGATGAAAATGCCTCTTCCAACCACAACGTGTCTAGATTCTATACTCAACATTTGAGGTCTTCTTCTGAATGCCACCTCCAAGGGAGATTTGACTGAGGCAATGAGAAGGCCTTCTCTGGGGTAGCTACCAAACTGTGGAATGATCTCCCTACTAAAACACACCTGGTACCAAATGTACTATCTTTTTATCTACAGATTAAAGATGCTCTATTTGTTGAGGCATTTACCAACTCCAATACCTCATGGTGATAGGAGGGCATTGTCAGCTGTTTTTTTCAGCAGGCCTAGCAGCATGGACTGGTTTTAGCTGTTTAGTTGTAAAAATGAAGTTTTGAGATATTCACTTATATAAAGTTTTTGAGATTCACTTATATAATGTCAATAAAATATATATAATATTTTATTGACATTATATAAGTGAATTACAATGCAATAGCAACAGTAACTTGTATGATCATTTTTTGACCTCAAGGTGACTTTCTGCAGTTATCTCAGAAGAAATGACTTGCTAAACTTGCTAAAATTCTAAACTGCTTTAGGCTTTGGGGGAATACACCCCAAAAGTAAAGTGTGTGCTAAGCTTGAATTGGACATTTCCTAAATGGATTTCTATCTCTTCACCACAGGTACTGGTTACTTCAATCTACTCAGAGGTCCTTTCTAGATGGCCTCACGCTATAAATATGCAGCTGTTGCTCAGATTTTACACAGGATCCATTTGCCTGTTTACAAGAAACGTTTTTTTCAAAGAATATAACAAGCGGCAAGCAGCAGCAATGCTCCCTCTTCTCCCATATAAAAATATCCAGCCATTGTGTGAACTTTCGGTCTCTCTGTCCTTTATCCTATATTAGAGCACACAGCCCTTCTGATTTGTGGTGGTGTTTTTAAAGTAGAGTACAGGTTATCTACCCACACCGCAGGGCTACCTACCAACCATCACTGTGTAAGAAAAGGATATTACACTACTGATGTTGGATTGGGCATGTGCTAGCATAACTCTAATGATAACATCTCAGTTTCTCTGTCATCTGGAAAGACCCTGCATTGCCTAATAATGATATGAAAACAAATGTTATCATCACCTAGTATTAAAGGTTTCAAAATGCACCTAAGATACTCAGGAAAAACATACATTTAAGATGAAGGTCAACAGAGCATACTATCACACAAATGAACACAGCACATTGGAAACCACACATGGATTTTTCAGCCATGCAGTAACTTACTGGATGACAAATATCTCCTTGCGTCTAAAGAAAAGGGAAGAATATCTGGAAACAAAATCCATTCATAATTAAGTATTCAAAAAGAGACCAGAATTCTTATTCATGTATAAGGTTGCATATGTTCACATGCAAACACTGGGGTAAGTGCAAATGATTTTCAAATTAAATACAAAAAAGAGGTAAGTTTGTAAAATTTGCCAAGGCGAATATTTCCATTCTTATTATTAGCAAATTATTAGTTAAACAAAATGGCAGGCATGTTAGTCTCACAGGATACGGTGCATTGGTCAATCATGTAGGTATATCTTCTTCACAATCTGCAAAGGACCACTCAGTCCCAAAATGCTGCTCCTTACCTACCCTATTCACAAAGCTGGGGTAGGCTTGTAAACCCAGGACCCTTGAGACTTGTTACAGGCATGAACTGAAGTACATCTTGTCCACTATTCCATCAGATACCTTGCACTTACTTAATTAGCCAAAATAGCTAGAAGACACAGTGCCATCCTTCATACAACCTTGGTTCAGAAAGTTTCTCAGCCAATCTTCCTAGAAATCTGGGCAGTAAATTGACTCATACTTTGATCCACTATTACCCAGGTAAGCTGCAGTATTTCTGTTTAAGAATGCAATCTTCTATGTGTGTGAACAAGAACTTCCACCAAGGTCAATGTGGCTTACTCACAAGTAAGCAGGTATTGGATTGCAGTCTAAATTGATTTCATCACTATGAAATCAATGCACTTAACTCTTACTTCCAGATCAAGCACAGACTCCTCTTTAGGTTGTATGTAATTTGACATGTTATCTTAAGCAACCAAATGCAAGGTTTCAGATTTTCTTTGAACATGTGAGAGCAAAATGTGTAACAGAAGCAAATATGTAACAATAACAGCAGTAGATCTGGATAGTGTAAGTGAACATCAAATGCTGCTCTGAGTTGTAAATGAAAAGGTGATGTTAGACATTACTTGGATGCTTGTTAGATGTTACTTAGTATATTAGATGTTAGTACAGAAATATTTGTGCTGCTTGTTATTTCTATTTAGGGGAATGAATTGAAATGTTAAATTTTAAAGTAAATGTTGAACTGTTTTTAAAAGTAGTTAAAATCGTTTTTGTATTTTTCCATCTCAGATACTGTTAGCAGTATTTTATCTATATCATAGTTCCATCCTTTTTCCACAATAGAGCTACACAAGATCTAGTTCACAGTTCATAATGATGGGTTTTCCTCTGGGTTCAATTCTCATGTTGTCTCTCAACCCAAAGTTCCTGGCTCACATACAATGCAAAATAACCCAAGGAATGAGCATCCCTGGGTGGATTAGCTTCTCCTTCAGACAGTGGGAGTGACTGGTCACTGGGAGTCAGCAAGCTCACTTGCTCACTCATGACAACCCATGGTTTTAAAATATGCTGGCTTGTTGTGATATGCAGACCTGGCCTTGCCATGTTCTCGCATTTTAACGTCAGAACAATTGTGTGAGGTAGCTTTTGGCTGGGAGAATGGCTGGGCCAAAGTTATGCAGTGGCTGGGCAGGGATCTGGGCCCAAGTGTCCCTGGTCAAAATCCCACAGTCTGTCCACTGCACTACACTGGCTCTAGTGCTGACAGATTTTTAAAAGGTGGTCAGATAGCTTAGAGTGACATGCTATTGAATTACTCTGAGTTGAAGTGAACATAGAGAACAAGCTCTCAGGGTATTAAGAGTGATTGCATATTTGGTCCTCAAAAAACACTTAACATCAGAACTACTCAAAGAGATTACGTTTGTAATTTTTAAAAAATGCATAGCAAAACTGCTTGGCAGAATTACATAGTGATTTACACTGTGACCTTATTCCAAAGTGAGGAAGAGCAAATGATTATCTGAATTCCTGAGAGAAGTGTCTGGAGGTCACCCTTTGAAAGAGGATCTTTGTGACCTGTGTGAATAAGAACACCACAAACACTTCCAAACAAGTAAAAGGTCACAATAGGGTCATGGCTGCAGACCCCCAGAACTACTGTTTGGCCTAAGGAGTATGCTTACCGCGTAAATCTTTCATCCTTCATTTCCAGGTCTGCCACTGTGATCAACTGATCTAGTTTGAATTTAGTGTCAATAATCTCTGCATCCCGTGGTGAGTATGTGCCTCCTTCTTTTTGCTTTTGTCGTATTCTAACCCAAAGACCACAGGAAATGGAATAAGAAAGAATGTTCAGCATTATTCATAATTCCTAAATTTTTGTGACATCTCTCTTTGGAGTTTCAAAGTGCTAATAATATGCAAAATGATATAAATAAGATGAAAGGCCATGATCTGTAAGTAGTAGTTATTTATTCCCCAACATTTATGTTGAAACATGTTCTAGCTGGTGTTACCTGGGATTTTTTCAAAGATTTATACCTCAAATCAAGTCAGAAAAGTAAAGATTTGTGTATTTCTGTATAACAAAGATAATTAGATTTTTCGATTCAATTACACAGGATGATAAAAAATACAAATATATCACATGCATACTCAGCAACATTACTTTTCAAAAAAGATTTGAGGCTGTTACAAAATCAGCCTTGTTGACATCTTATAATGTTGCAACATCTGTGTCATTGACCAGAACAGAGTTGTGGTGGTCAGAGTTCTATTCTAGCTGACTTTTCAATAAGTAATGAGGAAGATGGTCAATTTTCCTAGAGACAGACACAATTTTTATATGCATACTTGGGTTTTTGATAGAACTTCTATAATATTGGACTGAAATCTAAGAGCTGTATAAACTATTCTAAACAAAGCTCCTCAGATTAAAGAGACTTTTCAGATAGCAGCTCTCCCTAAGCAACAAATATTTTAAAATAAAATATTCCCACCATACTATGAATTGCTGACAGGCCTGCAAGAGCAGCATGTTTGTCTGAGAAGAAGTAACCCCAGTAGCCCATTCCCAGTCTCTGCAGTACTTAAGGAACAAAAATTGCTATGAAAACATGGTCAGTCATTCAGGGTGAAAAAGAGAGCTAAGACAGATTATCTTCTGCTCCTGTCCCAACTAGGTTGGCTCAGTAAGAATTGCATAATACCCATTCATTACTCTATAAAAGCTGTGGCAGCTTCTTTCTTACTGAATGCAAATTTCTTAGCATCCCCCAACCTGGTGCTTTCCAGACATTTGGTCTACAATTCTAAGCTTTCCTGAGCATTGGCTGTGCTGGCCAGGGTTAATGGGCACTGAACTTCAACACATCTAGTGGACAAAAGGTTGGAGAAGGCTGGACTAGGCTAATGGGTATATCAACAGCTCAGCAACGAATGAATACATTCCTGGGATCTATCCTTTCCTCTGCTTAGTCTCACTGCAATCTTAGATCAAGGGTCAAAAAATCATTTTGATGACCTGGTTTACATGTCCTGGTGGCAATTCCCAGGCTGTTCAACTCAGCATGCAAAAGCATACCTACCTTGCAAAAGCATATATTGCAGCCACAAGAAGAATTATAGAAAGTATACACAAAGTAACTGCAAGTATTATTTCTACAGCTCTTTCAGACAATCCATCACCTGTAATACAAAGTGGGTACTATTGGCATTGAAACTTAGTTTGAAGACAAACTAATATCTGAATGCTGGATGTGGTTTATTTTCCCAAATATATCTACTGATTCTACTTTCCTTAAGGACATACCAGCACAGTTCTTAGCAAACACAAAAGGCACAGAATGAAATGCCTTTAATGGTTTTTAAAGGATCATCTACTGCCAAGATGATGGTTACATCTAAGGCAATTGCAATCAGTAGGCTTGCACTGTGCAGCTAATGGATAAACAAAAAATGGAAAAGCACAACTGCCCAAGTATGCATGTCTCGCATATCAACCCTATGAGCTGTTGAATGCCTATAGAGCTTCACATGATGCGCAACAGGGCTCCAGTATTGCCATGAGCATGGAACTGGTACCCAAATTTTATTTATTTATTTATTGCCGGGCATTACAAAAGTATGACCAAAGCAATTAAAGGAAAATGGAAACTGAAACATTACATTTTAAGACAAGATTTTACAAGATACATAACACTTATTTCATGATCTATCCCTACATGTAAGTAGTATTCCATAACAATATACTATTGTTATTAAAATATTCATACACTTCAACAAAGGCAGCCCGAATATCCATATATTTACCCCTTAGTAATTTACACCTAAGGGTGACTGTTCAAAAATTGAGAGTTTCATTAAAGTGTTTACTCATTGTGTTATGGAAGGTGGCCATTTATCCTTCCAATATTTTGTGCCCAGATGTTAAGACTGGGTCCTGACCAAAGTTCTAGTGCAAACTCAGCAGCCATGACTAGTGTTAGTATAAAATGTACCAGGACTTTCTGCCTTGCCCTTCTGAGGCAAAGTTATATCTTAACCAAGCGTATCTAAAGTTCTGTGGATAGGCAGAAGAACAAGGAGACTCAGCCCTGGTGCAAGATCTCTTGCCACACCACTGCTGCCACTGCATTGTGATACCACAAGGCCTACCTCACCTCTGCCCCACTGTCTCATTTTATCTTATCTTCAGCTCCCCACCTGTGCAGAGCTGCATCGTCAGAAAAAGTAGTTGCAGAGTTCTCTTGGGAGTTTGCATGAGCTTTATGAGAGCTCTTGAACATTATGAGAGTTCAACAACAAAGAAAAGGACAGGACAGCTGTTTTAGAGATCCCGTTCTTCTGCCATGGTATATACTGCAGTAGGAAAGTTTCTGGAGGAGCTTTTCAGAGCACCCACTTGAGGCTACAGGGAGGCAGAGCAGCACAATTTACAATCTCCTGCTCCACCACAGGATGCAGGTGCCTCCCTCCTTTCATGGGTGGGGCAGCTCTGCAGAGTCTTCAGGACTGGAGACAGCCTATTATGTGGCTTTCTAAGGATTGTTCAAGCAGTTTGGGGCATTAAAAACGCATCACCTGCAAATGACCTCAAGTCAGTTGTGCATTCAATGGTCACAAGTCCTCAGTGGGGTACATGTCTATGTTTTCTAATGTCAATGGAACTGTTGAAATCAAAATAACTTTGTGCCTTGATTTTTCTGTAGTATGCTCACAAAGGAGATTTTCATAGCAAATGGGGCACAACTATAGGTTTAGTTTTTGGCTCTTTTTTTTAAGGCAGCAATGGTATCACAAAACTGTATTGTGCTGTTGTTATGAAGAAATGTTTGTAGTGGCTTTCTCTTTACCTAAAGTTTTGATGGGATCCGAGTAGTCTGAATCTGTAAATTGGCCTTTGATATTTGTAGCCCTGAACTTAAATCTGTAAAACAAAACACAACATTTAAGGAGTGGGTCAGACTGTCCAGCATTCATCTAGCACAGGATAAGTATCTCAAAGCCATCAGAAACAGATGATTTCAAGTGAGGATGAAATAAAGGCATTTATGAACTGCAAATAGGCTACAGATTCGTGAGAATTAGTGTTTAGAGACTAATTTATTGTACAGGCTTCTTTTCACAGGCTAATATAAAAGGAAAGTCCTAAACTTGATGTGTTCCTGGACTGAAGAAGAGAGGGCAGGCTGGACAGGAATATGGAGGTCTTGCACAGGTCTCCCATTCCTCTTCAGTCTATTGTAGTGTGATATGCACCTACTAACATGCACTTAAGGAGAATCTTGCATCCATTATGGCCTTAAGCAGTGTGTGGGTAGTAGGGATAGGCATAATAGTGATGGTTTCTCCAAGCATTCTCATATCACCTGTTACCTGGAGTCTCATTCCAGTTTGCAATTGTTGCTCACTTTGTGCAAATGGGAAGTTTGCACAAATTGAGCAGTACAAATTGAAAAATACAAATTTTTTCAATTTGTATTTTTCAATTCAACAAAATACAAATTCTGATATATGGTTATTATGTAGTACAGCTACAATAGACAACTATCTAAATTCTAATCTGCTGGTACAACTCTGATGACCATACCCTATCTGAATTATTTTTATTTAATTAACTTATTTCAATGTCATTCTATGGCAATGAGTTCAGGTGAACATCACATTGCATAAAATTTGATTTTGCTTGCTTGTCTGAAGATCAGTTTCTACCTTGGTAAGTATATATGCATTTCTCTATTACACTTGTATCCTATTTTTCCTCCAAAGAGTTCAAGTGGTCTAGGCACAGGCAGCATAGAAGGCAGAAGAGTCCAGTAAGACTGAAAATAAATGGGAAATCACAGGAGAGTCACAACAGCATAGTCCTATCCTACTGCTTCAGCTGCTGCTGATGAAGCTACACTCTTTTTGCATAGTATAAGAGTATATGAAGCAATACTCCTCTTGCATAATGTAAGAGAGGTATCAACCATGCCTTCCCAATAGCATCTGGAATGTAAGCCACATCTATAATTGGCTGTGATACAGTTTGCATGCTACTTGCTCATCTGATACATTTGTAAACAAGCAGGCATTTAAAAGCATAACAGTTCTTCAATCCACTGGAAATTTTCACAGTTTAGAGAAATGAAGGACAGACAGAACAAAACAGTATTTTTAAAATTGATTTGACAGCTTTTTTATAATTCAGTTGAAATTGGCTATGTAATTGTGTTTTCTAAAATAGGCCTTAGAATAGTAAAGCATCTTTTTTGTCCCACTGTTATACAATTGCTCTATTATACAATTAGAAATACACTTACAGGTATTGTTTTCTGGGCTTCAGTGGGCCATTACAAATTTTTTCTTCACTGCCTGGTATCATACATGTACTATCAGCCCCTATTACATATACATCTTCATTGCTGCTTAGTCCTTCATTTCCTTGTGTACATGGAGGGTTTGGAAATCCCTCATTTACAAAATAGGGTCTTGGTTTCTTGAAGTAGGCGTCGTACCACTTAGTTACATTGCCATCATGCTGAACTAAAATCAGGCAAGGAATGGTAAGTAATGCTCTATTTCTATCACAAAATCAAATTAAGTAGAGAAATAATTTTGTAAACATATCTCATTGAATATCATAGATACAGACATATGTATAGCTTTACAAATGGTAGAAGGTATTACTTCTGACTATAAATGCCTGCAAGTTTGGGCTGAAATACCTTATTAAAAGAGAAAATACATAAATTGTGTAACATAAGATAGAAATATGAGTTCAACTATGCATGCATAGCTTTAAAGTATTCCAATAACACGATTTCCCCATTTCATTTCATTTCCATATTTATCTGATAGCTTTTGGATGTAATCAAATCAGGATGTCCATAATGCTCCAAACTTGCAGGCATCCTGTACGGGATAAGAGGAGGTCATTTTGGAGCAAGAGGGAAAGACTGAGGCACTATTAGGATCCTGGAGGTGCCAGTCTCCTTTACTGCTTTCCCCCAGAATGCCCCCACCCCCAGCCCAAGGTTGCTGTTGTGACTCCATAGATGCAGCTGCCATGGTTCTTTCTGTGTTAACTGATTTCCAGTTACAAGGCTGGAGCATTTTGCCAACCTTATCACTGGGGATTGGCACAATCCTATAGCTGTCTTGGTGCTATCCGGCAGCCACAGAATTTCCCATACCCTGCTTTTTAGGATGCCTACTGTCACAGTGTTCCTTACTATACAAACATTTATAAAATAACTAGGTAAGAGAATGACTAAAACACATCATCAATAGGTAGATCTCTTATCCTTTGGCATTTTCTGTCTGTTGTTTCAGTTTGTTTCCAGTTCTCTCCACCCATTCATGTACTCATTCAAGACATCGGTGAGTGAATAAAGAGATTATCAGGATAGAAAGCAAAAAGAACTATACACCCAAATACACTATACACAAGATGGCATAGAATTGCTGAGCAATTGGAGAAACTTGTTTACAAAAGAAGGATGATACTGAATTTTACACGTTTCTGTGGTGAAAAAATGGAATTTTGCTAGAACTCTGTCTGTATTATACAGCATTGTGATACTGCATCTTCTTCCATTCACATGCATTTACATCCCATATTCAGGAAATTGAAAAGCCTGCAAAACACAAGGTAACCCTGACAGCTGATTAACATTTACTGTATTACATGAGGGGACCTTTTAAAAAAGTATGTTTGTTCAATCAAGGAAGGCAAAATAAGAAAGAAAAGAGTAGAAATAGAAAGAAGATGCATATATTAATTTAAGGAAAAATCCTTCTGTACCTCCTGCTTCAGCAACAAGAATCTGTATTTTCTTGATGGGCCCATGGTCATCATTGTAGTAGCAAACAGGCATATGAATAGTAATGGTCGTAGCACTGACAAGCAGAGCACCACTGGTATCATAAACAGGCACTGGTTTCTTGCTAGGCTTTGGTGGTTCTGTTTTGAGACAAATACATTCTATGATGCTGTTCTACTGAATCCAGTTACTGCACTTCTTTTAAAGACACTATTCAAATGGAGCACTTTTGTGCTGAGTCAAATCCTCTTAATATTTTTTAGGTAAAATATTTCTGGGCTGCCCTTCAGGGCAGGATCACTCCCAACACAGTGCCCAACAGTAAAATGCATGCAATGAAAACTTGACAAGGCAATTAAAACAGCAAACATTCTAAATAACAACAAACATCAGCATAAGACAAAACCTATAACACACAATTGCAGCTACAACCCAGTGCCATAAAACATAACTGGATAAGGACAAAGTAAGCAAGTTTTCAGAGCCTTCATAAAATCTGACAAGGATGAATTGCATCAGGGTCATCAGAACCTTGATGGCAACCAATTCCAGATATCTGGGACCACTACCAACATGGTTTGCTCTTATGTATCTAGTTGCCCTGAAAGGTGGGCAAAGGGTTTCTCTTGCTGGTTTTAAAGTGCAGGAAGACTGATATGCATATTTCAAAAACTTGGCCACAACTTGGTTAAGGCTTTAAAAGTGGCACTGAACACTTTAGATGAGTGGGGAAATATATTGGTAACTGACGCGCTTGGTACAGTATGATTTGCTTGCCCACCATTCTTGGCTGGCACTTTCAAAGGCATTCCCATGTGCAGCAAATTATAATAGTACAGCCTGAGCATCACTAATGCATAGATAACTGAGGCAAAAAAATGTCCTCACCACCATAGAACTGCAATTGGTATAGCAGCCTAACCAAGTAAAACTACTTCTGGAACCACAGCCATCTGTGCACATACAGTTAGCACAGATTCCAGGAAGAATCCCGGAGTAAGACTCCTAACTGGTCTTTTAGGCTGGGTGCGACTACCTCTACTTGCTAACTCCATCCACAATAATTGGTTTCCTAGCCAAAAGTACATCTGTCTTGTCTGGATTAAGTTTCAGTCTGCTAACCCTCAACCATCCCAAGGTTACACTACAAGTTATACACTAGGGTTAGGACTCCAAGGATATGGAATGGGCTTCCATGGGAGGTGGTTGAAGCCCCATCGGAGAAGGTGTTCAAGGATAGGCTAGACAAGCACATGGTAGGCATGTCACGAGAAGAGTTGGCTGGAGCCAGGGGTCAGACTAGATGGCTCAGGAGGACCCTTCTGACTTGCTCTGTTTTTGTGTTTCTATTACCATGCAGCAGGGCACAGCTCAAAATCAGTGTACACTGATTATTCTTATTCTTATTTGTATTACATTTCTGCCCAGCAATTCTTCCTTTTGCAAGGAACCCAAGTTGGCTTAAAAGGTTCTGTGAACCAGTTACAAAGAGATTGGGAAAGAAAGCCTAGAGCAATCTAGGATGCACATCTCCTAGCGTATGGAAAAGCAAATGGAAATGATCTTAAATTATGTTTCTATAGCCATCATTGTGAGCTTAAGTGGACTCCAGGGGATGGTGGAGGACAGGAAGGCCTGGAGGAATGTTGTCCAAGGGGTCACAATGGGCTGGACACAACTTTGCAACTAACAACAATAGCCATCATATTTATTATGAAGCCTTATATGACCCTACCTTTAATGTCAGTTGTGATCTTAAGTTGAATTTTTGGCCCTGCACCAGCACCATTGATTGCATACACCTAAGAAGAAGTGAAACATTGAGTTACACTACATTCTGTTTACCCCAATAATACAATGTTGAAGGGATTACCTAGCTGGGTCTCATTGTGTATGTATGAAACAACATCATGTTTAAAGACCACAAGAGTAAAGTAAGACGTTGAATCTGGGCACAATAATACAGATTTGGAGACATACTGGATGTTTAGACAGACATGCTACTCCACAGCAAAGCTTTCTAGCTTAGCTTTAGCTTAGCTTTCCCACTGATCACCTCAAGAGTTCCTGGATAACATTAAAGAAAAAGCATCAACTTACACTGATATTATATGTATGTCCTCCTTTTAGTCCCTCTATCATGGCAGTTACCAACTTGTTTGTACTGTGCATAATACTTAAATTATAGATCTGGAAAGCCGTTGGGTCATCCTCTTTGTACACCGTAGCTTGATATACCTGAATATTGCCATTGAGTTCAGATGGTGGTATAAATGTCATCTGAAATTTTGTTACTTCACCAGGTATCTTCTGAAATGTTATGTTGTTAAGTGGGTCTCTAGGTACTGAAAGAATTTGAAATAATTAATTATTTACTCCAAAATTAATTAATTTGTTACCTTTCTGCTTCAGTCAAGATGAACTAGCATGTTACACATATATCTAAATTCAGATGTTAAGTGTTTTCGAGAAATTGCTTGATAAATCAATTAGGTACACCTGCAGCACACCACCCATGTTAGGAAAAACGTCATACTCATATTCAGCTGCACACACATTATAAGAACAGATGGCCCCAGGTTCAATCCCAAGCATTTCCAATTAAAAGATCAGGTAAGGGTGATGGAAAAGACCTCTGCCCCATAGAGCCTCTGCCTATCAGTGCAGTATAGATGGAAGATGGGGCAAGATGACCAAATAGTCTGGCCTCATAGTAGGCAGCTGCCCTGAGTAATTAGAACAGGTGCCCCAGTACTGTACAGTATGTAATAAAGCAAACACAGGCTCCTTCAACTGCAGCTAGAAAATTTTTGAACTTTCAAATTTTTGGAAAGGAGAAAGAACCATTATGTTTTACTTTCCACCACCTGCTCCAGCAAATTTATTTTGCAAATTTGCCCCTTCTGTTTTTTTTTTTTAAGGAGTAGCAATCAAGACACAGTCCTTGTGAAGATGATTCTTTAAAAGACAGTTTAAAATATAAAAATAAAATAAAATACAAATAAACACGTCAACTTACCTGCTTCAAAAGTGGAAAAAATAACTGAAGTACTAGACTTGCCTTCAATGTGTGCAGCATGTATATCCCCAGTAAAAGCAGTAACCACAACAGAATACCTTGTAAAGGCCCTTAAACCTGAAATATTAAGGGTTTTATCTTCATAATTTGTTTGGACGAATGAAGCTTTATAGTAATCTGTATCTACCTGTACAAAGCAAAAAAGGCCAAAATAAAGGATATTATTTATCAAAGCAGTAGTCACAGAACATGAATAATGTCATCAAATTGAAGAAACTGCAGTAGTCAAACTGGATTACTGTCTACCTGTGCAAAAAAGTTAGGATAACAAGTGTGTAGGTGGATGAATTTTTAATCCTATAGCAATGCCATTAATTTTTCCTCACAACTCATTTGGGAATGTTCTTTTGAACATTCTGTAGTTGTACAGAAGGATGTTTCAGAGGACCAAATATTGTACAGGGATGTTTATAATCTCAATAGATTAGAAACCACCGGTGCAGTTTTCAAGATATTTGTATGTAAGAACAATTTCTTAACATACATCATTGTAAATTTACTAAGGGGTTCGGTCTTTCTGAACTCTCCATGTCAAGGGTCCAAGAGCACAACATGCCCCAAAGTCACAAATTAGCTTTGTGTCTGTCTTGGTGGCCAATAAATACAGTGTATTGTTTTCCTCTATAAGGCCATAAGGAAAGTCACAATGACATCCCACTTCTCTAAGCATAATAGTAACTTTATGTGCCAGTGATATTTGAAATTGTTTTGCATGCCCCCAAAGTAGCAACAGCACATTTTTAAAGAAGTAAGTCCTAAAAAGAATTGGCTGTAAAGGTATAACTCTATGAACTCTCTTGAAAAAGGTAGAAGTGCTTAAAAAGACAGTTCTATGGCTTTTAGACAGTGTCTTGGAAATGATAGGATTCTGAGGATTCTGAGGCTGGAAAAAGATCTCTCCACACTCAATTACCTCCCCTTACAGGCACAGACGGACCCATACCAGCTGCTTCTCTGAGCTCATAAAAGGGGCATTCCAGGGAAAGGAAGGGGAGGATAGGACTGCCAGGCTACAGCATATCTTGACAGTTCTCAGGCCTTCTTTCCTCACCGTCTAAAGCACTGAAGGCAGTAACTGTAGGGCTGAAGGAGCAGGGAGGGTGTAGCTCACCTCCACCGATTCTCCTTCCCTGCATAGGATTTCTTTAATCCTTCTAATCTGGAAGCTTCTACCCTAATGCCTTTATTAAGAATTGCCTCCATTAAGAAAGCTGCATACAACAATGTGTATAAATTTGCATGCAAAGGTTTAAAAAAAGAGTTTGGGACAAACTGAACTTTGGGCTGGAAAATGAATAACCGGGAGAAACCGGGGAAAATGAATAACCGAGATTTTTCATCCCTATATCAATATTTGTGCACTGCGCTTTGACCTTAAGTATTTGAATAGGGTAGAACTTTGTCATAGCAGGTTCCATACAGTGGGCCAGTGTGCAGATCACAGCAAGCCATCGTGAGTGAATTCATTTGTGGGGCTCCATGATGTACCAAGCCATCATTCTCCATATGAGAGCCATGGTGAGGCCATGACATTGAGCCTCTGTAGGTGACTAAATCCACAGTGGTTTACCATGACATATGAGCCAGGTCATTATCTCAGCTTGGAACAGGTGCTGTTACAGGGAGCAAGATAGCAGTTTGAATGCTGATGCTCTCAGGAAGCTGTTGCTACTGCATCCCCCTGAGCTATAGTAATAAACTACCACATGGCTCTGTCTCCTCCTTTTTTGTGCCAAAACAACAGTAGAGAAGCCCCTGAAAAACCCACAAAATTAAGCAGCATGATATAGTTCAATCTACAAATGGTTAAATGTAATCTGATATAAAATTCCTTCCACATGCACATTCTTGAATTATTTCCTTCATTTTTCCAATGTGCAACAGAAAAAAGGATTTTGCATTTCTAAAGCAGCAGTCCCACTGGGTCAAATCTCTGGTAGATACAGCTGCTAACACAGTAAGATAGTTCAAGAATATATTTTCTTGGACAGATGTGCCTTAGTATCCCCACTGAGAGTTAACCTTAACCAAAGATTCTGATGTACTAAACAGACATCATTTTGTAGGATGGCTATCAAGAGGCAAATTCTTTTTCCATCCATCTGAACTTAAGTATTTTAGTTGGGGAAATATATGTACACACACACTCACACACACACACTTGCAGTATCGAGCTTTCTTGTCCCTTCCTAAATACCATGTGATTTATCTTTTAGGTCATTTGTTTATGCTTTCTTCTGAATCTATTCCAAACAGTTTACTTAGGGGCAGCCAGAAGGTTCATTGAGATCTTCTGATAAATCTTTGGGTGAGTAGATATCCAAGTGTTTCTGAACTGCAACAGTTGAACATAGTATAGTAGAACTATGCCTTCCACTTTTGTAAATGATGTAAACTGGAAGCCCATTTTCCAAAGAAAGCAGAGTACAGTTATTGAATTTATTATTCATCTTTTCCACTAGAACAACAACAAAATGATTGAAAAGTATGCTTGATGTAAGAGAGTATGGAAAGGCCAGTGTGATGCACTGAAAAAAGAGCTGTATTGAAAGGAAATTCAAATTCAAAATTCAGTAAAACTGCAGATGTCCCAATCAAGACTAAAAACAGTTGAGGTAAGTGAAGAATATCTTAATTGTTAGATCCCTGTTCAAAAGCCAAAAATCTGTCATTTGACAAACTAGACAATTCGTTCCTATTTTTAACAAATCAACAGTGTATCTTCCTTTAATACCTTGTGTCAGTTGAACAGATAATGGAGAACATCCTTAACCCCATGAGTCACAACAGTGTAAGTGTAAATTATCTGGTATCTTAACTATGCCACCAAAGACTATAGTGGGCATCATTATAGAACCATTGTGACACAGATGGCAGAATGTTGGAGTAGGATTTAGGAGATCTGGGTTCTAATCCACCTACGAAGCTCACTACGTGATTTTGGACTGGTCTCTGACATTCTCATTTCTGCAATAAATATGCCATATTTCAATAACAGGATTTCTTTCTCGATGGACCAAATGTGGATTGTTCAAACAATGCATTTGCCAAGTGATATTCTGGTACTTTCTTACATTATGACCAATAATTGATTGTCTGCTGATACATCTTTATGCAATTCAATTTCTATCCATAAGTAGTTCAGGCATATGTTTTTAGAAAACATGCAGACCTCTTAAAATTCTGTTGTGAACACAATCTTACTCATCCAATATCAGAAAGTTCCAGTCTTCACATTTAAACCATATTGGATGCTTAATCTGTAGCTGTATTAAATTCAGTGGAAAGGGGAAGTGGCCACCCACAACAATACACTAAAATTTAGGGTCCCAATCACAGTCTGTTCAGCCTTCAGTATGCTCTAAAGGTTGCCATCAACATGAGATAACAAATAATGCCTCTGGACAACAACATGTAGACACCTGTTCTAGCACATTTTAATATATTCCTAAAATACTGTGCATGGCTCATAAGAACATAGTACTGGAATGAAAGCTTGAATATCCTGGAATAAATGCAATGCAAGTAAGATTGGCAAAACTTGGTTTTTTAATAGATGATTGACTTGTGAAATCAAAGAAAGGTTAACATACAAGAGAACTTGCAGCACGATCCTATACATGTCTACTTAAAATTAAATCCCATTGAACTCACAGAGCTTCCTTTCAGGTAACTGATACAAGTTAGTAGCTTTAACTTTAATATAATCTATAGTAGCCTAGAAAATTTGTCTTATTTATTTTTTAAAATCTGTCTTGAACAAAATCTTAAATCTATGATAATGCCTCATTAACTGGAAATCTTTTGAAGGGATTTTGTAAAATACAGCTTGTTTGTGGAATCTGAAGTAGTAGCAGTTTCCCTAGAGAGCCATAACATTTTATTCCAGGACTTAACTACAGGCAGACTGATAGTTTTATTGGACTTTAAGCTATCAATAGGACTGCCTATGTAGACTTCACACCTGTAGCTACTGATCATATAAAAGACAATGCTTAAGAAGAAGACATTCTTAAAAATAAAAACATACTCTGGAGAGAAAATATTGAAATATTTCTTTTATATTATATAAAGCAAGATCCTTTCATTGTCTGAACATTCAGTAGACCCTGATCCATTAAACTAAAATAAGATAATGCAATAATCTATTGAAATGATGCAATTTCCCTATTGAACTTAATGTCATTTACTGTCAGATAATGGACATAGGATACGAGCTTTAGGGTGCAATCTTATGCATGTTTCCCTAGAAGAAAATGTCCTATGGTTCCCAGCATACCTCAGTCATATTAGCCAGGGGATACTAGGAATCCTGCGCCTTTTTATTGTCTTGATATGCAAATTAAAATTTGAGCCAGGATTAAGATTTGGAACATGGAAAAAGAAAAGGCTTCGTATGATCACACCATCATTTCCCATCAGAGATGATCATTAGCTAAGATTGCTGGTCCATCTGGACAACTGTACATTGGAACTGTTTATGACTTCTAGCAAGTTCCAGGTACACAACTTGAATAACCAGCTTCTACAGTAATATTCAGGGAAATGTTTTTAAGGCAGGAGTTGTGATTCCAAGAGGGAAAAAAACATGCTTCAGGTCTTTTTTTCTTTAGAAAATAGGCACTAATGTTACACAAGCTATTGATTTGTATCATCCATGGTCAAAGAACAAACAGTTGAAGTGACTTACTGAAGTAATGTCAATGAGGTAGAATGTTGGTCCTGTAATTATGACAGGCTCATTCCAGCTAATATTAATACTATATGGAGATGTAACTACCACAGTTACATTTTCTGGAGGTGCATCTGGAACTGCAGAAAAAGTTGAAAATATATCAAGAGATGTGGTTTGTTCCAAAATCAAATATATTCACAGTAATCTCCTTGCAATAAATACTCAATTTTCACTGTTTTAACATTACTGGTTGACTCAAGCTATTAGTATAGAATACAGTGGTACCTCGGCTCACGAATGCTTTCGTTCACAACCAAATCAGGTCATGAACAAAAATTTCATGACAATTTTGATGTGGGTCACAAAATCCACATTGGGTGGCGACCAAGATCACAGCCATCTCCCCATTCGCCCAAGTAGGGAGATGGCCATGATCGCAGTTGCGTTTGTGCAGGGAAGACGTGCGTGATCACGGGCACACTCCTGCAGGAAAGACGGGCACAATCTTGGCCATATTCCCCCCCCCCCCAACCAGCATGATAGCGGCCATCTCCCCACACACCCCCCAAATGGGGTGATGACCACAATCGTGCTGGTGGAGGGGAGATGGCTGAGATCACGTCCATCACTCCCTCCCCCAGCGCATTCCATTTGCACCTGTCTCTCTCCCAGTGCACCCACAATCATGCCTGTCTCCCCCCACTGCACCAGGATGACAGACCCATGCAGGGATGATCGGCACATGCAGGGGTGATGGGCACTTGCAGGGATGACAGGCGTGATCTCGGTCATGCTAGGGGGTGGGGAGATGGCCACACTTGTGCTTGGGGTGGGGAGGGGGAGATGGCCATGATCTTTGTTGTTCTGTCACTTTGGTTCACATTTTTCTGATTTAAAAAAATGGTTACAGAATGAATTAACCTTATTTACATTGAACCTTATGGGGAAATTTAACTTGGCTCATGACCAATTTGGGTCACGACCAGAGTCCTGGAACAGATTAAGTTTGTGAGCCAAGGTACCACTGTATAGCTGCATACACAGATACTCCACTGTTGTGTATGTTGATTTTAAGTATACATTGAAAGAAATAAAGATTGTATATTCTCTTTCTCTGTGTGTTGTCTACTTCATGTGTTATCCATGGATGTATATCCATAAGTAGTGGGGAAGAAAGGGAGAATGAAGAAAGAATTTAATTACATCCAAGGGGCTTTAACGGTTTAATATCCATGTATTTTTAAAAATGAACAGGTCCTGGGAAAGAATATTCAGATTACTGAGTATATACCCATCTACAATATAATCCCTCTGCAGTGTAGACACACTTACTTGGAGGCAAGTTCTATTGGTATCAGTAAGACTAATCTTTAATTAAGGATAATTAAGGATTATGGTGCTTTTGAGCCCATTGTAGCCTTTGTTTCTACACAGTATTAGGTTATTAGTCACACTGAGCTAGCCAGATATATGTAGACTAGTCGTGCACTAAACTCAGCCCAGACCAGCTTTGGGGAAGCTTCAATTAAGCACTGAAGTTGATTTGAACTGGGATTGGCCTGTGGCAGCCAATATGTGGCAGGCAGCCGGTGGCACACTGGCAACATATCTGGAAGCGCAGGGTGAGTGAAAACCACAGCTGCCACACCCTCAAAGGGATGCACATCTAGACACTTCCATATAAATGTATCTAAGATCAGAAAGCTAAAGCCTTTTAACTCTCAGTCTAAAGCATCAAGATGTCCTTTCACTGGCTTTCATCATAGCTGAGGAATGTTCACCAAGACATAGAACTTAACATCGGATAATTGGTATAATCAAAATATGAGTGGAAATTGGAAATCTATTAGCTTCAGTCTAGGAGCCTAAGCACAAACATCTTACATAAACAAACGTTGTGCCAATAGTAACTGTCATGTATTGATTTAAGAGTGTTTGTGAAATGAGTCTAGCTAGTAATGGGGCAAGATATCACCATACCCTTTCTCTTATAAATCACAGCAATTTACTCAGTAGGAATGACCTAGTCTTATTCACTCTTTCCCTATAATCCAATCACTTCCTCTCATGAGCACTTTTCTCCTGGTTTTCACAATAATGCATTTTCTGTAACTAATAACCATCATTTCCTGATTATCATGCTTCTATGCTTGCACAGGAATGTGGGTCTTATGGAGGTCAGGGTCATTTTTCCCATCCATCTGTGTCCTGATGCTAAGGCAGCAGTTAAGTTTGTTAGCTGGATGGTACGTCTGGATAGCTTATCATTTTACAGAGAAGGTCTTCAAAATGTAAGACTGATCCTCTGATGCATCCTCTGACTCAAGTGCTGCTCACTTCACTAAGGCTTATACTGGCAGAACATTTCAGGAGATAAGGTTATAAATTATCACATGTCTGAAAGTAAATCCATGCCTGCATTTTTACAACAGAGCTCTTTTACAAAAAAAAATAAAATAAAAAAAATCAGGTTTTCAGAACAAATACGACTTCAAAATGCCTGTCCAGACTATGCAATATTTTCCAGAGAGAAAAGTACTAAAATGAAATCACTTATTTTTCATTACTGAAAAATCTGCAAAGAATTAGGGATCTAGAGCCAACTCAGCATTGTCATCTCTGCCCTGCTTTCAGTCTAGCAGAAGCAACTCTATAGGAAATCTGATGACTTTAGCTAAGAAGTTAGAGACAAATAAAGTGATAAAAGTGAATATTGTTTTCTCACAATTTAGTCTAATGGTAATCTACTGATCATAGATTTGTTTTTGTTGTGGATAATTTTATTGGTCAACACTTTGAATAAGCTCCAATATTCTACCTGGCAAAGCAACTCTGAGGAGAATATAGGCTGAGCAGATCAAACTGACTATACCACATGGCCACAGTGAAACTGGTTTGGTCTATGGTCCTCTGTGCAGTTCTGTGGTCTCTTACTGCCTTTCGTTATCTCTATACTGCTTTTTGCATTAGCTCTATACTGCTCAGAAACTACAGGGAGAGAATGGAAGACATATTAAATTGTGATGCCATTGACATTTATTGATTAATAGGTGTAGCTAGAAACCACACATTGTCATTCCTACATGCTCAAGGGAAGCATTTAATGAAATATTAAAACATCCTTGTGCAGGTGACATTGATGGTTGAATGAGTGTGTGGTGGGAGGGCATGACTGCACTGACTTGCACCAATCTCCACAAGTTCATCTTACCTTCTGAACAGAGTCTACATGCATACTTCATACATACTGCATGAAACCTCTATTCACCCAACTGTAGCCTGTGTTGTATGCAGAAAAACTATGGCTATACAGCTTGTACATGCATAGGCATTGTACACAATGCATGTGGTTAAGGAGAAATCTTGATCAGCCCAGTGGTTCTCATGATGCATGTTCAGAGGATAAAGAAAGCAATGTAAGGATACTTGAGTTTGAGTCTGCATTGAATTGTAGGAAAAACAAGGGAGAGAGCCATTATTAAGTGGGTAATGTTTGAGGTGTGGAACCATACACAGTGGCAGGCATGGGCCCTGGATTTTCTGAGTAGTGCTCAAGATCCTTAGAACTATCCCAGGTACCATCATCAGCCTTATTACAACTCTGCTTCTTTTCTCTAAACCCAGTAATCAGGAGGACTTATTTCTTTAGCAACCTAATAGGGAATATAGAATTAAGGCTGAGTGTAGCCTTTTAAGGAGAGACTGCCACCTTTCCTCCGCAATCTGCTCATTATTTTAATTAAGTCCAGAGTCCAAAATTGCCTAACAGTACCACTGTCACCAGAAATTATTGGAGTGTGCCTAACTTTGCAGAAATTTTCCCAGCTGATCGCCACTTGGTAATTGCATTTGTGCTCTAGGCCATTACAGGCAGTGAAGCCTGACAAGAGGAAAAGTCAACACATGTCTATTCACATATCAAATTGAGTTCTAGATGCTTCATCCAATTAGCCTAGGCCCCTCATCTTGGATAAAAACAGAACTGGTTTGCAAAATGAAGTGGGTTTGAATAAGCAGTAATATCTGCATTTGGGGCAAGGTAATGCATAAGTGACAGCCTCCCCTGCCCTGTCCTACATAAATGTGCCTGGAATTCCTTTATTTTGCAAACTTCTTTCTGAGGTGCACCTGCTTTTTGCAAGATTCATGTAGCCAAATTATGGCATGGTCTCAGTTTTTCCCCCAACTAGGCTAGAGGAAGGCAAATAGATGGGGCAGGAGGATAGGGACTCCCTGTTCTTTTGAGCTCAAAGGCCACAATGTTTTGAGAAACTTTAAAGAATCACAAATTTACTGTGACATAATAAACTTTCATGTACATCAAGTTATTTTGAAAGATGTTGCCCTGGAGAAAATTGTCACTTGCTGAGATAAAAGTACCAGTGGTCCTATGGATTCTGTTGGATTTGATTCCCCCTGGATTATCTGGGTTTTTACTTGTATGTGCTTCCTCCCTAGAATCTTTCTGCTCTGCCTGAGGGTTGTCCCCCTTGGAATCAAATGCCCTCTACTCTCTGGTCCATACCTCCCTTTTTACAAATTGAGTACTCTTAGAAAAGATGGCTCTTTAAACACACACACACAGTTTAGAGTCTAAAAAAGCAGTCTTGGACAGAAAATTTGGTACATTATGGAAAACCAGTAATTATCCTTTATTTAATGAATTAATTATTGTTGGATTCTCTGCTTCAGGGCCTAAACAACTTGACTGGCTTTGAGCAATACTGTGCACCCTGACTAGGTTCCAGGTTGCAGAACGGGATGAAGAAGTTGCCATTTGCTGCTCTGCACAGTCAGCAAAATGTAGCACTAGCCCTCTTCATGGCAATACACACCATGGGTGGGGAAATGTACCTGAGATGGTACAGGGAATTATGTGGATAAGGAAGCAACTGGTGGCACAGAGACATCTGTGTAATCCTAAACTCAGATTTAAGCTATATTGAGTTCAGGGGGATTTACTAGCAATATAGAATTGAAGTTTTACTCATTCATAAATGTATTCAGAGCTGCATCTTGCCTTATTTACCCTGAAGATAGCTCCAGTATTTGGATCTAGTATTTGGCAAGTTTTAAGCAAGCATAGTTTGGGCATTACATTGTTTTTCCTGAAAAGAAGCAATAGATTAATTAGCTTGCCTTATCAAAATGTGCCCCCACCCCACCCCACCCCATGGATCTCAGCTGGAAATATTGTTCAGTAACTAGCATGGCCTCTGAGTGGGCAGAATTCAGAATTCATGGAAAGACATATCTGCTCAATTTCTGCTTCACATTCCCTGGCTTCAGGATTCTAAGTATCCATATGCAAAGGAATACAAAGCTCCTACCTTTGATAGCTATGTAAAAGAGAAAATTTCAGTATGGGCAGCTTTTCTCATTATGCTATGACAAACTGCAACTGTCAGCTTTTCTCTTTCTATTGTAAAACAAACTTATGTTTAATATTATGGTAATGTCATGGATTCATAAGAAAACAGATTCCATTGCAAAGTGGCATTGAATAATTTATCAGCAATGCAATAACAGTGCCATCAAACTATTTTATGAGACAGAAAGACAGTTCCTAAGAGGACAATCTATAAAACAGAAGGTTGAGTACTCTATCTGCTTAACCATGGGAACAGAAGTAGCATTGGTGATATACTACAAAAGTGATATTAGTGTGTATATAGTTAACAGTGTGTAAACATGTTAAACAAATATTCCCAGAAATGCTGACATTTTAAAACGGGTCAGCTTTAACTTTGTTATGCAAATTGTTATAACCATGGTGTTTTGCCATTATTAAATCATAGCCACAATCATGATTTAATTTTGCTTGTTCAACAATGTTTATTAAAATCCCCAAACTGTCCTTTCAAATCTCTTGTATCTGAATAGCAAACTATCAATTTGGTATTAATTCATCAAGGACAAATATTGCTAGTTCTTGTGCATGTCTTTCTTGCTGAAACTGCACCCCCAAGACAAAACTGCAGTGGATAAGACCAGGGCATTTTTTTGTCATAGAACGCACCGGAACAGCGTTCCGGCACCTTTTTTCCAATGGATTTTATGAAGTGATTTTGAATCGTAGCAGATTAGCAGCAAACATCATTAGCACAGTGCCTGCAGACTGCTTTTGTGTCTAACCCTATCTGATAATGAGATAGTGAGGGTGCTGCTCTAGGCTTGGGACGCTCCTCGGCGGAGTGTGTGTGTGTGGTCGTGCACTTACTGCTGGCGACGTGAGTTCCGGCACCTTTTTTTACAAAAAAAGCACTGGATAAGACAATCTGTCTATTCTGTTACTAATTACAGTACATTCTTAAAACAAGAAGCAATTTGATGCTAGAACTAACTGCAATGTAGTTCTCTGGTGATGGAAACAAGAAATGTGTTTTTATTTTTGCTTATTTAAAACAATTTCTACAATCTGGAAAAATCTAGATTACACAGCTGCATTTGATAATTAGCACAACAAGCAGCTGCTAAGATCTACCAGTGAGAAATATTTTCCTGGACTGGTGATTACCATCCATTTTCCTGAACATTTTTTCACAGAAATTGGAATGGTCAGCCTATTTTCAAAATTTTAAATCTTCCAGTTATGCCAGTGGAGTTACGATGAGAAAGCTTTGAATGCTTCAACTTTTAAAAATGTAGACCATATGAAGCTATCACTATGTGGAGACAATGTATACAAATATCAAAGTATGTTCTACTTATACTTTTAAAAAGGCATTTCTTTAATTAATTTATTTTCTTAGAGTGTACTGGGAAACTTGAAAAAGTCATTGAAATTAGATGCAAATTACAACTTGCAATGGTGTTTGACTGCTCCCTATCAAATACATTATGATAATCTTAAGCAGTATATTGTGTATTCAATGCCACAAGCTTCCATCACACGTGCATTTCTGAATATAGTGGAGTAAAATCACTGAATATAGTGGAGTAAAATAAATTCTTACAGATAGTCTTTTAAATCAAGCCTTCATTTTAAATTGAATAAGCAGAGAGGATATCCTTTGACAGAAAGAAGGGGCTGAATCCGATGTGAGTCTAATTTAAGTTCCATTCATTTCTATGTGCCTATTCTAATGTGATTATCATTAGATAGATCCCAAGGTAATTGTACACGCTATATAATTATACATGGTGTAAATTACTTCTACCATCAACAGATCTGATGCCAACATAATATGAAGAGATGTAATAGTCATTTTTACTTACACCCAGGAAGAGTTTGTGTAGAAATCCAAGGCGAAGAGCTGCCATAACCAGCATTCGTACTAGCAGAAACTCTAAATCGATACCATCTGAATTTTTTCAAATCATACACTGTTTCCTCTGTAAAATCTCCAGTAACATATGAATATTGTTCCTTTTCATGTTCAATACATTCAGCAGCTTCCCAGTCACTACAGTGGATAGATCGTAACTGTGCTGTAATCTTGTAGTTTTGAAAGTAGCCAAAGATAGTAACTGGCATTCTCCATCTCAAGGTCACACGTGTTGATTGTACATTTGAAAACGCTATATCTCTTGGAGCGCTGGGAACTAAAAGCAGACACACATAAAAAGTGGAAAAATACCTCAATTTATAGTGAGCAACAATTTGAGTTTATGACTGAATTCAAAATGATATTCAATAACGCCATACAGTGAATTAAAGATATGCCCTCACTTCTGGTGCATTTGTGATACACACACACACAACAATTAAGGTACAATCCTATCGATACTGAAAAAAGATCAAAACTCTCAGCCTTCCCCAGTCATGCATATTTCCTGCCTAAGTGTGCATAGGAATGAACCTATAGTCTATCTGCTAATGATATACACTGGCAAACATAAGAGTCATTTCCCTTTGCAACAAGTGTAAGTATAGTGAATAGAAAGCAGTATAAATGAAGGAGATTTTGCAATGTCCAGGCACATGCCAGGAAAAGAAAGAATAATTGAAGTTATTTATTTCAGTTGTACCAAGTTTCTTTCTGCTGTTAAGAGAGGTGGCATTACTGTAGCTATATTCGGGATTGGATCATGGTGTGGGGATGGAATATTTAGCACAGTTATTTCTGGCCTGGCTTCAACATCATCATTTGATGTTCTTTCTAACTAGGGTTCTTTTGAGATACCCATTTAAAATCTAAGATTCTCTTTCACTTCCCATTGTACACACTCACATACACACACACGAGAAAAAGGAACACAGTCATGACAAATGGTTCACAAGTCTGTGAATAAATATCTATAATCCAGTCTTGGGATTTCTAGATTTGGACTCAGGAACTCTAATACAGATGCAGAACTATTTCATCTTCTTTCCCATTCTTTCTAATGGAGGTTGCATATCTATGCTCCTCTGTGCATATGGATGTGCCTGATTTATTTGCACTGAGATCCAGATTTGGTACTCAGTTTTGAGTTTCCCAAACCCTGGGTAGATAGATGATAAGTGTCTGTCTCAAATGGGTCTGATTTAATGTTTCATTTGAAAAGATGTTTAGGTTATCTTGCAAGAAATGTATACATAGGTTCACATGATGAAGATTTGATACAAGGATGTCCCAGGAATGACAGCTGGAAACAAAGAATGCAAGATCATTTGAAATAATAAGCCAAGGCAAGCAGATCCCTTTTTGGCAGTCATTCTAATGCAGTGTCATTTTTTAAAAAGTCTTGAAACCTCATTAGACATGGAAAAATATATGCTACAGTCATTTGACAATAGAGGTAATGATAAAGGGAGGCAAACGACACAATAAAAAGGACTAATATTGGCCTTCTGCGCAATAAGATTTTGATGAACTGTTATATGTATCAAATTAGAAAGGTGCAAGACAGCTATGCTATCAAGTTATAGATACATACAGGATTATAGTTCCTTTAACATAATGAGGCAGATATATCTGCTTCCAGAGTGATAACCCTCACTCTCCATTTTTCTTAAGCCATTGGCCTAACCCTACCCTAGTGCACTCCCCTAACCCTAATATAGGGGTAATATACCATAGAAAATAATGTGATTTTGAAAAAGCCTTCCTTGAGTAGCTTTTTCTGCAAGGCTCAACATGTCTGCCCATTCTAAACACATTCCAACCATCTAAATCATGCCAGGACACCTCGCTTTTGTAACCCTAACCCTGCCGTGGTCCACATCCCTAACCCTAATGTAGGGCTAAAGTTCCTTTGAAAATAATGCGATTTTGAAAAAGCCTTCCTTGAGTAGCTTTTTCTGCACTGCTCATCATTTCTGCCCATTCTAAACACATTCCAACCATCAGAATCATGCCAGGACACCTCATTTTTCTAACCCTAACCCAGTGATGGTGAACTTTTTAGAGACTGAGTGCCTAAACTGCAACCCAAAACCCACTTATTTCTTGCAAAGTGCCAACACTACAATAAAACCTGAAAAACAAGGTTTTAGTTTAGAGAAAAACACCTCACAGCCAGTCCAAGCAAATATATATATATATTCTTGGCAGCACACTGACTGGCCATGTGAAAGCTTGGACTAGTCGCATCTAATGAGTTGCAGCTTGTGACGTCATTGCCTGGCACTACTACTCCTTTCCAAGCATGCACATGGCCCCTATGTGCGGTGTTATCCGATGCTCAGCTGCTGGGGTGATGCTGGGGCGACCTGGCTCACGTGCTGACAGAGAGGGCTCTGTGTGCCAGCTGTGGCACATGTGCCATAGGTTTGTCACCACTGGCCTAGGCGGTCCTACCTTTCACCACCTTTGGAATGGGTTGGATACCAGGAGAAGACCTTTTTACTGGCCTAGTCCATGTTGTCTTCCCAATCTGGTACCCTCCAGATGTGTTGGACTGCCAGTCATACAATTTCCAGCCAACATTAGTAACACTGTGTAGGAGTAACGTAAGGTGCAGTGCATAACATCTGATGAACACAAGATTGGGGAATGTTGATTTAGGTTTTTAAGTGCCAGTAAATCTAATTTATTGTCTTGAATAGGGAGGATCCAGAGATCCCATGAATAAGAGTTCCACTGGTGAAAAGGGCATTCTTTACTCATACAACTGAAAGTAGGAAAACTTGCTTATTCCAGCCTTCTTTTGAATTTTGGGTGGGGGGGCTTTGGAGTTGGAGGACTGTCTGGCACAGTACAGGAAATGGCACAAGTGGAGGGGAAACTGGTGAAAACTGTCTATTCTCCTATGTAATCAAATGTCCTTATACCCATGGGAAGGCCTGCATTTCTCTTCATTCATAAATATGTATGCAAATAGTTTCTGTATATTTCTTTCTATTTGAAGAAAGTTTTAGGAAAATGTATTGGCCTAGATACCTTAGCATTATGACCACACAACATAATATATCTCTTTCTTCATTATCCATATTGAATTTAGTTGTGATCAACCCAATATTAAAACAATCCAGTAATCCTTCCAAATGCTGTTGTTCAGAGATTTTGCAATGAGGCAGTGAACCTAATTTGATTTTACTTGGTGTCAAAAATAAATGCTTTGGCAGTGACTCAGTGCTGGCTATGTGTCTGTGACTAACATAGACCACCATAAATATGAAGCTGAGAAAAACTATAAAACTGTTTCCATTCCTAATCATGAGTCTCCAGTTTCAACTGATTTCTACGCAACAGAAAATAATTCATGTGAACACATAGCTAAGAAAAAGTTGACCTAATAATAACCATTTTCTTCTTGTTGTTGTTACTGTTATTAAACACATTTATTTGCTAATAAGTACTACCGATTCCAATGAAATACTAAATTCCATAAAATGGAAACTCAGATAATGTAAATCATCTTCACAATATGACTTTGTTACTTTCAACACTGATAACAACATCCTATCCCAACCCATTAATTTGCAAGGATGTTCTCTAAATATTTGATATGAACAACCAATCAGTGGATTAGGAAATAGTAAATATGAAAAGAACATCACTAACATTGTTAAGTGAAAAATTTGCTTGTGGGAATTGTTACCTGTTTCTGGAAATGTGCTAGCATTGCATATCTGTTCTTTTCCTTCCCCAGCAGCTGTTGCGGCTTTTACTTTAAATTGGTAAGTAGTATTTGATAAGAGGTCTGTGAAAATATGCACTGTTTCATTATCAGAAGATACTATTGTTGAATTCCTTCCAAATGTAATGATGTAATAGGCAATAATCCCATTTGTCTTCAAAGGAGGGTCCCATTGGACTACGACTAACTGCCAACTGGTTGCAGTACACTGGATATTCTGGACAATATCTGGAGCTTCAAAGAGAAGCATGTATCAGAGGTTAGCATTCCTATAAACCTGAAAAAGCAATTGCATTAGAGTACACTTCAGGTGGAGCATAATAACATTTCAAGCATGGTCAAGGATTCTAACAGTTGATATAACTGCATAACAAGATCACTAGAGTCATGCTTTTAAGCATAGTCCTCAAGTTTACCTTGTACCAACACTGGAAAATATGTGGTGGAAAACAGGAAGACAACGGAAGCAAACAAAGAGGTTTTAATATGCCACAAATATGTTATCTACAGTTTTCATTATTTGGCTATACAGGGGAGACCCCAGAGGATACAACAGGCACCATTTGAGAGAGAATCCGCCAGACCATTTGCTGGACAAAATGACCACAGAAGGTGACAGATGATGTGGCTTGCAGGTGAGCACCTATAACTGTCCAGCTGAGCAGATGTAAATGTGAAGCTGAACCCTGGAAGTGAACAAGTTGCTCATTTGCCATACTTCCAAGGCTCCTTAAGTATGTTTTCCAGAAACAGAATGCAGGCAGCAAAAACACTGGGCTGTGCATTAGCCCTGGACTTCTCTTCTACGGCCAGGACTGGAGCAGAGGGAATGTTTCTTCCCTGTGGTCTGCCATAGCTAGTCCCATTCACAGCACTGCTATCAGCAAGCCAAAGTATTATAAAGTGATATTATCAGGAGTTAACAGTGAAGCAAAGGAGCTATGACTAAGAAACTGGGCTGCCAAAAAGGTAGCACTACATCTTCTATGCCCAACTGCATCCTATGCTGCAACAAACACATCCCCATCAAAGAGATGGAAGAAACTTAGCTTCCAGTTATTCAGAAATCCCAAAATTACATGCAACATAAATGGTTCAGAATACAAATTAGCTTTGATTTGTATGGTCAGCAGGAACATCCCTGAACATAAAACTAGGATAAATATGCTTGAGGTACTAGTAGGAGCATATGAGTCACAAAGTTTTAATGTCTTAAAGTACAATCCACAAATTCATTAAGCTAAAATACTGGTATTTAAAAGAAGATGGTCCCCTGTCCTGTTTCCCACCTCAGCTACTGCTGCAAAAGAAGATCTTATATGACAACAGATTCTGCAATATCTTGGGCCAATGTAGGAAGAGAACAGAAGTTAGGGGCTTCCTCGAACTTTTAAATTACCTAAGAGTCCTTTCTGTCCCAGTTCAGGGAACAAAGCTGGCTTCCAGCACAAAGGCATGATAGCACAGGGTTCTCATGGACGGCATAACAATAAAACATTTAAATCGGTGTCCTATTGAGCTACATCAATGTACTTGAACTCCTCATATAAGTAGATTGGCTCTGCCTCTGTATGTTGACCTTGCACATTTTAACTTCCAGTACAGAAACTGCCTGGAGAGATAATTATTTGTGCTATTTACTATTCTTAAAGCAAATGGAATATTTGCATGTTACTGATAAGTGCATGTTAAACAAAGATTTCAGAATTGCATAGCTTTAGCCTTATGCCACATTTGGAGAGGGAGAAAAGAACTTTCCAGCTTGAAAGCAAATTCATATGCACACTGCACTGCATTTTAAGCAATCTAACCTGATTCCATTGTTGTGAATTTTACTGGGTTACTGAATTGATTGCCATTTCCAACTTTCGTGAATGCAGAGACACTGATGAAGTAAATGTTGAATGGTTCTAGTCCGAGTATATTAGCGTCATTGTGTGAACCTGAAACATTCTTGGATTAAAAAAAAATTACTAAAAATTTATATTTTGCAACATTTCTATAAAATACTGTTAATACTTGAAAGACTAACAAATTTATTATGGCATGGGTTTTCATTGACTAGAGCCCATCAGTTGCTTGAAATGTTACTTAGCAAGAAAATAGAAATACGGGTGCAGAGCAGCTTTCCTCCATTTGGTACCCTCCAGATGTTTTAGACCGTAACTTCCAGCATTTCTGACCATTGGCCATGCTAGCTGAAACACAACATTTATCCTCTTCCCTTCAAACAAGAGTTGGGCATGGCGGAAAAAATGGCGCGGGGGGGTGATTTTACTTCTCATTCCTTCTCCTTAAAAGGAGGGGGAAGGGAAAGGCAGCTAGCTGTACCATTGAGCCCACTAATTCACCAGCAGTGGACAGGAAGGACCAGCTGAAAGACTTAAGATCCTAGCCTTTCCCCCTATTCCCTGCCTCCGTATTGTCCCCTTTTTATCTTAATGAGGTAATTTGAAGTTGTTACTATGACTTTGGAAAGCAGCTCTGATGGTACTTCTAACAAAAGCTTCAAGGAGGAGGGGGAAGGGAAGGCTCCAATGTTAGGTTTTTCCTCCTGTAATCATTGGAGGAGAATGATCCTCAAGAGTGGGAATCTGGAGTATTCTATGGTCTCTGAGCCTCTGAGACCAGAGGATTACTCAGTAAAAGGAAAAAACACAAAGTGCATGCAAACCTCAGTAACTGCTGATAATACTATCATCCTAACATTGCTAAGTTCATCAGCAACTGTAGCTGGACAGGAAACCACTGTCTGTATTCATGCCCATATAGGCAGAATTAAACCTTTTCATAAGTTCTCATTCAACAGTTTCACATTGGAGATATTCTTTGAAATTCCTCTGCAGGAGATTGGCATAAACTCTCCCAAAAATATTTTAAATTTTAAATGTTTTATGAGTACAGAATAGATTGTGCTTTCCTCATCCTTTTATTTCCTGCACTGAAATTTGATAGTTAGATCTCATTTTTCTTCTTCTTCTTGTTATTCCTTTACTTTAAGAAAAAATATTGCATGCTGTGCTGCTCTGCGTGACAAGAAAAAAAATCCTTCCCCCTAACATCAAACCATTTCCTTAAAAACAAAAATAGTTAAAAGCATCCAAGTTCATCTCTGCAAAACAACTCCTAGACAGATTCAGTCACTGGATATGTTCACATGGCACACTAATCCACTGTGGCAATAATCAATAAGCCAGGATCGGTGGATTTTTGTCCAAGCAAGCCAGAGTGCCCAACAGATGATCAAGCTCATTGTGACCTGGTTTCCACAATGTAACAGCCAACCATTACCTGTTACTGTTGGTTGCTTGTTGTAAAAATCCAGTCATGGTTACCAATCGCAATATGAATGAACAGTCTGCTGCAAGGTTTATTGTGACCATGATTGTCATGACAGCAAAGCCAGGATTTTTAGTAATTCAAAAATCCTACAAAGTTGCATAGCAAGAGCAGAAGTAGGTGCTATACCTGCCCAGTGTCTATTCCCAGTCTTTGCCTAGCAAGACGTTCTTTGCTTTCCCGCCCTTACCCCCAGCCCCTTTCTCTTCCCACTGCGGGACTAGTGGAGGCAGGCAGTGGCGTTGAGAGGCAAAACAGTGTAAATAGTCCACCTGTATCCTTGACTAGGTGGAGGCAGAGGAAAGGGGAAGAGAAAACAAGAATCAATTGTCATGTTTTAATGAGGTGGGTTTTATGGCTTTATTTTTGTTTGGGAATACTTGTACATTTTTGGGTCTGAAAATTGGCAGCCTTGGCTGGGCAATTCCTGAGGGATACCTGCTGTCCAAAGTACAGCAAGTACTGTCCCTGGACAGTAAACCAGCAAGTCTCTAAAGACTGTGTTTAAAAAAGCAACTTTGCTTGCAGTTGACAGCAAGCAAAAGGTGAGCTGTAAAAAGATCATAAAGCTGTGAGTGATTCTTGCTCATGAAAAGAGCATGACATGCCTGTCATGCAAGATCTCTTTTTTTTTCTTTTTTTGCACTGACTATCCTCAGGATCCATCTTGCATTTCTTGTACATTTTTACCCAAGACTCTAGCTGCTCAAGAAAGTGCAGAACTCCATCTGACTTCATTTTTAGGGAAAAGGAGATTAGACAAAATTCTGTCTCCTTTTAAGACAGATTTTTGATAGGGCAAAACATATTACCTGGCAAGCACACATGGCTGTATTCTGTCTACTATGATTTTTCTGCTCCAGTTTCTTTAGAACCTGTCTTTTCTCTTTCATTTTGCAAATTCTTTATAAATTCTCTTCTGTGCCTCATCTGGCATAATATTGGTGTATATTGGGCAATGATGACTAAACACACTAACATAGCATACCTGATAAAATGTAGTTTTACTGCTGTTATCAAAAATGTTGAACATATATCTTCTAATAACACCATTTGGTTGAGGACTAGGATTCCATTTTAGCCACACAGAATTAGATGTGTAATTGATAATTGTCAGATTTTCAGGAGGAGCCAGTGGAACTGTGAAAAGACACGTCATTTAGCTTTAATAGTATATGCTACTGATACATATGAATATTTCTAATATAAGCCAATATTTGCAAATTTGTAATCCAATTTATTTTGTTATACATCAATTTCACACACTCCCTCATGTTTTATTTCACAAGTGTTGTGCTTAAATGAATGTTCTTCAACCTGTTCTGATATCAGAGAATTGTAGAATCAAACAGTTGGAAGAGGCTTAGCAGGCCATCAGGTGCAAGCACCTGCTCAATGCAAGACTCAAGTTACCCATTCAGATTTCAGCCCAGCCAGACCCCACTTAGCTTCCAAGATTAGGCAGGATGAGGCACTTCGGGCTATAGAGAAGTGCACACATTTCTTCTCACACATCAATTCTGTAGCAGATCTGGGGAGAGGGCTTCCCACCACCCCAACTTTCCTAACAGATTTGGAAAACTCACCAAGCAGCATCATTTTCCCTTTGTCCTTTTAAGCTACTAGCACTATATTCCAAGCACTCTTCTTCCCTCCCTTTGATAGAATTCAAAAAACCCTATTGGCTCCTGTCAAGTTCTGTTTGGTGGGCAGGGAGAGTTGATTCTGCTGAATCAGGGCAAACGGAAAGAGCTTTCTCGGCAAAATGGAGAGGGTTCTCCACTATCCAGCCTTTTCCAGCAGCTGCTCCTACCTAGATAATGAATAGTTTCATTTTCTCTTTTTCCTTTTCAGACACTAATCATGTGTTCTGACCTTTGCACCTTGCTTCCATCATTTGAACTCAAGAAGTTTTCCCAGACCCTGTCAAGGGCTGTTTAGTGGGTTGCATGGGAGTTGAATGTGCTAGGGAATTGGAGTACAGGAAAGTCACCTGCCAGTATAACAGAAGTATGGGGGAGGGGAGACTTCCCAACACTCCATTTTCCCCAACAGAATGAGCCCTCATCCACCCACCAAACAAGTGATCTTCTATTTGTTAGCCAGTAATAATATAAGGTGAATGGGAGTTTCCTCTTTCCTTGTAGCACTCTCCTTTAGCATTTCAAATCAGTCATAGTGCTGGAGGAAGAGAGAGTGCTATTGAAAATAGCTGTGCTTATGTTTACCCCAGTCAATATCATTACATGTAACCCTTTCCCCACAAAACATATATTAAAAACGAACTGAAATGGAACTTTTTAATGGGGGGGCTGGGTTTCCACTAATTTCAATGAAAGAATGAGTTTCAAGTGAAAATATTCTTGTCTTTTCGGGATATATGACTTCAGAAAGGTCATACTAATTTTTTAAATGCCACTTTTAACAAAGGGTGCTAATTTATGTTTTTTACTGGTCTCCCTCAATATCACCTGTCAGATTTACAGGATCAACCAACACTGCTTTCATTTTCTTAAAAGTATCAAGAAGAGTGGTAAAACTGTCTTGATTTTATAAGGAGTATATTAGAATGGTCACTCCCTGATTGTCATGTTATATTTTGGAACATTTTTTTTTTTCCTGATGGGCCTTGATAAAGGTGATACTAGTGTTTCGCCTTTAATAACAGTGCAGAGGTCTGCTGTTAGGAGTTAGGTATGCAGTAGTTTAGATCTCAGTGCTTTCGATCAAAGTTGGTTTCCCAAACTAACAATAAGAAGCCACCATCCCCTCCCCCAAGAAAAATATGCTGATAAGTTGTTCAGTTTATGTCCATTGATTATGTGTTGCATTACCAAACATTTACCGGACTCATCCGTGGAGAACAAAAGTACCACATATGGGCCAAGTCCTTTTACAGTTTGTGCAGAAACAAAAAAACTGTACAGTGCAAAAGGAGAAAGGTCTTCTAAAATGACTGAATTATTGGAGGTATTGAAAGAATCGTTTCTTTCTGGTCCATGCAGCTTTAAGTCATAACTTATTATAATGCCATTTGGCTTGGTTGGAGGATTCCAAGATAGCATCACTGATGTGGATGAAAGATTTTTGTAAGATGTCATGATAGGTTCAGAGTCTGGAACTGCATCAATAAATAAGAAAGAGAGGACATTAAACTTCAGAAACAAACATAATGAAGTGTGTAAGAAACTTCAATGGATATATACAAATTCACTTACTCTAGTGATTTAAATACCAACATTACATTACAAAACATCTTTGATAACTTTATGTGCCAATTCTTTTCTAATCTTCTTATAGTCAAATCTATTAGCAATTAAAATGATCTAATAAAATAATTTTAAAATAATTAAGTTTTTAAAAATCTGGCATTTTAGTAAAGATAGTTCAATCAATGTTGAAGACTGTAATAAAGCTAATTGGCAAGTTAACATGCAACTCTACCAGGTTTATTGGGGCTTACTTCCCAGTAATGAATATAAGACTTCACCCTTAATTTATGTATTTTCCCAAACCTGAGTGATGCAATGATACATTTCTCCAGAGAATTCTTATTCAGAAATCAGTATGTTAGACATGCAAATTTATATCTAGTCCTTGAAAATTCTTGATTTTGAGACTTTGAAACAAGGACATTTTAATGATTCTGATTCTATAACAACTGCCTTTACATCACATTTCAGACTATATCTGCGACCATGAGGGATAGTAAATTTAGGCCACACAAAAGTGGTCCAAGTCATACATTTCCCATTTCACCAGTCTTTAGAAACAAAAAGAAATCAAGAAAGAAAACATACCATCTTCTTCGGTTCTGATGTACAGACTAATAGTATGTATTTCAGATGGTCCTTTTTCTGTTGCTGGAGTAATTCTTAGAAGATAGCTGGTATATTTTTCCAGCTTATTAAAAACCTTATTTGTACCATAGAAAATAAATGACCAAATATTGTGGTCTCTTTGAGCACCCAATACTGTGAGTGAAACATTATAAAAGACTATTCCATTTGGTTGGGCTGGGGGCATCCAGCTTATATTTACAGCAGTGGAAGAAAGGTTTTGATAGGTCAGCTGTTCAATAGGTCCATCAGGAACTGAAGCAGAAATAAACAAAAGTTAAATGATCTATAAGGGCAACACAAAGTGAGTAACATGTGCACTAAACAAAGAAGTAATCCCTCTTGTTTTAGCGGTACTTACTTAATACATTTAGGATCACCAATAATTAGCATAGCTACTTACATAGATGCAGAAAGCACCCCTAGTCTTTTGTGTTAAAAACAAACACATCATTTTTGGTGCTCATGGATGTTTTTCTTGGCCAATGCATACTACACTCTGCCAAACTTGTTAAAGTTTCTATATGTTGCATTCTTCTAAACCTGAATACTTACTGTATTATTTATTTCATTTCTATACCACCAAGAGCCAAAATTCTTTGGGGGTTAGGAAAGATTAAAATGTTTAAAAGACAGCATAAAATATAAAAACTATTTAAACATTTAAAAAACTATTAAAAACCAATATCAGGATTATGTACAACCTCACTGTATGCAACCAAATGCTTAAGAAAAGATGTTAAGTCTTAAGCTTGCATTTAAAGTACTACAATATTGTAATTTATTATGATTATGATTATGTTGTTGATGATGATGACATTTTATACCAAAGCCCTCTGAGCAGTTTACAACAATAATCATAGAATCATACACTCAAGTCACCCATCCCAATTCTGACCAGGTCTGCCCCTGCTTAGCTTCCAAGTTTAGCCAGGATCAGGCACTTCAGGCTGTATGGAAGGTATGGGCCTCTTTGGGGAGAGGGTTCTAGGACCAGGGGGCCACCACAGAGAAGGTCTTCTCCTTGTTGCCATTAGCAGATGCTTCCTCAGGGGAGGCACCTAGAGGAGGGTCTCAGAATACACTTGTAGAGAACAGAGGTGCTTCATCAGATATTTCAGTTCCAAACTGTGTAAGGTTTGACTGGTCAAAACCAGTACCTTCAATTTGACTTAGAAATGCACAGCTAGTAAGCACACTGTGCCTTTCTGGTTTTGTATTTCAAACCAGCTGCTACATTTTACAGTTTGAGAAATCCACAGAGGTGGGAGCTAGTACAGGCTAAATCATGTGCAGAAGTCATTTATATCAGAGTGAATATTATATTAAGCTGGTCACTGAAGACTGCAAATTCAGATACACCCTAAACTTGATAAATGTACATCCACACAGATTTTTGGTGGAAAGAATGCCAGAAATCCTGTGGGATGGGAAATAACCATAAGAGTACAATAGATCACTTTAAACATGCACCAAAGTGATGCCACTATGTATTATAACCCTGTCAATTAAATCTTCTCCATGAACTCTGCAAATTACATTTCAACTTCTTAAAAAAATGCTTAATCAGTTTACATACAATCTTGATCTGTGTATAATTGTATGATTTCACTGCTTTGGTTTCCATTTCCAACAGCTGTATTTGCCGTCAACCAAAGTGTGTAGTGGCTCCACTTTGTTAAGTTGTTTAATACTGTAGTCAGAGTTGTATTTTCAGCACCATTGTCAATAGCATAGCTAGTAAAATTCTGGAGGAGAAAAACATTAGCACAAAAGATTTAATTAAAACAAAATTAATATTTCTTTATAACATCCATTCATATCCCTAACTCTCCTTTATGTATATGTTTTGCATATGCATATTAATAATCTATATGCATTATCATGAATAATTTACATTGGCAATTGATACTGACAATTTATACTGTATATTGATAATGACAATATCATGAATGCTTTGCTTTGAACAAAGGATTGCTGACCTGGAAAACCAGGAAGTCAAGTTCTGGTGATTGGGCTTGACCTGACCTGAACTGACATACCTACCTACCCCATTCAGGTTGACCTAACTGACCAAAACCAAGGCGAATCAGATCCTATTTCTTCACCCACATTTAATGTTGCATGCAATGTGCATAGATCTTTTCTATTCCTACTTTGACTTAATCAGGTTTCCCTTTCTATAACATATGAGGCTGCCTTACACTGAGTCAGAATTGGTCCACCTCTCCCAGCAGCTGCTCTCCAAGGCCTCAGTTAGGATTCTCTTCCCGGTACCATGACCACAGATCCTTCAACTGGAGATGGGAGGAAATTAAGCCCAAAACTGTACATACAAAGCATGTGTTCTGCCACTGAGCCAAGGGCTTCCCTTATGTTATGGTTTCCCATATTGCCTCAGCTTTCTAGCCAATTGGTCCATGGTTTTCATATTGTTTACCATATTGTTCAGCATGGTTTGTTATCTCAGCAATTGCATTTAACCCTGGTAAATTGGTATAGGATTGCAACCTAATGCTTCTAAGAATATAATTTATATTGTTAAGTGTATAAAAGGTTTCTTCATTCTATTTTTTTTATTCGTCCACCAGAGGGAGCATTGTGTGTAGTGAAAATATCAAGGAAAGAATAAAAAATAGGATAAAGGGTGTATATAATTCAGAGGTGTTTTGTATACCCCCAATAGTGCCCCCCCCCAATTTTGCAAGACTCTGGGTAGGTAGATATGCAGGTATCTGTACATTCATAAGCCTGATGGTGCCTGGTGGGGGCTCATTCTCATTATTGTTTATTATAAACCTACTCTTCAACACAAACTTATAAGTTGGGGATCACCAACTTGACTGCAAAGCCAAATCTAGCACACATATCAGTGCCATCTTATCAAATATGTTTTCTTTCCATATCTGGTCTATCTTCTTCATTCCCCCAAAAATTCCATGATTCTTTCCATTTACAGTCCCAAAGGATTAATCAGGGCAAAGGGGCCAGGAAAAGAGCATGTTGCTTACCTGTAACTGATGTTCTTCGAGTGGCCATCCGTGCAGTCACACATATGGGTTCTGTGCCTGCGCAGTGCCTTTGGCCGGAAGATTAACAGCTAACGGTTTGGCGGGAAATTCTGCTCTCCCTCCCCCCTAGTAGTATATAAGGAGCAGAGTGTCCGCCATTTTCCAGTCTTTGACAGACCAGACGTTTGCTCCCTAACCAAAAGTTATAAAAAGAACTAAAGTAACAGGAAAATTATGGGGGGTTTTTTGTTGGTTTTTTTTTTTTTTTTTTTTTTTTTGTTTTTTTTTGTCGGTATGGAATAAAACAAAACTTCTCAGTGGTACAACAAGCAGAGAAAATAGCTCGGTACTGAAAAAAAAGTTGGGCCACCCATGACACCAAGCGGGGCCAGTGGGTGGGTTGTGTGACTGCACAGATGGCCACTCGAAGAACATCAGTTACAGGTAAGCAACCTGCTCTTCTTCATCGTGGCCTCTGTGCATCACACATATGGGTAGAATAACCAGCTTAACCGAAATGGTGGAGGGAGGTGTCATCAACGAAGAATAGATGAAAGAACGGCTCTGCTGAAAGAACAGTCCAGTCTAGCATGAACATCCAATCTATAATGTCTTGCAAAAGTACATGGAGTAGCCCAGGTGGCAGCTCCTCAGACATCCTCAATCGAGACTCCTGACGCAAAGGCTGAAGAGGCAGCTACAGCCCCAGTGGAGTGGCCCCTTGGAGTTGTCAGTAAGTCTATCTTGGCTAACTGATAAGACAGAGTAATAGTGTTAACTATCCATTTAGATAGTCTCTGAGGAGTAACTGGGAAGCCTCGGTTTTGTTCCTAATATTTAATGAAGAGTCTATTAGAGTGACGAAAAGACTCAGTCCTTGATCTGTAAAAAGCTATGCAATGACGAACATCTAGCGTATGCAGAGACCTCTCGACTGGATTTGAAGGAGCTGGAAAAAATGCAGGCAAGATAAATTCCTGATCCATGTGGAAAGAGGTAGCCACCTTTGGGAGAAAAGACAGATCCATTCTTAACACTACCTTCTCCTTGTGAAAATTCAAAAATGGAGGATCTACTCTGAGGGCACAGAGTTCACTAGATCTACGGGATGAAGTAACTGCTATAAGGAAGGCAGTTTTCCAAGAGACAAGACGTAAATCAGTCGTTGCCAGGGGCTCAAAAGGAGGCCGTGTTAGTGCCTGTAGTACCACTGAGAGACTCCAAGTGGGCATAAACAGCCTAATTGTTGGATGGAGATTGCAAAGTCCTTTGAGGAATCTCTTAATCAGTGGCTGAGAGAAAATGGAAAACCCCTGCACAGTCTCGCGGTAATAGGATATTGCTGCCATATACACTTTTATGGAGGAAGGTTTAAGACCAGAATGGTGAAGCTCGAAGAGGAACTGGAAGATCTGATCTATAGATGCGGAGGGCGCTGACAACGAATGAGACTCAGCAAAACTAGAGAATCTACACCACTGTGCCGCATACGATTTTCGAGTGGGTGGTCTTAATGCAGAGTCGAGAATATATTGTATATCAGGATGCAAAACTTGTGAATCTGACAGCATATTCACTGGATCCAACGAGGCAGAGACGGTAGGTGAATTCACAGCATGGACTTGTGTGTCGGTGATAGGAAGGGAATGAGTAAGGACTGCAGATGGGATCGGTACAGTGCTAGCGTTCAATGTTATTGAATTCACCAGGCGGTCAGTTTCAGCGATGGTAGGTCTGGGTGTTGGATCGAGCCCTCCTGCTGAGTTATAAGATAAGGGATGGGAGGAAGCTGAAGGTATTCCTCCCAAGAAATATGAAGAAGTGTCGAGAACCATGGCTAGCGTGGCCACCAAGGAGTTATCAGTAGCCCTGTGGCCCCGTCGTGAATCATCTTTGCTAGTACTCGCATGATGAGGGGAATCAGGGGGAAAGCGTAAAAGGTCATATCACTCCAGGGAATCATGAAGGCATCCCCAGACGACCCCTGCCCAATTCCCGCTCTCGAACAAAAATTCTCGCACACCCTGTTTTGTCGGGTGGCAAACAGGTCTATATCTGGGAGACCCCATCGCTGAAATAGCCTGTTGCAAATCTGGTGGTCCAGTTCCCATTCGTGTGACCGTGACATGTGTCTACTCAAGAGATCTGCCTCCACATTGTCCATGCCCATGAGATGTACTGCAATAAGAGTGATGCCTTTCGGTATGCACCACTCCCAGATTCGCATTGACAAACGGGATAATTTCGAGGACCTTGTCCTCCCTTGTTTGTTTAAGTAAAAAACTGCGGCTATGTTGTCTGAGGTTACCTGGACAACCTGACGGTGAAGCATGTCCCCGAATGACTGTAGTGCTTTGAACACAGCGAGAAGTTCCAGGAAGTTGACATGGTTCCTGGAGTCCTGACAGTTCCAAACCCCCTGGGTGCGTAGACCAGAGCACAGGGCTCCCCATCCCAGAAGGGATGCGTCGGTACCGAGAGTCACTGTCGGATACCAAGGCCGAAACGGGACTCTGATGTTTAGGTTGCTTGACTCTGTCCACCATAGTAGAGACTGAAGAACAGAGGATGGAAGTTGCATCCACTTCGTAGGCGGATCCCTTTGAGGTCGGAACCTCCCACTGAAGGACAATTGGAGGGGGCGCAGTCGGAGTTTGGCATGTGGGACTATGGCGATGGATGCTGCCGTATGTCCCAACAGTCTTTGAACAGATCGGGCAGGAACAATTCCTTCTTGTCGAATCCGGCGAATGTGTCAAGCAATAGTACGTTGTCTGTCTCGAGGGAGGAAGGCCTTCACCGTAGAATCCAGTCGGGCTCCAATAAAGTTGATCATCTGTGTAGGGAGAAGAGAAGATTTCTGATGATTAATGCAGAGTCCAAGGTCTTGCAATAAGTCACAGGTCATATTTACAGCAGAGCTAAGTCCTTCCCTAGTTCAGGAAACCAACAGCCAATCATCGAGGTATGGGTATATCTGAATTCCATGTAGTTGAAGGTATGCACAGACGGGAGCCATACACTTTGTGAAGACCCTAGGTGCGGTGGCCAGTCCAAACAGCAGCATCTTGAATTCACAGATTTCAGAAGCTACCGCAAAATGGAGGAAGTGCCTATGTCGTGGATGTATCAAAATATGAAAATAGGCATCCTTCAAGTCCAGCGAGGCGAACCAATCCCCTCTCCCCAGCAACGGGAGGATATTTTGAAGTGTGGTCATCCAAAACTTCTTTGGTGTTTTAAATTTATTGAGAGCTCTCAAGTCCAATGTCGGCTGAAGCCCTCCATCTCATTTCAGGACCGTAAAATATCTAGAATAGAATCCGTGGAGTCCTTCCGATGAAGATAAGCGACTAACGGCTCCTTTAGACAGGAGTTGGTAAATTTCATCTAACAATACCAGGGAGCATGGTGTAAACCGGATAGGACTCGATGATAGAACAATGTCGAATTCAATTCTGTATCCATGCTGGATGATGGATAACACCCACCCATCAGATGTAATGGACTCCCAAGTAGGGAGTCGGCTTTTCAGCCGGTCCCCAAATGAGAGGGGGGAGGGTGGGGTTGGAAGGGGGGGAAAGGTTTGCTTGTCCCATCAGCGCTGGCGTTTATCTCCGTCGAAGTGGCAGCGGTCTTGCTGGAAACACTGAGGCAGTTGCTTGCGGCACTGCTGGTGATGCTGTGGCTGTTGGCGGGGTGGATATTGCTGCCTATACTGAGGCCGAATCCATGACCACTTACGTTGAGGGGGCGGTTGTAGTTCCATGTGCCAGGCAGTCATTCTCGACTCGTGGATCTTCTTCAACTTGTGATCAGTTCTAGCGTTGAAGAGGCCAGACCCATCAAAGGGCATCTCCTCAATCCTCCTTTTCATCTTCTCAGGAAAGTTGCAGTTATGCAACCATGCATGTCTCTGAAGAGAGATGGCGCCGACAAGAGCCCTCGAGTCTGTATCCACATGGTGTCTGGCGGTGGATAGCTGTTGCACGGTGACCTGCATTGCCTCCTTTACAAACACCCTTGCTAAGTCGCCTTGATTATCAGGGAGGGTGACAATGATGTTGTCCAGGCACTGTATTATTAAGTATTGATAACGCGCCAGGGTTAGAGATTCTTAGGCCCAGACTTGAAGCCACATAGACCCGGAGCGTGAGGGAGTCGATTTTTCTTCCTTCTTTGTCCCAGGGCGCTGTATGACCCTGCGCCTCCCGACCCTGAGACGATTCTACCACCACAGAATTTGGCTTGGTGTGGCGGAGGAGGAACAGAATGTCCCCTTCACGGACTCGATAGATCGCCTCATATTTTCTAGAGGTTGGTTGAGACTGCACCTGGAGGTCCCTCGGTTGGGTCATCGTTTGTCAGAGGGTTGTAATAAGTGGCAAAGTGATGGAGGTCGATTGTTCTCCCCACACGACATCATAGAAATGGTCAGTGCTAGGCCCCGGTTGTTGGCTCGCTTCAATCTCCAACAACTTCACCAGCCTGGACATCAGTTTGGCAAACGTGATGTGCGGCTCTTCCGGTGATGCCGGACCTTGTGAAGTGACCGCAGCATCAGGTGAAGTCGAAGAGTCTTAGATCTCGCCATTAGAGATCGAACCACGAGGTGGATCTTGGTGTAGCTCTGATCCCATACGACGCAGGGAGGCTGGAAGGGTGACTCTCATCACCGCTTGAATAGTTGGACCTGACGGTGTCAGTGCCAGGGCTGCAGTCGGAACCAAAGAGGCCGCCAAACCCAAGCGTCGATATTTCGAATGCTCAGGCTTCTTCGGTTTCTTTGCCAATTTCTCGGCCTTGTCTTTTTTGGCCCTTTTCTGCACAGGCGAATTCTCAGGAGCACTGTGTTTCTTCTTTTCCTTCTGTTTCTTGGGAGGAGAAACAGGCCGCTCCCCGATGGCAGAAGCACCTTCGCCCGAAGGACATAAGGGCAGAGCAGTAGAGGAAGGGGCCGGACATTGCAGCGGTTCAATAGAGGCCGGACAGCGGTTTGGTGGGGCCGAGATTGTAGTGGGCTTAGCCACCAGCCGGTCGGATTGTAGGAGGGCCTGGTCCCACAGGAGTTTCCATAAATGGTTGTCCCTGTTCTTCCTGGCCTGTTTCGAGAAGGCCAGGCAATGGACACACTTGTCCGTCCTGTGGCCCTCCCCTAAACAGAGGAGGCACAGGTTGTGCGGGTTCACAGTGGGCATTTTAGAGCCACACTCTCCGCACTTGTGGAACACTGCTCGTTGAGCCATCACAGAAAAAGAGGAAAAGAAGATAGTAAAGCGGGAATAGATAATATTTTTGTTGTTGTTGTTTATAGGAATGAGAAACAAGCAAAAAACGAGAGAAAAATGAAGAGAATAACTGGAGTAATATGTTAAGGTAAGAAAGGAATACTAACTTGGAAGGAACAAGAGAAAAAGATTCGAACAAGAGAGCACGAGGCACAATCTAAGCGAGAGTGAAGCGGTACAAGGCACAATGAACAGCAGTCACAAAGACTGGAAAATGGCAGACACTCCGCTCCTTATATACTACTAGGGGGGAGGGGGAGCAGAGTTTCCCGCCAAACCGTTAGCTGTTACTCTTCCGGCCAAAGGCACTGCACAGGCGCAAAACCCGTATGTGTGATGCACAGAGGCCACGACAAAGAACTCTACTTGCCCTCCCTGATCCTCACCAGCAACACACACTTCAGAAACAAATTGGCAAAACAGATGAATAATTGACTAGCAATAGATTCCCCACACCCCAAATGGCCTCATCTGAACCTAACAACTCATTGTAGTTAAATCTACAATTAACCTTTAGTGTCTGGGTTTGTTTGTCATACAGTAACCTCTGATTGGCCATTAGAGACTGCACATTCAAAATAGAGCACAAAATCCTAGCAAGTATGGGTTAAATATTTAAACCCCATAGACCTCAATAGCATTAATTAACCCACAATTTGTTGCCATTACATGGGAACCAGGGCTATGTCTGTTCCAAAACATTCCTATGAGTGACAGGCAAATATGCCCATATATTCTGTCCTCCCCTCTACTCCCAAGAGATTCCACAAGTTAAAATAGAAATATATAAGAATAAAAGAAAAAGAGATGAGTCTGATATTCTGCATGCAATACCTAATTCATGGCAAGTTACTGATATATGGATTACAAATAGCAAGGTAATTTGTAACCTGCAAATATATATAGTTGGCAGTAAGTCCCACTAAATTTAATGCAGCTTATTTTGAAGTAGTATTTTACTGTAAGAAAATTTACTGGCATATTAAAGTAACATCTTGTCTTCTGATCATGCCTCCTCTATTTACATGCTGGCCAAGCCAACCTCAGGATGGAATCATAATCTTCAGTACATATAATTATATCATATAGATAAGAACACAATCCAAAGAAAGTTAAATATTTAAATCCCATAGGCACAAATGACATTTTAACATTGAACATGCTTGAAATAGCATATGCTTCACTGTATTAAAGCTGTTCTTTTCTTTCTTTTGTAGTTTTCAATTAAAATATTGTGCAGTGCAATTGCATTTACAGTGTCATATATGTTTGTGGAATAAAGGTGAAAAAGCAATTATAGAGGCCACAATCTAAATAATTCCTTTTCATGTAAGTGAATTGCATGCTCAGTCAAAGCTTTTTTTAAATCATCTTCAATGTCTGAAGAGAAAAGTCTGTTTTCATAATAGAGAACAACTGCACACAGAGCTCCCTTATTTGTGCAAATCTTCTTTGGAGAGAATATTAAAATATCGTATATGGGAATAAAGTGCATATTATTCACCCTACAACTGGAATAAACATGAAACTAAATTTTACACCATATTCCATGCATAGAGTCTCATTCTCTAAATTGCCCCTGATATATACCAACTCAGAACAAGCACTCTAGGCTATACTTAATGAAGTCAAGGTAAAACATGATTTTAATGGTTGAAGTCAAAGCCTAAATGCAAAGGTCAGTTAATATTTTTTCATCCACACTAGTTATGTTCAAAGCTGTTTTGTGTTGAAATGGAAATGAATAAAGTATATTTATTAAAGGTTTTGTTGATTAAAAAGTTACAAATAATTTAATTCATTTTACACAGAAATTCAGAGAAAGGAATTACAAAGCTGATGTACCTGTATGTAAGTGCCTGAATCATTTTTGTAGAAAATTGAATAAAACTGTATGATGCCATTGGGCTTTTGTGGAGGATCCCAGAATATTTGTATTGATGAGGAAGTCAGATTTTTATACCACACATTTTTAGGTGGGTCACTTGGAGCTGAAATATATAACACAGAAACATCCAAAATGAGTTTTTGCTGCAAGGTAAACACTTGAGTTCTGTCTTCTTCTTAAGAGTTACCTGTATCTATAAAACATCCAATATCTAACTATTTTACTTCCATTTGGTAATGTGGATGCCTAACTTAAACTATTCCATAGTGGCAGGATCATTCTCAACAGTAAACCAAATCATTTCTTTTATTAGGACAACAGTATAGACTTACCTCCTTCAGGTGTTCTGAAGGTAGTCACATTGCTCTTCATATTTCCGTCACCAAATCTTGTACTTGCTGTTAAATAAATGCTATATTCCTTGTTATTTTCAAGATCCGTGATCTGTAATGACGTATCTGTAACATTAAAGCTTCTTCTTGACATGCTATCCCTAAACAGACAATGTATAAATGATTGACTAGCAAAATGATGAACACCTCATACAGAGTTCAGCATCTGAAATTGTTTAACTTAGAAAAAAAGCAAGTAAGAGGAGACATGGTAGAGAGGTATAAAATTTAGCATGATATTGAAAAGATGAATACAGAGAAATGGTCTCCTCTTATAAGACTAAAACCGAGGAGCATGCCGTGATCCTCACTGGTGAGAGATTCAGGATCGATAAAAGTACAATACTTATTTGCATACAGCATAGTTAAATTATAGAATTCACTACCGTTAGATGTAGTGATGGCCACGAATTTGGATGGTTTTAAAAGACAATTGGTTCAATTAATGGAGGAGAAGTCTACCAATGGCTACTGGTTCCAATGGCTAAGTACTACCTCCAATTTCATATGCCCGTGTACACCAGTTTCTCAGAAACATGGACAGGAGAGTGCTGTTGCATTCATCCTGCTTCTGGATTTCCCATGGGCAGTTGGTTGGCCACTGTGTGAGCAGGATGCTGAACTAGATGGACATTTAGCTTGATCTGGCAGAGCTTTTATTTTTTATTTATTTATTTAAAGTTTTTATATGCTGTCCCCTTGCTACATAGCCTTGGGATGGCTCACAAAAATAACAAATAAAACAATAACAATAACAATTAAAACCTGGAAACACACTGGCTGCATAATAAAATATATAAATATTAAACATGATTAAAATACTGTTTGAATAAAAAGGTCTTGGCCTGGCACTGAAAAACAAATAAAGATGACGCCAGGTAGGCCTCTCTGGGGAGTGCATTCCACAGATGGGACGCCACCGCAGAGAAAGCCCTTCCCTGGGTACTTTGCCTCCTGACATCTCTCACCGAAGGCTCCCGGAGGAGAGCCTCTGCTGCCTATCTCAAGGGGCGGGAGGGCAAATATGGCTGCAGGCATTCCTTTAGGTATCCGGGTCCCAAGCCATTAAGCGCTTTATAAGTGATTACCAGCACCTTGAATTGAGCCCGGACTTCGATGGGGAGCCAGTGAAGCTGGTAGTGGACTGGGGTTATATGAGAATAACGCCCAGTCCTCGTCAGCAACCTGACTGCTCTATTTTGCACCATCTGAAGTATCTGGACTGTCTTCAAGGGCAGCCCCACGTAGAGCGCATTACAGAAATCCAGCCAGGAAGTAACCAATGCATGCCTCACTGTTGCTAGGCAGTCATCCTCCAGGTAGGGTCGCAGCTGATGGATTAGCCAAAGCTGATGGAAAGCACTCCTCACCACCGCCGACACTTGAGCTTCCAAAGTCAGCTCCGGGTTAAGGAGCACTCCCAAGTTGCGGACCCTGTCCTTTAGAGGGAGTGCAACCCCATTCAGGACATGATCCAAGTCACCTACCCAGGAGTTTGAACCACCCACCAGCAGGACCTCTGTCTTGTCTGGATTGAGCTTCAGTTTGTTGGCCCTCATCCAGCCCATTACCTCGGCCAGGCACCGGTTCAGCACAGCCACTGCCTCACCTGGATTGTTTGAAAAAGAGAGGTAGAGCTGGATGTCATCAGCATACTGATGACTCCGCAGCCTACACCTCCGGATGACCTCTCCCAGCAGTTTCATGTAGATGTTGAATAGCAAAGGGGACAGAATAGACCCCTGCGGAACTCCATGGCATAGCTGCCATGGTGCAGAGGTAAATTCCCCCAGCACCATCTTCTGGAATTGGCTGTCGAGGTAGGAGCGGAACCATTGCCAAGCAGTGTCTCCTACTCCCAGTCCCCTTAGCCTATCCAGAAGGATACCATGGTCGATGGTATTGAAAGCCACTGAGAGGTCCAGGAGGACCAACAGGGACGCATTCCCCCTGTCTTTCTCCCTGCACAGGTCATTGTACAGGGTGACCAAGGCAGATTCAGTACCATATCCAGGTCTGAAGCTGGACTAAAATGGGTCCAGATAATCAGTCTCATCCAAGAAAGCTTGGAGTTGTCGCACCACCACCTGCTCCAACACCTTGCCCAAGAACGGGATGTTGGCCACCGGTCTATAATTGGTGGCCATCTCTGGATCCAGGGACACCTTCTTTAGGACCGGCCTGAGCTTTTCTTAAATAGTTATGAATGGAGAAAAACCAAACATCCAGAATTTGCAATACTGTGTGTATTTGGTTTATGCCTCAGTTTTAAAGATCACATAGCCAGCACATGAATGCTTAAGAATACATGATCTGAAAGAATGATGATGACTTAATGGCAGTAGAAATGCTAGCAAATGTTTCACTTTTACATGGAATCGAACTGTAAGCCTTACTGAGTTCAATGGGATGTACTCTCAAACAAGTGGGTAAAGACTGCAGCCTAAGGATGAAATTCTATATCCACTTCCTTGGCAATAAGTTCCATTGAACTCAAGAGGGCTTACATGTGTATCTGATACATAAATAGATGCATAGGATTGCACAGTAAGCCACTGGGAAGGAACAGAGCAGGTGCATTCCTAAGGCAAATCAAACAGAACTGAAATGTGCTAGCTTCGATAGATCTAATAACTTAGGGCTAATAGCTAATAGTTCTAATAACCATCAAATAACTCTAAATATAATCCTCCACTGTAAAAATAACACTAGTACTTGTTTGGGGTAGCAAAATTTTTAGAAATGCCTATGTAGCAGCATTTAATTTGAAAGGTGAACCTCAAGATCCTTTGTGATATGGCACGATTTTCTGGGATACCATTTTTGCACAGATGGTGTGGAAAAGGCAGTTCACTGGTATACAAGTAGTTTCAACAGGTAAGTGCCACAAAACGGCAGAAGGGAATCTGGTGCTTCTGACACCCTTACCAGAGAGAATCATGGGGCAGTGTTAGAGACACTGCTATTTCCCCATGTTGAAGGTGTGCAGCTGTTTTACAGAAAGGAACCCTGGGCATGAAACACTGATTAATTATCCGCCACTATGGTGCGTGCAGTTATTCAGCTGCTGCACACCCCCAACATTATGGAGTAGAGTACAGATTTCTGCTCCACTGGTACATGATTCACTCTGGTGGAGTGCCAGATTCCACACCATTTAATGGCACTTGATGGCAGAATCTGGTATTCTGCAACAGAACCTCCTTTTACTCAACTGTTGCATTCAGTAGAGCAGCTTGGGGAGCAAAATATATTGGTTTTGAAATGCTGCTTCCGAAAATGCTCCATAATTTGGCAGGCACTGACCTCTTGAACTTCACTTGCCCCTGTAAAGAGCTCAACCTGAATTTGTAAAATAAAGGTTCTCTCTTGTGATATGCTACTATTAATTAATTTAATATGTAACACAAAATGTAAGGAAAAACATCTTTAAATGTCTAGTAGGGGACTGATAAATGTTTATCTCCAGGAAAATCTTACCAGACATGAACTGTGTAATAGAGGATAATTCCATTTGGCTCCAGTGGTGGTTGCCATGACAACTTCACAATGACACCAGACAACTGTTTTACTGTGAGCAATTGTGGAGGAGAACTCGGAGCTGTAAAATGAGGACACAGTATACTGTTAAATGGTCATGATTTCAGAGTTAATTAAAAAGTATCTTAAAATGGGATTTTTATTCCTATCAATGTTGTAAACAGCATATTTGGTTTGAGGTGGGGGAGTTGAAGTAAGGTGATAAAGGACCATTTTTCATGGTAAATGGTCAGACATCTGTTCCTGTGATTTGATGGAAAACAACATTTCATGAGTAAATAAAGCAAGTGAAATGAAGCCATGATTCATCTTCAGCCCAAGTACATTGTTGTAATTTGTTCACTGTGATAAAAAACATGAACTTTATAGGTGTGAACCCCTGTAAAATATAGTATGGTAGTTTCCCCGAGAAGCAAATGAACTGGAAATTATTACATTAGTTTCAAAGTGTGGGGAAACTGATTAGTATTACATGATAGATGATAAAAATACAGCATTTTAATACTTCTCTCCATTAAATTAAAAGACCTAAAGGTCTAGTATGCCATGCCACAAGAATATATGGGTCCAGCACAATTAAAACTCAAGTCAAATCAAGACAGCTGGAAAACCATGCAGATATAACAACGAAATATGTAAAAGGACAGGCTGTGGGTCAGTAGTAGAGCATATGCTTCGTATGTATAACATTTATTAAGCATCTTAAGCTCTACTCACATTTTCACTCCATGCACTGAAATACCAGTAGGGCTGTGCTGTTGGCCCATCCCCAACACTGTGTGCCTGGGCTAGCCCTGCCTCGAGGTCCACAGCTGCTCATGCTGTAGGGATGTATGAGAAATTCAGTTCAGTTTTGACCAGAATTTTCCCAGTTTGCATCTCTCAAAACTGAATGCAGACGCAAATGTCATCTGCAGTTGACATCTGTACACTTCCAAGCTCACAATGCAATTTGCAGAACAGAAGAAAGGTGCATTCAAAATGCACACATTTGAAAAAGGGGTACAAAAAGGATTTTTTAAAAAAAATGTACATGAACACTCTTCAGTCAATGGGACAAATGCAAAAATTTCACAAATGTGCACAATTGATTTGTATGTTTAGAAAATGCATGTGAAGATGCCCAAAAATCATGTAAAAGAAAGAAAACAATGCTCCCAGTCTGTCACAGACATGAGAGAGAACAAGCTTCAAGGCAGAATTATGAAAACTCTACAAGCTTGAATTTTGCCAATTTGAAATGCTTGTAGGAGCATTCTTGCAGATATCAACACCCAGATGTTGGAAGCAGGGATAGCCTGTACATGGAGTATTGTTGACAGGGCCAGCAGCATCACCCCACTCCTGCTTCAATATGTAAGTGCCCTATGCTCATGAGCATGTGAACAGGGTTTTAGCTGATAGGAATTCGGATACAGCTGGAAAAGATCTTTCAGAGGTTTCAGACAGATCCACTGGTCTGACTCAATATATAAAATGTTGATCTCATCACACAAAGAATTCACTCCACTTTATACTATTTGATGTTGCCATTTTATAAATTGCAAGACAGGCAGTCCCCAAGTTATGAATGCCTGAGCTACAAACAACCCACACTTATGAACAAATCGCCATAAAGCCTATTAATTAAAAAAAACTGCAGAAAATTGTTATCACCATAGAAAGAAAGGAAGCAAAAGAGGAAAGCCTCCAAAGCATCATCATAGAGAAAGAGGATGGAGGACTCCAAAGCATGCTTCTTGCCCCACCCATCCAGAAAGGGAAATCTCTCTGGCATTTCCTTGCTTCAAAAAGGAGGCACTGGTGAGTTAGGGCAGGGAGGAGCCTAGAGATATTTGCAGATTTTCCTGAAGGTGGAGGACTGACTATATGTGATCCAACTTACATACAAATTCAGCTTAAATAAGACAAGTTTCCATTTTTCTCAGGAATGGAATTCATTTGTAACCTGGGGACGGCCTGTGTGCATGACATTTTATTGTTACTGTATAATAATTTAAAATTTCATTATAAGCCCATCTTGTAGAATTGAAAAGTGAGGTAGGAATCCTATAAATACATGTAAACATAAACATGCAATAGCAATTATATATATATATACGTGGTCAAGTCTGGGAAGCAAAAGCCTTTCTAATCAAAGAGTCTCTTTTTGCTATGTAGTTCTCTTGGCCCAAGGGAAGATTCAGCAGAGGGTGGGGCCAGTGGTAGGGAGAGCTGGCAGTATGTCACAGGACTCACCCTCTCTGTGAGCTACCTGCCAGAAGCATTTCAACCACCACCTTTATCAGGGGCTGTTATGCAATGGGTTTTTTTTTTATTTCCTCATTGTCAGCACATATTTATAAGGAGCAATGCATGTTTGTTTTTTTTAACCCAGGGAAGTGCAGCTCCATAAATGCACCACTGGAATGCTTGATGTTCCAGGCTTAAGAATTAAGTCTTTGAACTGGACCCACATTAACAAAACATGCCCTCACTAAAAACACAAAAAATGTAGTAACGATGTGCTGGAACTGAGCTCTCCCTGAAGTTTTGGGCTGCATTCCTAGTCAAGAGTAGACCCATTGGTCTGATAGAGTATAAAACAGCTCCTAATCTTCTTTGTAAGTTGACATATTTCTAAAATATTCTAATATTTTGATATCTCTACCATGATAACACAACCAATGACATTATCAGAATTCAGTAATTATTCATCAGTTAAAATTGTTGTTTAATAAAGACATTAATTATAATGGTAATATAACAACAATAACGAATTCTATTTGCCACTGAAATTAAAAATGGTGGAACATTTTATTGCATTCATGAAGAAGAGATGCAGGCATAGTTCCACCCAGTTTTGTTTATTTTAAATCAAACAACAAGACAACATCATGTACCAAAAAAAAAAAATCAGATCATGCATAGAAATTAAGACTATAGTACAGCTATGCGCAAATCTGTTAAGCAGTTAGTTCAATACTCAGGTCGCTGTATTAGCAATAAATTACATTATAAACACTTTTTCTGTGCTTCTCTTAACAATGTGATTTGATTTGCCATTGCTGCCTTCTGAAATTAGCTATAGGAAAACTTTAAAAAGTCAGCAAATATCTGAACTTACTAAATTTGAGCAATGGTGATTGTGTGTTTTGTGTTTTAATAATATTATTCTAACTGGAGCACTTCTCTGTTTTCAGCTTGGCCTGCAAAGCTTCTCCTTTCCTGTGCAGGTTTTGTACATAACTATATATAACTTCTTTGCTCACAGAAAGATGCTGACATGACACACTTCATTCCACCCCAACCAATTGGTATGAAAGTCTTTACCAGTACATGCACATACCACTATAATTTCATAGAAAAACTTACCATCTTCATCAGTCAATATGTTTAGAGGTACACTGCGAACACCTTCTCCCTTTACCGTACTTGAAGACAACTCAACTAGATATTTTGTATAGATTTTTAAACCTAAATAAAGAGTAAATATATTATGCATTTTGTAAAGTATGTATATTTTCATAACCATAAGGTAGGGGAATTTCTTGTTGGCTTCAAGGTTGTAACTATAATATTCAAATAAATAAAGGTAAAAACATTCTGGTTTTGGTTTTCATAATATATAAATGCACCAATTAAACAACCTCTCATGGATGTCTCATGGGAATTGGTAAGACTTACTTGCACTTATTTTAGTGCAACTTAACTGTGCCTAACATTTTTGAAGTAGGAACTCCTCTCCCTTGGGCATTCAGGAAGGCCATGTGGAAAAGGGCAGCTTTTCACATGCATTTCTCACCTTTAAAGCATGTGTGCATACACTCATAGTGTCCACATGTCAAGAAATGCTTCCTTTGGTTATATTAAGTTGCCTGCTTCAATGGCACTTGAACTGGACCTGACTATGCAGCCATGTGTGTATTTAATTTTATAAATGGTTTCCCACTGCATGCATGAATCTCAGCATTTTCTCAAGTAGAGCTGGACAGCTACTTGGGGAAAAAAGTAATACTGAATATGAGAACCTAAACTTCAAGTCTCTTGTCCAGCACAAAAGATATAATTCTGATAGTTGATTTAGTATGATTTTATGGAATACAATACAGTACAGACTATTGACCAGCCAATTGACCAGCAAGGCCAAGGCTACCAGCATTTCAAAGTATCAGGCCACTGTATCAATCACCTGTGATAGTTATTGTCAGTTGAGTAGCATTGATGAGTCTTTCCTCAGTTCCATAAGTTTCTCTGATATATGCAGTATATCTCACTATAATCCCATTAGGCACAGATGGTGGAAGAAATGATAACTCTATTTCTGTAGAAGATATATTCCTGTAGGTAATGTTTTGTGGTGGGAATTCAGGTACTGAAAGCAAAGTGATGAAGCAAAAAGTTAATCAGACTAACCTTTTAGATAATTACTGCACACGTAGCACTACCAATTAGTTGACAAAAAGAGTAAACAACCCCAGTCACCAAATAGCATCATGATTCCATTTTTCAACCAAGACCCAGCCTGAGTAACCACTACAAAACTTCCAACACAGATTTAAAAAACAAAACAAAGCAAAATCAAATGTTGTTTCTTTTTAGGTGTGAGCCTGTTTTAAATTCATTCAGTTTTTAAATGTTCAGTTGGTATCTTTTGGGTCCCTGGAGGTCAGAGACACTAATGTCTCTGGTAACCTCCCGGTTGGATTATTGTAATGCGCTCTATGTGGGGCTGCCCTTGCAAATGGTCTGGATACTTCAATGGGTACATAATAGAGCTGCCAGGATGCTGACAAGGACTGGTCATTATTCTAACATAATGCCAGTCCTCTGCCAGGTACACTAGCTTCCAGTTGAAGTCCAGGCCCAATTAAAGGTTCTGGTTTTAACCTATAAAGCCCTGAACGGCTTGGGACCAGGATACTTAAAGGAACACCTCTTCCCTTATATGTCATCATGCCCCTTAAAGCCTGTGGGAGCGGCTCTGTTCTGGGAACCCTCCCTGAAGGACGTAAAAAGAACATCTACCAGGAGCAGGACCTTCTATGCAGTGGTGCCCAAATTGTGGAATGCACTCCCTGGAGAGGTGTGCCTGGCTCTGAGTTTATATTCTTTTCAGCACCAGGTCAAAACATTTTTATTTAATCACTATTTTAAAAATTAGTATTTTAATTGTTTTGAACAGTCACTTTGATTTTGTCTTTTATGTAAACTTTTATTGAATTGTGTCATTTATAAATGTGATTTATTGTATTACAATTTTATGTATTGTGAGCCATCTTGAGATGCCAAGGCATAAGAGATGGCATACAAAAGTTTTAAATAAATAAATAAATAAATAAATGTAAATCATTAATCTTCAATCAGAGCAGGTGGTTTCTTTAAATCTAGAATGAGACATTAGTATTATATGTAGAGGATGGGATTGTGAAGATCTTTATTTAGGATTTGCATTTGCTGTTAGCAGTTGGTGAGATGGCTCCATGTTGACTTTTAATACCTATATTCTCTAGGACTCCTGGGAAAAGTCTCAAATATGCTTGAATCCTTCAAAGATTTCTTACAAAAAGCTTGAGAAAACATATGGCACTGTATCTACAATTTGCACAAGTAGCTTCTTTTTGAAGTAGATTGTCCTTCGTCCTTCTCCCCACTCTAGATCCCTGCACTCCTGTAACTTTTCCTGAGGGCTGAGGAATACAGGAAAGCATTGGGATGTAGCACAGGAAGCTCAATGAGAAGATAGAATTGTTGGAAGTTGGGTGCATAAAACTTCCACTAGAACAAGCTGCCTCTACTTGCTCTTCTCCAGATCTCTCATTCCACTGTTGTCCCTCATACCACATTACAGACCTTTTTGTGGGTCTTGGATGGCAATAGGTGATGCCATGGGGAGGAAAAGATGAGAATGCCCCACCATCTGAAAGAACTTTCATACAGATAAACTCTGGAACCATGAAAATGGAGAGCTTGTTATGGTATTCTCATCCTATCATTTCTCACCTCCCAAATCAACTTATCCTTCAACTTATGCTGGAAAGAGACATCAGGAAGGATTCGCTGAAGGCAGGCAATACATAGCAGGCCTCTATTTACCTGTCCTCAATACACATGAGCAGGTGCTTCTTTAGAAACATACAATTTGTCAGGATGCCAAGAATGCAATTTTCTATGACTACCTCCCATTCACCTGTTTGGCTTGCTGTTCTGGGCAATGGGAGCTTATTCCCACCCCTCATGTGTTCTTTCATGTATTTCTATATTTATAAACCACTACATATTGAGAAATATAAGAGTACAATCAATATAAACACAAAATGCAAATCATTGTGACAAAAACAAATAGCATGATATGTTACTAGAGTTATGAATCAGATGTAAGGAACTTCTCAGCACTTGTTTTCCCAGCACTTTTTTAAAGCTGCCAAAGAAGTCAGGGAGAAAGGGGTATGAAGACGGGAAAGTGGGTGGAAAGGGGGCAGGGAGAAAGGATTTGACTTCTTTGATCAGATTAAAATCAGAAATCAAGAACTTTCTGAATTATAATACTCACTTTAATTTGAAGTAGCTATTATGAGCTTCCATGATACATGAATCATGGAATTCAGCAAAATCATTATACTGGGTACTACATTACTGTTACTAAAAAGTAGGACTATATGCATGCTATCATTCAGCATGTTGTAGATAATCCAGATCATTGCAGAGCAATTCCAAACACAATGTATAGGGCACCAAGTTTATTAAACCACAGAAATTTGCTGACCTTCTGCTGTTTGGCTCAGCGAAGGTCAAAGCAAAGCCATTACCTGCTGTCACTCAGTGAAAATGCTCATCACACTCTCTAAAAACTATGGCACAGGAGAAGCATATCAAATGCAAAGTCAAATATGTGCCATGATGATATTTCCACTTGACAGCAACATCCTAAACATATTAATTTGGGAGTAAATCTTACCAATTTCAAATCTAGGCCTTCTTCTCAATAACAGTGCTTAGCATTGAAGCTATATAATCAAGAGAGAAAACTAACATTTCATACTTACCAGCTTCAGCTGTTCTTACAGATAGCAAAGAAGATGACTGATTCCCATGGCCAAGCCAAGTGAATGCCTTTACAGAAATGTTGTAGAGAGTGTATGGTTTCAAACCATTCAAAAGGAGATTGGTTGCTGTGGTATTTTTAAAAATTAAAACAGTGCCATCATCATACATAATTTCATAGTGAGTGATGATCCCATTAGGTCTTTCAGGTGGTGTCCATCTTAAGCTTATTTCTGTAGCAGTAACTTCTAATAGCTCAACATTCTCGGGTGGTGAACTGGGTTCTTCAGTTCAGAAATCATAAAAGAAAATTGTTGAGTTTTTAATACATTGAACATAGTTGCTTTAAAAATCCAGCATTTAGAAATTACAGTAAGTCTAAGGTCTTGATGAAATTTCTTTAGTTATAGATACCTTTTATTTAGGGTGACATTACTCAAACTATTACCTAAAAGATATAGTGCATTGCAACTATTCCATTTCCGATTTCTGAACAAAAGGAAAGCATATGCCATGTGTGTCAAAGTTACTGACCTATTTAATTGTTAAAAAAAAAGATCATTAGATATGGCTGGTATATTTAGTTATTTCTAAATATATTTCTAAATTGTCATAAAATGAGGAACATTAAAGCTATTAGACATATTCAATTGAGAAAATAGTTGGCTGATTTGAGGGCAATTTAGAAACAGGATTCTACTTCATGAAAGATGGCATTCCATTTTACCTAGATGGTTTACAAAGATCATCAAAAACAAAGATTTATCAACTTTCAATTCAGATCACACCTAGACAGAATTAATAACAAGAAGAATGGTTTAATTGATTCCATTTTAACAAATTCTGGAAACAGTTCACATATTGTGTATTGTTCATTCAGTATTTTAGGATTCATCCGCCAAGTCATACCAAACTATAAAATCTGTATGAATAACATACTTACCATCCTCAGGTGTTCTCACGAAAATATCATTGTCTTCAGACAGAGCACTTTCTCCTATTGTAGTGGAAGCTGCTACCCTCATTTTATAATTTGTATACTTTTTCAGACCTAGAAGAAATAAAATGAAAACCTCACAAACACAATCCACTGGTACCTTTGCCTGAGTATGGCCCATCATAATGAACAGATTTATGCAGTTTACATTCATTCTATTTGGCAGAGAGCAGGCATTGTTCCCAAGGAACATCTAAGGCAATATAAACTGAATGCCCTACATATATTTGTGAGGGTTACTTGGGAGGGCTTTCCCTTGTAACATGCTAAATTTATTTTATTTAGTTGTATTATTGGCCAGGATACAAAGAACTAAATATGTCAAGTTTGTTGATGTCCTCCATCCACTTTAACAGCAGATCTCTATGATATATGGGTTGGGAGATGTTCAAGAACACAAGCCCAAAGCCTCCTTGGGTTTGTGGAATATGGAGCTGCCTTTTACAATTTTATTTTGCTAACTTCTCTTTAGCCACCTCTACTCACTGATAATACCATGAAGGGTTAGAGAGTAAGATAAAAATGAAGAGAAAAAAGAAGTTTATTTTTAACCACCAAAGCAAACACACAATGATAACAAAATTGGCATAAGTAAAATTTGAAGAATTTACTTATTTCCAAGAACAACAACAACAACTAGATCTATCTTAAGCAAGTAAAATTACTCCAAGCTGAGGGTGTTCTGGTCAGTGCCTTTAAAAATGAGCAACATTTTAGCAGTATTTCACTTCTCTAAAGTATGCCAAGAGTAGAGAGAGAGAATATGAGAACAGACACTTTTCTATTCAATTATTCCAACACATTTTATAGCTCCTATAACAATTTGCTTTTACTACAGTTACCTGTAATCAAGATGCTATTATTTGATGTAGTCATGTGAAAAGCTCTGTTTGTATCCAGCTCCATGACATAGACTGTGTAATGTGTGATTTTTCCATTTGGATTTATTGGCACATCCCAATACAGCAAAATTGATGATGAACTAATGTTTTTATAACTTATGTTTTTTACTGAGCTTGGAACTACAAAACAAAAACAAACCATTTAGTATGAATTGAAGAGCTAGAAGGGAATTAAAAGTAACTAGCATGAAAACACTGCATTCATAAAACATTACCTTGTTCACTTGTTCTAGTAATAAGAATAGTTGGTGGTCCTTCTCCAATGATGGTAAAAGCAGACACAGCAATTGCATAGTTAGTGAAAGGTTGGAGTCCATTTACAAGATATGACAGCTGCTCAGCTGAAAGGTTGATGCCATAAAGAAATGCTTTGCATATTAAAAAAGAAAAGAAAATGTTACCTTTATATTAACTAAGCACCACTGAACTTCTCATCAATTTGATCAACGCAAGAGCAAATGTAAGGAGTAGGCTTGAGTACAAATGTCTTCTCAAAATTCTCCACCCTATTTATGAAGAGAAATTGGGAGGGCAACTTCACTGAATTTCTCCAAGCAGGTTGCAACCCAACTTCTTTCCTTATTCATGGGGGTTTGGGAGTGGTGGTTGTGCTATCACTGAAAGTGACAACAGCAGCAACTGTGTTAGGATGCTGGCCTTTGTTTTACATCCATCAAAATGGAGTTGTGGGGCAGTGTTGTGTATAGCTTCAGGAAAGAAGTGGAACTGGTACAAAGCCAAAATCCATTCTCCAAAAGTGGGAAGAAGCCAGAGCCAAAAGTGCTGCAAGAGTGCTCGCAAGAAGGATTACAGTAAAATGAAAAACACAACACAATATTTACACAACCTCTTCAGCCACCTGTTAACTAAAGAAATCATGAGAAACCCAAATGCAATCCATGAACATTTTGCTAGAATTTTCTTTATCATTGAATTGCTTTTTCAAAGCAACTTCTTTTCTATCTAACTGAAAGGGAATAGTCAAAACAAATTTAGAAGCTTTTTTCAAGCCAGCAGTAGAAAGTAGCAACCTCCCCCTCCAATAAAACAAATATAAAGCATGAAGATGGAACAGAAGTTGGCAGTGGACACACATCACATAACTTATAGCCAGATGGACAAGTAGTTTTATAGTGCAAGCTTATGCATGCCTACTTGGAAGTAAACCCCACTGAATTTAATGGGTCTTAAGTGAGTAGGATTGTAATCTTAACATAGCTTCCATCCTTGTAGTATATTGATGAAAAAAGAGAAGCTTCCATTATTTTCATTATAATGGAAATGGAATACTATTTTTGTAGCAGTCAGAACAAAATCAGTCATGACCACCAAGAAGCTTGACTACATTTTTAAAAGCTAACCTCCTAGCCCTGGTTTCATTTACAACTGACTTCAAAGCAATGTAAATAAAATCAGAATGTGGCCTTCTGTCTCATTTAATACCTTCACTTGGGAAAAAAATAGAAAGGCATTTTAAGCCAGTATCTGTCAGCCAGTTGAATGGCTCATAAATATCCATACTTAGTCAAGAAAAATGCTCCATTGATAATGCTGTACAAGTGAGCATGTTAATGACATCCTTGTGTCACAGGGACATCTCCACCTGTCTGTCACCCCAAGCAGCAGAGTTGTAACTTTTTGACCTATTTACCTTCAGTGACATTTGAAAACCTATTAGTCAAAAGCTTTGGGAAAAATTAAGGTTCGCATGGGACATGGAGATATGTTAATCTCGTCCAATCACACCTGCCTCGGCAACTGTGATAACTGATTGTCTATGCAGCTTGTCCAGGAGCTCTGGCATCTTCTTTCTCTGGGAGGAAGGTCAGCTGGGCAACAAGAGGCTGTAGTCTCTGCCTGTGTGGCATTTCTCATTTGCTTCAGGAGGCCGTTTAGTGCAGGGAGCAGGGTGGGTGAGGCAGAATCTGCCTTCAACAGATGACCCATTAATAATGCTAAGGATCTTCTGTGTGACAGTTGCATTTTGCACAAAAACACAGGGTATAGAACAGAACTTCTACCTGAATCTGCATGTAGTTCTGCAACTGCATCAAGCCTGGGGAAATTATCACCAGAGATACTAGTAAATTTCACAGGAGAAATTGTGTCCACTGTTGGGAACAGCTCAGCTGAACCTTCATAAAATCCAGTTACTGTGTCTTCTTTACTCCATGATTCATGTATCATATCTGGATCCACAAATTCAATGGAATGCTAAAATTAAAAGCAAAGCAAAAAGGCGTTCTTAGCAACTAAAGCTCTCTCTTTAATCCTTATATTAGAATGAGAAGGGATAATGTGCAAATCCTGAAAATCGGTAAGTAGCACTGGTTTCAAACAAACAAACAACCTTATTTTTCTCTGTTAGAAGTGTATCTTCAAGAATCTCCCCTGTGTCCTCAAGTGAAACTTTTACTCTATATTGGGTGATTATTCCATTTGGTTGCTGTGGTTTTCTCCAAGCAATTCTAATATAGGTTGCTGCTTCCTCTTCCACATGTAAATCAAATACAGACCCTGGAACTGGAAAACAGTAAACATAATGAGAATTGAACAGTTTGGGTATTATTCCATGTGAGATCCATGTATAATAGAGGGACCCATTAAAATGAATAATTTGTTAGTCAAAGCTAAAGTTTACTCTGTGTAGGACTAACATTGGATCCTATTCCTGATTTTTTCTCTCATGTTTATAAAGACCTCTATAAAATCACTAACAGATTGTATCAGATAAATGTGAAAGTATAAGAAAAGACTTGTGTAGAAATTAGGAGTCTGATCTTAAGATTTAATAGTTTCTATAGCCAATAGAAGGTGGAGTCCCCCTGAGATGGTTGTCAGGGTTTAGATCTGAACTGGGGTGCCCTAGTTCTAGATGTATGTTCCTGTACTGTTACATGAAATTAGGTTGTTGAAGCTTGTTACACAAGTACCCTAAAAACTGGGCCTAGAATTCAGCTACGCATTCTATCAGGTGGTTACTGAATGTTCTGTTTGTGCAGAATTCTGATGAGTTCACTAAAATAACTTTTAGCTGGTGGTTCTGGATTAACTAAAATGTGTTCCAAACATTAGAAGCCGGATCTCTTTTGCCCTATTTTCCACTGATATCACACTTTGCTTTATGAAGTTTGTGATAATTATGTACATCCCTGAAGTTCTGCATGTTGAGATATTACCTGTTCTTGGTGAAATTTGCTAATTTGCTAATGTCGTGTCTCATGCCAGCTAAGAACATTAGAAAGAGCTAATGAATTGTTAAGTAGGCAGGATGGGTAGTAACCCCAACTGAAGGGATCATTAGTCCCAACAGGGCAAATAATAACTTCCAGGACACTCTGGGGCTAAACAGATGTTAGACTTGCAATAAAATACTCATCCATTCATTCAGGGCAGCTAACAATTTCTTCCAGCCATATAGTCCATCAGAGTAGTCTTCCTTTCACAGATCATCAAACTGATGGATACATTACTACTCTGATATGTAAAAGCCAGTTCCCAAAGTCTTTCTTTTCATTATAACTTAGAATGATAAGGAAATGGAGCATTCACTTCTGTGGGAAACATGCTTGGGGACACCATTGCAGAAGGGTCAAAATCTTCTTGTCAGAGCTGTACTTCAGTGCGAGTGACCTTTCAAGTACTCATACTAGGAGGCCTCTCTCACCTGTCCCCGCATCATAACGATTAGCATGTCTTCTAGTCTGACAATAAGAGTTAAATGCAAACAGATGCATGTAAATTTGCCATTTCCCTCCCTCCTTCCCATATTCACTTTGGGTCAGACAAATTTTGTGCATATGCTAAACAATTTCTCTGCAACAAATATTTTATTAACTGTAAAGCAGAAGGCAAGAGAATACATGGGAAGAACAACATAAAATTCTTGATTATTGCACACATGGAGGGAAATTTTGTTCACATTCACACATCATATATTGGCACAATATAAAAGTAGAACTTTATTTTACTTTTCATAAAACAGTGACACCTTGAAGCTAAATAAGCTGCAGAAAGTAAAACTACATCTTCTCTGAGCAAGATTATTACATTCCAGTTTTTTATTTACTTTAACTATATACTGCCATCTAATGGTCAAACAATTGCTGTGGTTTCTCAAGTAGATTTTTATTCAGAAAGTATAATGAAAGGGTCTAGAAGGAACAGCCCTTTATCTATTTATTTTGCCTTTCAAAAGTCCAACCTGACTTCAGAAAGTTATCAGAGAGTTAGATCCAAGAGCAGGGTACTGGAGAGAAGGAACACCAGATATGCATAGCTGACAGTTTCCATTACATTGCTTTTTTATAACTGAACAGTAAAATGCTTTTTGAAGTCGGGAATGGATGAGCTTTTGAAATGAACACTCTGGAAAATTAAAACAGATGCATACACCACGTTTATTCATACCATCCCAGCTTCCTCATGAAAGCAACACATATAGCTGTATCAAAATAAAGGGGTAGAACTGTCTAAATGGGGGCCAACAGGCGTGAAGTGATCACAGTATTGACTTGGTCTGCAAATAATGTTGCGTCCCACACTCTTGCTCTTCCTACCTTGAATCTATTTTCATGAACAACCATGGGAAGATCATTTGACATGGCATCAAAAATTGGAACTCTGGGTTTCTGAGGCCACAAAGCATTGGTTAAAACTGGGGGTTGTCCGTCTCTGAACAGCCTGAGTTCCAAGTTCACTGTCACATTAAAGAGCACAGGAATGTCTCTATTAGAATAGAAAGGTATTCAACTAAGCCAATGTTTTAACCCCATTAAAGAAGTTTAGTGTGATTCAGCCTTCAGACCATTGTTTCCATTAATGCAGAAAACAAACATTTCATTGGCTACATCAGGACTTTTTTTTTTGTCACAGAATGCACCAGAACAGCGTTCCAGCACCTTTTTTTCAATGGATTTTACGAAGTGATTTTGGTGTAGCAGAACAGCAGCAAACATCATTAACATAGTGCCTGCGAGCTGCCATTGTGTCTGCAATCTGCTATCTGATAGAGATAGCTGCTCGGGACGCTGCTCCGCTGCTTGGCTTGGGATTGGTGTGTGTGCCTACTGCCGATGGCGACGTGAGTTCCGGCACATTTTTTTTTTTTACAAAAAAAGCACTGGGCTACATACACAATTTATGACTTTCCAAAGAAACTGAACATATTGAGACACATAGCTTACCTCCTGCAGGTGTGAAAACAGTTAGGTTGGCCTTTGGCCCCACACCAGCACTTGTCTCTGCCGCAACAAAAGCATCATAGGTTGTGAATGGTATAAGGTTATTAAAGGTAAACTTAAGATCCTTTGTGCTGTTTTCCAAGATATGGCCTATAATGAAATGGTAAGTTTGATAGAAAAAAATTAAAAGAACTGGACACTTCTATATAGCTACTTTTAGTTCCATTGAAAGGTAAATCAAGACAGCACATCACTTAATTAACATTAACTGATCAGTTTAGGTCAAATATATACCACACTTTAATTAGTATTATAATGATCCTTGATAAAATTTTAAAAGCTAACTTCAGTGTAAATGTACAATTTTTCATGTTAATGATTTCCTCCAGTTAATATTTAGATTACGTTGCACACACATTTTTCTTGTCTGCTGCCAAGCAAGCATTCCTCCTTGGAATGATGCAAAGATTCTATCAAAACTTTCACCAGCTGCATTGGTGCCTTTCCAGTGAAATCTTTAATTACTTCTTAGTAAAGTATAGCTGAAAAACTGCCATTTTTGTTATCATAATCATTTATGGAAAGGATTGCATTGACCAGTGGAGAACTCTATCAATAACAAATAATATTACATAGGCTTTGACTTACCAGATGGTCCATATAACTCAACTCGGTAGCTAAACTTTCCAGTAACAATGGTTGGTGGTTCCCAAGAAACTGAGAAAAATTTCCCAGTGATGTTGTCTTTGACAAAATTTTGAGGAGGATCTTCTGGAACTAAAATAAGGTAAAATAAGTCTATGGCTATGTTATTTCAGCCATATAATTATGTTCTAATTCATAATATGTATGAAAATATCTCACAGCAACCAAACCATGGAAGAGGAGTTGTGTACAAAATGTAGCATATACAAAGTGTATGGCATTAAGTTCAAATCAAGATAGGCCTTTTTCATATTATCAGAATTAACATTGGCAACTAGTTTGGTAACAAGTTGGAGGGATAGTTATAAATAATGCTATTTGTCATGAAAGGCAGCTCTCCAACCTCAGAGCCAGGAATCTGTCTTCTCCCCAACTGCACAGCCAGGGTGAAAAGAACCATGTTAGCTGGCTCTCAGAGGGTGGGTATGCAACCTTGGAGAGGGAGCTTCTATGGGTTCAAAACTGCATTTTCTTTCTTTTTCTATCTTGTTAAGCTGATGAACTAATATGTAAATTGAGAGAAAAAGAATAGACTGGGATTGTTGCAAAGGTGTTTTGCATGACAGGAGGGTGCTTCCATTCATATACAGTGGCTCCTCCGAATTCTACTTATTCCCCTGAGCTCTGCATAATGCTAATTTAAAAGATGCCCTGACTCTCAAAAGCAAATTTGTGTCTGAACACAAGGATGCTGCAATGAGGATCGGGAAGCAGGAAAGCTTCACAGCACTAGGAGAATCATATTTGTGCTTCTCTACTCAATCTTCTTAATCTATGTAATAATACAGAGCTATATATAACTTTATTTTAATATAAGGCTGGAATAATCAAATAGTATTTATTGACACTCTTGTTATAAATACATTTATCTGAGAATAAGTCCAACTGCTGTCAATGGAATTGTCTCTCAAGTACATACATGTAATATTGCAGTCTTGAAACTAAACATCTAGCTTACTTTAGGAACATGGGCACCTAAAATTAAGGGGAAAATCCTATGCATGGTTAGATGGAAAAAGGCCTGCTAGCATGTGAGTTGTAGAACATTTTCTGTGTAAATATTCAGGACAATTGCCCTGTGCTTCAGGGCAATCGTATAGATTGAGGTTTTGATGCTCATAAATCCCCAGACTCAGAGATGCAACCAGTGTGGAGCAGGCAAAGCAGAAGCACCTCCCACCCTGCCTTTCAGCTAGATGGCTGTTTTTAGCCATCTGTCTTAGGGGCTAGGGAGGGAGGGAGGGGGGAGGTGGCTTTAAAGGACACTGGATGTCTCATATCCTCCCCTTTGCAATCTTGTCCTATCTCTCCACCCCACAGACCACACCTTTTCTTCCCTCTCCAAGGTTGCATACCCACCCTCTGAGAGCCAGCCAACATGGTTCTTTTCACCCTGGCTGTGCAGTTGGGGAGAAGACAGATTCCTGGCTCTGAGGTTGGAGAGCTGCCTTTGCTGGCAGAACTGGTGACCTTAAGTATACTATGATACCCCTGAATGGTATCTAGGCATCAGAGTAACTTCAATCTCTAAGTTCCTTATAAGGAGATGTGATACTGATAGAGCCCACAAGGAAGTCTTAAAAGCAAACTTTATGCACCACTTTTTAGAACAGTCTTGTCAGAAATTTAAACTGTCTTGAATATTTTATTAATATGTTAGTGATAACTTTAACATATTGCTATTTTTGCACAGCTTACAAAATGCTCTAGCTATCTGATTAGATCAAATGAAAATGTTTTCTATTTTACTAGGGGTCAAAATGAGAACAGCTGTTGATCAATTGAAATAAATCCCTTTTTTCATTCAAAAGCTGCTCATTGGAGATCACGTCTCTCTTTTCTTTTGTCTTGCCAACTCTAAGAGCATGAATTACAATTATTACTATACAGCCTTTCCCAGCCTGGTGCTCTCTTGATGTGTTAGACTACAGTTCCCAGCATACCTGCCCATTGGCCACACTGGTTGGAATAATGGAAATTGCAGTGCAAAATATTTGAAGGATACCAACTTGGAGAAAGCTGTTCAAAAATGTTAAGCCTTGAAAGTGACTAAGTAGGCCTGAAATTCTTCTCTAGGAATATCTTGTAATGAATGAACAATTTCTGTATTTATGCAGACTGTAATAATTTTCCTTTGTCTAGGGAACTTTAGCCCACTTTAAGGCATTCAGAATATTCAGTTACCAAACTATGAAGATCCCTGTAATGCAAGAAAATGGATAAGGAACTCATAGGTTATCCCTAACAGGACGAATAGCAACTTGGGAAAAATTTAGATGAGAATTTCAGAGGAAAGAAGCACAGTTCAACAGCCAGGTCTGTCTTCTATCTCTTGATTGTTTTTAAAAGTTCAATCCCATGCATCTTTAGACAGAGAAAATTCCTACAGATTCCAGTTTGTATGAGGCAGGCATGGCTAAATAAGCATAGGTTTGCATCCTAAAGAAAGTAAAACAGATGGGAATGCAATGTTAGTTATGAGTCATGAAGATTGCCTCTGATTTGATATGACAAAAGGCATTCTCAAATGGGTTAACTCTCCCCATCATTCAGGAAAGAGATCATGTGACTCAGACCTATGCTTTGAACAGGGAGAGGAAAACCTCTCCCCTATCCAAAATGAATTGAGGGAGGAAGCCCAACTCTGTCAAGGATTCTTGGGAGGGCAAAACTATTTGACAGGAGAGTTTTTCAGATTTCAAAGATTTGACATACGAAAGACCTAACCACAAATTAACCAATATGACTCTTTTTAAAATCATGAAACACAAAATTATGAAAAATTAGCCCATACCTGGTCAAGGTGTGTTGGAATCCTTGTGGAAAATGCAATGAGTATTTTACATATTGAATTATCTCCATTAAAAATTTCTTTCCTGGAAGATATCCTACCTGATTCTGGTGTCCTGACAATGGCACTGTCAATATAACCCGCTTCAATGGTGACTGCAGAAACTTCAAAAAGGTAAGTCGTGTATGGCCTGAGATTAGTCACAACAAAACTGATGGGTTCATTCCAGACAGAGCTCATTTTGCTGGGAGCGACTGTGCTTGGGATAAATATAGTAGTTTTACTAGAAGTAGTCGAAGGAGTGGTAGTACTCCACAAAAATGACTCACTGTTATCCTGTAAAGACAAAATAACCTCACTACCCTTAAAATTAAAATGCTGTTTTAATCAAGCATATCAAAATTATGTTGACAGTTTTCACCATCCTGGAAATTCAGTTGATCAGCACACTGTAATACAAAACATTATTGATCAGAGTAACTAAGAATTACAGAATGATGTACAGTAGAATTATGCACTTTATGTGATATAGAGAGTTATTGGGTGAGTAAAGAAAACGTTTGGTGTAGCACTGATGTGGAGATTCTTGTTGCCTGAAATCTGTTTGTTTAGAATGAAATGCAAAGTCAAGATCTTAACACAAACAGTGTCACCCTCTGCATTCTTACTCTGCAGTAATTTCCACTGTATTGTAAGTATTTAACACTGCAGCTTTACTGTACTATCATATATGGTTAGTATATATCATATATATATACTAAGAACTAAGAATCACTGAGTTCAATGCTGTTTACTCACAAGGAAGTGGACAAAGGATTGCAGTGTTCATCTCCAAATTAGGCTACAAATTTAAAAAGTTCAAAGAGCAGTTTGGGGATCTGGGAGGGCAGTTGTTAAAAGAAAAATTCAGAAATATTTCTAGCATCCAGCCATTACACCAAACATAAAGCTATTTGTTTATTATCAGTAAGTTTATAATCACATTTGATTAATTCACAATGTATTTTGGGACATAAAAATTAAAAAAGTAAATGCAAACAATGTAAGCCAAAAGCTACAAAACTACAAAATAACAGTCAGGAGTGTTTAGTAGAGCACAAATTTCATTTAAAACATTCAGGAAAATGAATTATGCCAAGCAGTGAAAAGGCAACAATGCAGGTACCAGGTGACCTTCCTGAGAACAGTATTCTACAGTGAGGATGCTATAAGCAGGAAGGGTCACTCTCTGAGGGCCATCTGTCACACCTCAGATAGGAAGCAGATTCTTGCAGAAGACCTTCCACTGAAAATCTTCATGTGCCAATAGAGACATATGGAGACAGCAGTCCTTTAAAATCTAAGTAATGAATACAAATTAAGCTACAAATGATCCATTGAATCAATATCTAAACTAGTGTTTGGAATGTTTTTGATATGAAATACAACCCTGAAAGTAGAAAGACGTACACAATGCCAATAAGTAAAAACTAAACTAAACTAAAATAAAATAAATTCTAACCAAGTGTTTTACATTACTTACATTACATTCTGGTAACCGTCCAGATAAAAGGTCCTCCACTTTAACAGAGACATCTTTCACGACTATCCCACTCCGCGCATGTTTCACACTAATTTTGAAACTGGTTATTTTTCCATTTGGTTGCTGAGGTAGAAACCAAATCAGATTGACAGCTGAATAGTTGAATGCTTCAACTGTGAGATTTACCACCTTTCCTGGAGCTTTAAAAGTAAAGCCAAATAAAAAAATCAGTATTGAAATACATTTGATTCTCAGTAAACTTTAGAAAGAAAACATTATTTTACCACTCCTTTTGCTATGTACAGGGAGATGAGTAATCTCTCTATTTTACCAGTATAGAGGTAATCTTCAGGCAGTCTGTGCTCTAGCCTTCCTTAACCTAGCTAACTTCAGATGTGTTGGAGTAGAATTCCCACCTTCCCAAGCCACATATCTGAAGAAAAACAGCAAGGGAAACCCTGCCATAGAATGAATATAAGGCTGCCAGATGCACAATTAGGCTCCCACACCTTTAACAGTTGTGTAAAAGAAGGATTTTTTTTATCAGGTTTTGCTTGCAGGACAAACTCACCAGTTGAAATTTCTTATGTCACTCAACTAAAAGGTGCAGAATCCTTCTTTCCTAGGCTTCTGGCCATCTAAACCCAATTCTCTAATTGTAAATACAGCATTGCACCTGTTTAACAAAAACTGACCTGTCAACAGCAAATTCATGCATTTATTTTTTCTTTCTCTTCTTCTTCTATTTATATGACAACTTTTTCCCTTCAAGGAACCCAAGTTGACTTATAAGTTCTCCTGCTTGCCACTTTATAATCACAAAAGTCTTGGGAAGAACCTTAGGCTGAAAGTCAGTGACTGGCCCAAACTCACCTAGTTAGCTTCCCGGGTAAGAGGGGACTAGAACCTAGATACTGGTCTGATACTGTAACCATTAAACCATGGGTCCTCAAACAACAGCCCGCGGGATGGATCCGGCCCACCATGGCCATCCATCCGGCCCATGCTGCTGTTCGCTGCCCACGCGCATGTGCTTGATGCGCAGGCAGGGAGGTGGTGGCTTGCTCACTTGGAGATGGTCTCCAAGTGAGCAAGCTGCCACCTGCCTCCCGTACACATGCACTCGCTGCTGCCTCATAGCATGGGGCGGGGGGGGAGGTGGTGGCTCACTCTATCGGAGATGGTCTCCGAGTGAGCAAGCCACCACCGCGGGTGCTTGATGCCGCCTCACCAGCCCATGCCCCCAGGCACCCCCACCTCACTGGCCTGCACATGTAGCCGCTGCCTTTCAACTGGCCCTCTATCAAAAAAGTTTGAGGACCCCTGCATTAAACCATGGTGGCTTTCATATTAGAACATGGAGTGCTGCATCGCATCATGGTGAGCTGCCTTCATGCAGCCCAGTCATGACTTATACCCATCCAGTTTACATGTTGCATATTAGTTACACCTGCCAGGTATGTACCACATTTGGCAGTGCTTCTTGTTCATGCCAGAGAAGCATATGTCCACCTACTTCTGTATCAATGAAACTTCCTGGTTCATTACAGGTGAAAGAGTAAATTACTTCTGAAAGGTCCAAACCAATTGGGAAAACAATTCTCCTTCTCTTCAAACTGTTCTATAATGGCCAAGAACTTGAATGGCGCATATCTAGAACAATTGGCTTAGTATATGAGGTCAGCCTCAAAATACAAATAGCCTGGATATGCAAGTATCAAGGGAATGAGTGGCTGATTGTGCTTCTTGTTTGCATCCTCAATACAAGGGGTACAGAAAGTCAGACCTGAAAACTAAATCCAGCTACCAGAGGTCTCAATTCAGCCATCAAGGAGAAACTTCTAGAAAGTTTCAGTCCTTTCCCTGCACCAACCCACGTCTCCCAACCACTTATCATTTGGTGTTTTCCCAACATTAGTTCATTTTTCGTTATTTTTAAACATCAAACTATCTCTTTTTAAGCAGTACAAATGTTAACCAACAATATGAAGATATTTGGGGGTAGGGTTGGACTTATCCACCTGTGTCCTTGCACCATTGTAAGGCAGACCCAATGAATTATCAGGTACAGAATTCAGCTCTTGCACTGATACGTGACCTGCACCTCTGCCGCACAGACAGCAGCAACCCCTCATACCAAAGCAAATCTGCCACCCATCCATCATTCACATTTTGCACATCCTTAGCAGAAAAGCTTTTATCTCAGGGAAAGCCATGCATTAATACATGAGTATTCTAGTCTAGCCAGTCTATTTTTGAAAGAGGGAGATGCTCAGTGCAACACCATATTTTCCCACTTCATATTCATTGAGAGAAAGAGGCTCATCAACATATTTGATTTCTATAGAGTGCTCTCAGTTCTGCACAATGGCAATCTCTCTCAGACCCTCATCTTCTCATCAAAAGAAGAATCTTCTCATACAAATGCACCAACATGCCAATATTTTTTTTAAGTATGTCAGTAGCTTAATAAAAATAACTTCCCTTTTCATAAGGGCTTATCTGGTAGCATTCTCAGTAAAATCCAAATTCAGAAATGAAAAAAGCAGGACTAAGTCCTCATCATCTCAAATCCTCCCCAGACTTCCACTTACTGTATATAGGTGGACATGCAAATAAGGACAATAGCAAATAAAAAGTTACCACTTTCTGCAGTTTGAAAGAGAAATGGGTCACTAAATACTCCAATGCCAGCACTGTTTTCAGCAGCAACCTAGAACAAACCAATGAAAAAGAATCACAATTTCAAGGTGAAAATGAACAAGATTCGTACAGGTAATAATGTAGTGTGCATTTCTTTAAGCTAAAATGAGCTCCTATAACCAAGCAGGAGTGATGCTGCATAACTGGTGCTGCACAATCCCCTCTGCCTCCACTTAACTGTACAAGGTGCATGGTGACAGTATGTGTTAAAACCTCCAGGCTCAAAAACTCAGCTCCCATCCAAATGCAACTTCTTGCCTGTATACAGGCTCCAGCAAAGCATGTGATGAAAGAAGTTATCACTTGATAATTTATAGTATAGAATAGGAATGAATAGAAGCCAAAATAGGACAGAGATCAATTCTATAGATGTTTAGATTTAAAATGTCCTAAAACTCTCAGCATCTCTAGCTAATATGGGTACTAAGGAATGCTGAGTTGTAGGCCATGTTTCTGTCTAAATATGCCACCTCATGGGACCACTGACATTCTGGAAGAAGTGTGTGGGAAGGAGAAATATGAGGTCTTCTGTATTCCAGTTACCATCATCTCATCCATCATGGACAATAGTAAGGGATTAGGGCAGCTGGAGTCCAATAACATCTGGAAGGCCACACATTAACCATCCGGCTGCAGAGAGTTAACTAGGGATGGCTAGACTTCCCAAGGTAGTCCTAGATTAATTTGATTAGTGATCCAAGACCTTCAAAGAAATGTCAGAGTGAGATGATTTCTATGACAGTCTGACAGTTTTGCTGATGATTGCTGGGTTCTGCCAGTCCTCACAGATCAAAGACCTTCCCACTAGGCCTCCTTTCCTGACAGCTTCACAGTTCTCTCCCCAATCCCCTCAAAGTAAACTCACCCTTACCTTTTCTTAACTTTCAAGTGGAAGAAACAGTAATGGTGTATAAGGGAGGTTTTTCACTTCCCTTTTCCCCTTTCCATTGGCATGAAGTTTGACAATACCCCATGGTACAAAGGCACAGAGGATCATAGGAAATGTGGCATGAATTCCACTTCCCATAGCTTCCATGCATCTCCACTCCAGCACACTGCTAGTGTGCCAAGGCAACACAGAAGGAGGGCAGAAGTTATTAACCTCCTCTGAGCTTTTTCTTTCATCTGCACTAGTGCTACCACCATCACTGTCTGAAAAATGAAAAAAGCAAAGTGGAGGGTGGAAACTAGCAGGAAGGGCTTTATGGGACCATGATGGGTGGCAGGCTTGGGCAGGGATCCAGCTTAAGTTTTAGTTCTAGGCCAGAAAATAATTTGACCTCTGTAAGTTTTTTTGCAGAATTTTGCTGACATCCTTATAGTTAGCTAATTGCTTGGCAAGAGAATGTCAGTTTCACTACAGTAGTGGAATTAATAAAACAATGGCTACATTAAAAGCTTAATTAAGAAGTACAACCTTTTTTAAAAAATGCTGAGGTTATATAAAACAATATGCCCCAACCTTGAATCCACTTTGCTTTTCAATTCAGGTCACTTCATCTCAAAAAGTGAACAGCAGAAACAGAAAAAAAATCAAAAGAATCAAGAATAGGAGCAGAGGTAGGACAAGCGCCATATGAACAGAACAGAATCATTAAGATATCTGTGTTTAGGGATAAGATTGGTTAAGAAGCAACATTAGATATAATATATGAATTAAACTGGAGGGCCACACTTCCATATGCCTTCTCAAACCAACTTATAAATTAAAATATACAATTAAACTGAAAGATGGTGGAAAGTACATTCATGTAACATAGTGCTACATTGTCCACAGCCTTATTGTAACCCTTTGCATCTTTGTTGAAAGCCATGCAGTAAATCTTACCCCATTGTTGTCCTCATATCTGTGTGCAATAGTAACACCAACGTAGGAGAGTGCCAGATAACTGACTGGGGAAAACTGAGTAGTAAGGTTATAAATAGCCACTATGTGGCACTGTGTCATCTAAATCTACCCAAAGTTGAAATGTGTATGTGAATACTCATATTAAGTAATTTGTTGTATTGCAACACTTCAAAAATGTCCACATCTAAATGGATACTGGACAGTGGGAGTGGACTAAGAGCATATGGTACAATCAGACATGCAGTTGTAGGTTTTGCAATGAAAGTCCAGGTATATGGCCATGTCTGGACCAGCATAGGTTTAAAACATGCTGCCACTCATGTTTTCATCAATTGCTTAGGTACACTTCCAAGCTGCTAGGCTTTTGTGTGCTTGTAAACTATTCAAATCCTCCTCTGAAATTGGAAGTAATTGAAGCTGGAGAACAGCAGGAGTAGCTTTCAGTTGGAGTAGCTTTCAGTTGCACAAGCATGACCCACAGTTTATCCAAAGGAGATTTACTGCTAGCTAGAGGAAACCAGGAAACCCAAATGAGTGGAAATACACATTTCTGGAAGGAGACAGGTCAGTGTTCTTCCCCCTTCCAGAAATGATTTCCAGTAGCCTCTGTTGTGCTCCCTCCTTCCAGAAATGAGAATTCTTTTGCCCCCCGCTTTTTTGTGGGGGTATCCTTCTAGGTGCTGCCTAAGAGGTCATCACTACTGTATGTAAGCTTTACCAGTATGACCTGCCCCCCAAATGTACAATTAATTAATCTACCTTACCGGGTAAATGTGATTCTTACTGTATATTCAGTTACATATAGTTAAAATCAGTTTCAGTGTTTGGTTGGATCTCTATGGTCCATGATGACTGTACCCACAGCACGTTGCTTTCCTACAGCATGCAAATAGTTTTTATGGACTCAGACTAGTGATAAGGTTTTCAACACTTAACTTTCATACTTAAAAACACAGAATAATTCACACGCTTCAAATTCAAACTTGAAATGCTTTATGCATGGTGAGGTTATAGACTCATCCATACATGCTATCCCCATATATAATATGATGCTTCAATTGTATTGCTTGAGATATTGCTATAACTGACAATATAGCACAAAAGCTATGATATCCATATACAAGGATTTCACACTTCCTGCTCCTTTTCTGAGGACATTACTAATTGAACCCATGAAAATATATTAATGAATACTTGTGATGTTTATTTGTGGTAATACATGAATATAGAAAAAGAGAATCTCTGCATGATACTGGGCAAAGCAACATAGGTTCTGCACTGTAGAACCAATATCCTATGGCAGTACGACAATGAATATGGCAAGCAATTGCGCTGAAGTGCTGCATACTAGAAGGCATGTTTATCATGTTATAAGAAACATGCTTGAAGGAAGGAAGAGAGTAGCAACTGATCTCCACTGTGTGATAAGCATTAATTAACCAAGGGTGCAATTATAACTGGCTTGGGAATGGTGCTAATCTTTGGGCCTTTTTCTGACTAAACATGCATACTGACTAAACCATCACTTCTTGATTCTTACAATAAATAACTCAGAGTAATATAGTAGTTTTACAGGCAGCATAATTAATGGTACATTATAAGGATTGTCAGAATGAGAAAAGTAAATTTCTGCCCATTTGTAAAGTATGGTGTATTGTTATGTGATAATATGTAATATGGAGATGATGATTGTTAAACCACGTAGTGAGATCTACAAAGGGAAGCAATTTGAAAAATAAATTGCCTTCAGTGAATACAGCAGGTGAGGCTAAACAGTTAAAATCCATTGTCAAAGTGAAAAGAAATAAGTTTGATGAGGGAGGAAAGGGGAAGATAAAAGCTTGGGAAGATAAAGGCTCGGAAAAAGAAAAAGATAGTATTTGGTTTATTAACATATAGAAGAAAAACAAGTAGAATCCTATTTGGAAATCAAGGTTCTTTATCCATCTATGTTTGGATCCAAAACTATTCTTACATGACTGGAACATATCCACTATCCATTGAGAGCATTAACTATACTGTACTCTAATACTTAAAATGAAAATGAGGCAAAGATAGCCATTGCTTCATTTTCTCAAGATTCAACCTGAACACCTGAAAACTGATTTGCATTAATGATACATTGTTGAAATGCTATATGCAGCATATATCTAGACTTTGTAGTTTGAAATAGAAACTCCATATCGATCTCTTATTGGACCCTGAATAATATATAACTAGAGGCAAAATAGTGAGAAATAAAAGTATTTCTTTATTGCACATTCTGTGCAGAACACAAGTTCAATGCCTTTGTAAGTAACTATGCTGTAACTAAGTTTTTGTATGCTGTCATTTTAACTCAGTTTTTACTAAGTTTTCATATCCTGTCATTTTATATGATGAATGCAACACTTTAATCAACATTTTACAAGTAACTGGGAGTAAACTAGAAAAGTTACCTGAATTTCATACGTCGTTCCAGGGTTAAGATTGGTGAGAAGAACTTCCAAACTATCTGGCTTTGTTGTAACTTGAGTGTAAGTATTTTGCATCCATGGACATACTTCCTTATATTTAACAATGTATGATATAATCCTCCCATTTGGATGTGGTGGTGTGTTCCAAGAAAGGAGAATTCCTGCAGATCCAACTCTTTCACCAGCAAGGAAAACAGGAGGTCCTGGATCTGCATAAAGGACATACTTTAATTAAATTATACCTCTAAAGCTCCATGGATTGCAGATAATAATGTGCCAGTAAAGATCTCTTTGGGTTTTAAACATTAAAGTTAATATGAAGTTGGCTTTCCAGTGGAATTCTTATGAAAGGTGATTAAATGCCTTTTGGAACATGAAGTACATTCTTTCCATTAAGAATTCAAAAAAATAGAATGTTGAAATATTTACGGACAAAATAGATTATGATGCCGTTTTAGTTTTTGAGGCAGATTATTAAAGCTTCCCTTGCTTCTGTGCCTAGAGCACTATAATATTCTGTGGAAGTGGACTTCCCTAAGAAATATTGGAATGCTCACATTTTGGCAATTACACTTCAGAATGCCTTTTTTTTCACATTTGCATTTCTTTCATGCACAGGTTTTGATATGGTTTTGATCTTTTTCAACCCTTTCTTGACTGACTTAACAGAAAAATGAGTACACACTTATAGACTAATATTAAGAGACAGCAATCTGTAAAATTGCGCTCTCTCTCTCTCTCTCTCTCTGTTTGTGTGTATGTGTGTGAGTGATTTAAAGGGAACAGTCAAGCGCAATATTGCCATAAACTCACTAGTTACATTAGTTGTCACTGTTTTACTGATGGGTGAACTGTACACTGAAGAGGTAACTGAAGAAACAGTCACATTGTATGTTGTTCCAGGAATGGTGCTTGCAATATCCGCCTAGAATATGAAATTAACCCAGTTAGAACTATTGTTTCAATTTAAACAAAAAGAAAAGCCAGCATTAAATAAATAGCATTCAAATTACTAAGGTCCACACAACACATAACTTGCTTCAAAATTTCATTTTCTCTGAATCACACTCTTTGCATTATTGCAGTATGCAAGTTAGCAGTTAAAAGATGTGACAAACAATACTCAAAAGGCAGATCTGATAACTAATAGCAAAACTCAATCTATTTAGTCTTTTAGGGCTTCATGAAATCCCCTGGTTAGCACCTGACTAGAATTTTCTGCTAAAAAGACTAGAATTTTCTCTTCATCTCTGCTAAAATATTCTAGAAAATGTGTTTAAAGGTCAAAGCTTGAAATATAACCCACAACAAGTCAGCACCCATATGAAGTACCTGTGCCTTTGCAGCTCCAGCAAAAAACAGAAGCAAAAAGCCATGCAAAACCATGGTAATTATAATTTTTGTTGTTGTTTTCAAATACTGGAATCAAAATGTGCTCCTATAACTTTGTGATGGCTTAAGAAGGAAGTATTGCCTGCATTAATGATTTAAGTCTAGATCTTTCTGGCAAGTGCACAATTAACAAGCCTGTATTACTCAATAGCTTTGCCCTGCCTTTGTTAAACTATTCATGAACCCTTAAATGACTGGCTGGAGGTCTGTGGTAGACTTTGTAAAAGTATCATAACTGTTGTTAAGGCAACAAAACCATTGATGTTGAAATTTGCTCTCACAAATTTGGCATGTGTGCTTTTGCATTCTCATCTAGGTTAGAAGCTTTAAAAGGAGAATGTCACGGTTGGCCAATTTTCCTATCATAAACAATTGCTGGCTTTCCAAATGTTACAAAACACCCCCTCCCGCTGGCATACCTGATACTTCCCACCTCCCACATCTCGGATAGAAACAGAGCCATGGGGAGGTTCAAGATGCACATGAAACCTGTCCACATATCCATGAGGTACCCTCCAGCACAGAGAAAAGGAGTGCGATGACATGTTTAGGACTGTTAGTTTCTGCGGCATTTCAGGCTCTTAAAGAGAATGTATTTATATATTATTGCTCTTTCCACCAGATTGGATAATGTACAAAAACAAACAAACCAAAAGACAGCCCACTGCACCTATATTTATACACATCCATTGTCTCTGTGTTATGAATAATGCAATTAAATCTGACAATAAACTAATTTCAAAAATGCCTATTATCTGTTCAAATGCGTGTTCAAAACAGGTACTGTAAATTCTCAGGGGAAATATTTTCAGTCATTACTTTTGCTGAACAAAATCTTTAAAATGAAATAAGTTACAGTTACTTTTTCATTTATGCAAGACAATAATTTATATTATGGGAGCTGTTCATAACAATCATGCTTAAATCAAGTGTGAAACCTGACAAGTGGAAAACAAATCAGGTATGGGTTTGAACTGGAGTTTCTCTTCTAAAATGCTCTGTCTGGATTACAGCTACTTAGAAGGCAATCGTATAACCTGACCTTTAAAATGTGTTTAACTTTTTGGTTGTGTGCTTCTTAGTTCAAGTTCCTACTCCATATAGACTCACAAATGTACAGATTTGCTTTCTCCACTGAAATAAATAGAGCAGTCTAGAGAGCAGGTAAGTACCACATCTGCTGCTGAGTTACCATGCTCATAACAATCTGCAGCTTACATCACGAGTACAGCATAATGAATGTGAAGTTAAGCAACTATTGCAGAACTATCCTGCTCAGCATATTCAGCCTTTCCTGATAGGGGGATAATTGCCTACAGTTAAGCACCTTAAAAAGGCTAAGCAATCTGTTTTCACAAAGCTGTGCCACATTAAATCCTTCAAGTGGGCTGCAGCATGCATAAATATTTTGCTGTTTATTAATAAATAAACATAGTAAATGAGAAAATTACAAACCTGCAATAATTTCAGTGAAGGCCATCATACCTTCAATATAGCCTTTTACTCTCTGTAATGTGAAATTATATATTCCACCAGCAGTCAGCTCTGTAACAGTGTAGTATGTCTCAGTGCTTGATATATTATACTCCTTTGTGAATGTATTGTTTGATATAGATGCCTTATAATGGGTGAAGCTGGTATTGCTTGGATTCCACATTAATGTAGCAGAGGAAGTATTTACCAGGATTAATGCTAGACCACATATCTCCACTGGCTCTGATACCAATTTGAGAAAGAGAAAAACTAGGTTAGAGCTAGAAAAACAACAACATATTAAATAAGTATATTTCAATTGATAAAAATACATACTAGCTGTTCACACAACTCTGATACTAGTATTATTAAGAAATAAAGAAAGAACGGATTTTTAAAATCCTTTTAATTGGCATTCTGGCAATAGTTACCTAATAACACATAACGACCAGTGACATTTCAATTAATCAGTCAACCAAAAATGTTTCGCCCAAGTAATGGATATAGCACTAAACCTAGGCCATAAACAGAATTAGGTTCAAAGTGTATCTTAATTAGAGATCCAATTTGGAGAAGCAAAAGTTTCCTGTACTCTCTCCTCCCTCTATTCCTTCCTTTCCCTCACTTCCCCATTGCACAAACTATGGTTTGATTCAAATCATAGCTACCTAGTCTGCTATTTTGTTCAGTCACTGGGGAAAACTATGTTTTGTTTGTTTGCTTAGAAGAAAGGTGGGCCAAGATGAACCAAAGATTCTTCCAGGTAATTCAGAGCATCAAACCACAGTTCGGTGTTATGTCTGAACATCTAGTAGCCTCTTTCTATGAACAAGGCAGGGGAGTGATGAATTGCCCAGTGATGAAGCACTGAAAGTCATGCCACCTTCAGGAGAAGCTTTTTGAGTAGCATGAAGGGCTGCAGTGAAAGAAAGTTTGGCAAAGGATTTGTGTTTATGATATTTCTCACATAACCCTCAGTCAATATGTATGTACACAGAGGTGAACTCAAGGTTCCTTTCTGCAAACAGGGAAACTTTGCCCAAGTAAAATAACCTTTGAATCAAAGGAATTAAAACTATATACTACAAACGATGGTCATTGTATTTAGGTATGTTTGCACAGGATCTATGTATGCACAGGAAATCACTACAGATGATTCAGACAAGGCAAGGTAGGGAAGTGAATAACCACAACCAATGAAATCTGGTTCTTATGGACTGAGACAAACTATTTATACAAGCTAAAGAGAAACCAGAATTCCTATGGCCAGAACTGAATTTATTACAGAGAATAAAGATTCTATTATAACCAGAAGAATTTGCTCATGTAGATGTGATGGAGACTTATTTATGAATAGCAGACACCTGAAAGATTATATATAACTAATTTATTTCAGGACAGTGACCCAACATCACTATTCAATACCTATTTATCTAAGAAAGTCAAATTCTGTTGAAAAAGCAGGCACAGTAGAGTTATATTTAAAATAAATCAAGTTTAGGAAAAATGTGTATCCATACTTGAAATATTTTATTAGTGTACACAAAATTGTAGGTAGTCTATATTCATACCTGTTTCACAGGAAATTTCAATATTCTGCATGGTGTTATCTAAATGCAATTACACTCTTTGTTATTTCAACTATAATTACAAATAATGTATCAGAAAATTACTTGTTGTGAGTCTTTTCTTCACTGCTGCACTGATATCTCTTCCTTTCATTGTCTTTACTTGAAAGTTGTAGTCTACTCCAGGCTTCAGATTTTTCACTATAGCTCTGCTAGCAGGAATTGTAATTTTATAGGGATCCTCATTGCTTGCTGCTAAACCATAAGAAAGCTGGGGGGGAGGGGCACACAATTCCACATCATATGCCAAATAACAATCTAAAAGCTATTTAAGAAGTGGGTCATCAAGGGAGCACCAAAAAAAAAAAAAATCACACCCATTTAAGATATACACTTTGGCAACACTAAGCTGGATTCAGAAAACCATGAATGGAACACCAGTAGCAGCTCCTACTTGCACAAAGGGTCATGCAATAGGCAGGTGCTATAGTTCCACTTTGTAGCTTGGTGCATCTGGCTCCCTCCTCTTCTGCAATCTGTTTTTCATTTCATTCAAACAAGGAAGTGGGAGTTTGGATAGGAAAGAATGCATTTCCACATGCATTTTTCAAGAGTGTGTACTTCCCCCACATTGATTACAGTGTAAAATATCTATGTGTGCATGTGTTTTAATGTGCATTCAAAATGGTTTGAAGTTTTGGAATTCACAAATAGCCCTCCCCCGACCCTATAAAAAAAGGCTTCCATTTGCATTCAGAATTGTGGACAAGTCAAATTTAAACCTTTTGTAAAATGGAAACAAAATGCTCATTCATCCCTATAGTAGAGAAAAGGAGCAACTCCAGCTGAGCATGGGTCAACAGCAAGTAGTCAGCCATGCCAACCCTTGATGCCAGCTCTGCCCCAGGATAGCTCTGGGGAAATGCAGGTGAGTCTGGAACCATGGCAGCAAGGAGTTATATGAACAGTAAATTTTAAAGAAGAAAAAATAATGCTTTTTGGTGATCAGAGGCAGATGTATTATAAAGCTCCCCACGCCCAAAGTTGACACTAGGGTTGCTGTCTGTGACTAAACCTGTCATCATTTCCCGCTGTTGTCTGGGGGCCCAGTGGACTGCAGGGTCCTAGAGTTGGGTCTCCAAACCCATCCCTAGCAGCTTCCTGGGGCACCAGCTGAGCTAGAGTTAGTGGCTTCACAAAGTACAGAAAGTTTATATTAAACTGCCAATGAGCAGGATGACAGAATGGATTTCCCCTGATGTTTGTTTGTTTGTTTGTTTGTTTGTTGATTGCCTTTCCTGAAAACCAATATGGGAACCCCTGATTGGAGTCTGTCTCTCTGAAATGCTTGTACACATGCGCACATGCACATGCGCGCGCGCACACACACACACACACTCATCTCTCCTGCTCAGAAAACACATACTGTGACATCTGTTTTTCAGTTCAGAACTATACCCGGAAAGCTCAAATGGGTAAGGAAGTCCCATTATGACAAGTTTTGAATACCCAAATGGCCTAGGAAAAAATAAATAGTAATGTTTGACCACCTGTGTTCAGCGATGAGACACATAACTAAATACAAAAATTAAATCACAATGATAGAGTTAAAGGTTTTCTGAATAGATCTTTGTGATCAGAATGATTGTCTGAATTCAGATTTGGGTAGAACAAATGTTCTTGCAAATTATACCCAATTACAAAATATTAAAGTCAAAGAAGAGTAGCGTAAGTGGAAACTAATGTCAAAAGCATTTTCATTGTTTTCACACCATCAGCTCCTAAGCATGTAATGAAATATGGATGAACTGCAATGATTAATTTTAAATGATTCGTAAAATGATCCTACTTGTCGCAGGGGCATTTTGCTAAGCAACCACTTTTCCGAAGTCTCCCTCATTAATATTTCACACTTAATCTCCTTTATGCAAAAGGAACACAGTCTAGCATGGCTGCCTCTTCTGCGGTATGTCAAACAATAACATTATGTCATTATGATTAATATTACATGCTATTTTCTTTCCATGACACACTGAAAAAATTTCTACTGAAGTACAAATGATTTCAAGACTGTTATCTGCATGTGCATTTTAATATAAAATTAATTATTATACATTTCTACAGGATGAATAACAAAATATATTTGTGATGGATATTTGCTCTCGGTGGTAGGTAACAGTACAGGATGGAGGACTACAATTATTTTTGAGTTTTCTAGACAATATTGCAAGCTGCCATTTGAAATGGATGAAGTGTGTGTGTGTGTGTGTGTGGAGAGAAAGAGAGAGAGAAATGCTTCTTAATCCTATAGGCTTGCCACTGATTAGATGGAGTTATTCTAACTGTATTGCACCAGGAACTGAGGATGGAATTATTGTGGATCTGGTTGATCAATGGCCTCTCCTTTGCCCTCAACACTGCATTGGCATGCCTCCTTTTCTTTCCTCACCAAGACCAGCCTGGGAAGGGACTGTGGAGCCTTTCATGACAGCTGGGAGGGGCAGGGGTGAGGAAAGATACACAGTTGGATGTCCTCTTCCAACTTGTGCTCTGGAGGGGACCTGCAAAACCTTCCAGTCCCTGAGATATTGTCAAGGATCCACTGTTTCCAACTGTATTTCTTTTTCCACATAAAATCACCTGCTAAGCTACTTATACTTGCTGGCAAGTGCCTACATTCTGCTTTTTTTGCACTATGAAATATTCAGATAGCACATCCATGATGTTCGGCATATGCTACTAAAAGAAATAAAGCCAAGAATGATTTCTTTATCGTTGTTATTACCTGAAAATTATCATAGCCTCCAGCTGGCAATTCCCATGACAAATAAACTGTGTTCTCTTCAGTTCCAAAAGCATGAAAATCAAAAGGTGGCTCTGGATCTGGATGAAAAACAGGAGACAAATATGCACTTCACATTATGATCATCTGTGCTGGACAATATACATTTGGAGGCAGTGTTTAGCAGTAAGGGAGTTTAATTTTCATATTTTTGAAGCATACATGGTAGAATACATGTGTTCTTTTCATGACGTGTTTATAATAAATCATTAATTAAAAAGAAATGCTGTGCATTTTATAGATTTTATCCCATGCAAAATGAGAACAACAACAAAATGGAAACTACTATTTTGCAGGACTAGGGTAACCCACATTTTTTTTCAGCCACAGCCCTGACTCCTGCAATATGGGTAAAATGACTTGATCAGCATACACTGTCAGAATGATGCTTTATTATGCTTTATCTGACAATAATTATTCATAAGACCTAAATCAGAAAGATTATGAACTGTTGCTACCTTTTGTCTTTTTACAAATACACAAGTGTCCAATCAGCTATATTAGACTCTGAACTTCTAAACTGTATTCCATGAAGCTGAGCTCCCTTTCTAGCAGGTTTCACACACTCAGAAGGTTTAACACACTCAGATAAATGGGTGTGTTAACTGATACAATAATTGATTGGCTAAAGCACTAAAAAGTGGGAGCAGGCTGCTTTCTCATAAAACAAATGGACAGATCAGCGTCTACACATGTTGCTTCTTATATTAGGTTCTACAAAGGCTAGTGACTTCTTTTTTAATGAAAGCTGAAAATCTGGATATTATTTTCAGTTTTCATTAAAAGAGCTGAAAATAATCTGGGAAAGGGGGAACTTAACCCTTCCTGCAGATGCCCATGTAAACCATCCATGAAGAGGTACTCAGGCAATGCAAGGAACCAGTAAGGAGAATGGGAAGACCATACACACCTCCATCAGGCCTTCCTTTCCACTTAATATCAGCACTCCGGAGCACAACTAACTTCTGTTGAGCCCCACAGGCTAAATGGGAAGATGGGAAGCAACAGACTTTTGAACTGCATGCAGACCTTTCCCTATGTAATTGTAGGAACGGAAGAATAAAAGGAGCTATTACAGGCATGGGAATGTTGCTTATTTAAAGACAATTTCTTCCTGGATAGATTTGTAGTACATGAAGATAAATACCATCATTCAATCCACACCCACTATCATATTTGCATACAACACCTGTGCTACGAGGTTTTCTTTTTTTCTTTTAATTAAGAAGACGTAGTTTGAGAACCTCATGTATAAAGCATAAAATAAACTTACCAGTGTTAATTCTCAGAGTGGTGGGGAGGCTTCTTTTTAATCTATTAGAGGTAATTATTTTAATGACATAATCTTCTCCTGGAGAAAGACCATCAAATTTGAACTTCCTGCATAATTAAGAAAAAATGACCTCCCTAAAGTGGTTGTAAGCATATAATTTAAGGTCAAACAAGAGCTACAGAATAATCTGAATGCACACACACAGAAAAATAAATGCTAATTTTTATATATATTAAAAAGATATGCATGTATACTGTGTGGAAAAAAAACTGAATAGCACTAAATTCAGGGTTCAGTATCCAACAAGAAATTGCTAAGGAAAAAGAGTATGATCTTATTAATGTTTAGACAGAAAAATGTTCCACAATTCTCAGTACGGAAAGACAAAACAGGTACCTATCTATCTATCTATCTATCTATCTATCTATCTATCTCTAAGTATCTACCTCCCAAGGATACCACTTTATCTAACTCAGCAGTTCCCAAACTTTTTCAGTCATGGAACCTTTTTTTATTATTATTATTATAACATTTCTATGCCGCCCCTTGCCGAAACCTCGGGGCGGCTTACAACACGATAAAATAAAGACATTTTATCTTTCTGAAGACATTTTTTCCTGTGGAACCCTAACTCTATCCTTGATTTTTACTAAGCATTGTGAACTCACAATGTTCTTCCTTATTTCATCTGCTCCTATTGTCTGAGTGTTTTGGATAATGTAGTGGGCTAGGAAATAAAGAGAAAACCTTTTAAATATAATGAATAAATAAAGTGATTATATGGTAATATCCCAAATTAATTCTTTCAATTATTCACAACACTATGCAATAGAGTCCTAGAAACCAAAAGATGTGATGCATTTCCTTGTTTGCAGCTTGGACTCCAAATGACAATTGGATAGCTAGCCTTGTGAAGTTCCATTTTAAAATCTGTTTTAAATTTGATTTTTGAAATTTTTCATGGAACTCTTATGAGACTTTTGTGGAACCCTAGGGTTCTGTGGAACACAGTTTGGGAACCACTGATCTAATTCACTATATAGCTTAAATAAAGTCTTAGCAGAAAAAATATTAGCTTTTCAAATATATAACTACAGCATAGATCCTTTTGCTTTTTAACAAAATGGTATACTATCTAATCAAATTATGGTTGGGAGGTAACGTATAATGCACAATGATACCTTTTGTCTGAAGATAAGCTTTCTTCTTTGCTGTAGTTTTTGCAAGCCAATGTAATGATAAATCCATCATATACACCTAGTGCTCGTGGCCAGGTAACACTTATTGACCTAGAATCTTTAGTGACATTCACACAATTAACTGAGCTTGGCTCTACCAAAGGAAAAAAAAAGTGATGTTCAAAACCAGCACATGCCTGAACTAGCATTTACTATCTCTACCCTGAAGGTTCTAGTAAGCACACAACTGTCAGCACTGTTTTCTGGATAGGATCTGGTGTCTTGAAGCCAAAGCTTGGCATGGTAGATGCCTTATGTGCCTTCAGAACATACCCTGGGCCATCCTGGACAATGATGCTTTCCTGTCACAGTCCTCGGATGGTGGGCCTGACTTGCTTTCAGACATCTCAGCAGCAACAGAAATGAAGGGGCCAGACCTTACAGAAGACACCGATGCTAACTACTCTGGCAGCGCTATTGCAAAACATAGTAATTCAATACACCATGCCAGGCATTCAGACACCTGCTCACTGTCCAGTGTGATGCATACCATCATTTGCCAGCAATGTCTTACTGCATTCTTCAGGTGACAAATCAGACAAGCTCCATACAAAGGAATGAATGGACCAAGGGGAAACTCAGTGTTCAGAAACCCGTGGGATAATGTGTTCACCACTGGGGTACCAGTTATGTTAATCACCTTAAAGTGACCAATCTTGAATAAAGGAATTGCAATATGGGAAACTGCTGAAGTACAATTTATGGAGCTATTTCAGTGTTAGTTCCTGTGGCTTGACGAAATACAAGTGTGTATTTATTAAAATCTTACTAGGTATGTTTTATCACCCAACCATGATTTATGAATGAAAACAATGTAGTAAATACTGTCTGTATGTGGGTGTTGGGTTGTTGTTGTAGTTTTTGTTTTTGTTTTTTCCCCTCTGACAATACTGTTTACATCTCCCACCCACATCTACCACAGTGTGTAAATAAATATTTTACTTTGAGGTTCGGACTTCACGTATCTGATGAAATGAACAGTGTCCCCAAGGCTTATGCCAAAGTGCCATGAGGCTCTTCATTGTTTTAGCACTCTGCAATATATCAAAATAAAAAAGGTTGAGCCAAGGAAATGAAGCAAAAGGTTGTCATTCTCTTACCTGTATCGATTTGTATATTTACAGGAAGGCTATCTTTATATCCTTCTTTTTCTGTTTTAACTGTAAAGTTATATAGTATACCAGGAACCAGACTGGAAAATTCTGCAAATTCTTTTGTAACTTTTTGGACCTATAAATAAGAACAGAACTGGTGTTTTCTTGTGGTTTGGGGATAAGTGCATGGGGGCTGGAGAGGCAATGTAGAATGATTTATTTTCTGTATGTGAATGTTCCTTTGAATAAGGACATGTATTTGTACAAATTCTCCCCAAAAGTTTTTTTTAAAAAATCAAATCACAAGTCCACAGAATCTATGCAAATCAGAAAAGTTAGTCCATTGCAGAATGTACAGGATGAATACCTAGCAATCTGGGCTCATTTGAAGCAGCTGTGAATTTCTCTGGAAATCCTATTTAGGCCTGTGTGCTCACCATGCATGTGCTCAGTACTCATGCAATCAACATGTGCTATGGTTTCATTCTGCACTTACTAATTGCCTGGTGATTTGGGGGGCCAGAATTATGCATCTAACCAGACACAGTTTTTGTTCTGAGTACAGCAATCCACACATGTTCTTCAATGTCCCAATACATTGTACAACCTGTCGAGGCTGAATGGCAGGCCTTGAGACCCTACAAAAGTCCTTGCATTTGGTTGGCCCTTCTCTGTAAATATGGTTTTGCAAGCACACAAGATCTAAACAAAAAGTATGAGAAGGTACCATCTAGATATATCCTCCCACCCTCAGCAAAAATAAAAATGTACCATAATTAGCAAAACTATTAAAATGTTTGCTATAATTCATTTGACAGCAATATCTTGCTTATATATCACTGTGGGTTTTGAACATACCGTGAGAGTATGTGCACAATTTGTGCACATGATTTCATACTGCTGAAAGTTTCCCGGTGCCTGATCCCAAATAATCTGTATTGAAGTTCCTGAAATTCTGCCTTCACGTACATTTAACGGAACTGCAAGACCTGTAAGATATGTGAAGCATTAACATAACACATTGCATTTTTCATGTCATAACAAAAGCTGGAGTGGATAAATTTCTGAGCCCTTTGGATTCCTGGCATTATTCCACATGCACTGGTAGAAAACCTTCAAAAGCTATTTTCAGTCCTAGCACTTAGTATACTTCAGTATATAGGGTATGTTTTGTTTTTCAAACTAGTATTGCAAAGAAGAAAAAGTTATGTGATTTGAATGGTAGAAACATGACCATCCTACCAAGCACCCATTCATGCTACTTTATTTGATTTATTAGACATGACCTTTTCTAGATTATAATTTATTTACTCTGATGACATATCAGGCCTGTTCACATACCAAGGCTCTCCTGCATGACTTGAGCTGTCATGTTGTGTCAGGTGTCACAAGCACCATTTTTTGTAAAACATATGTAGGTGCCTGGCTTACCATGGCTTTTTTCTCATGTGCACCAAGGCAGCAGGGGTTGTTTCAAGATTAGGCAACTTCTTTGTAGGTTGTATAACCCTCAAACGACCCCTATGACTTGGGTTTACATGATATCAGTTTCCATGGCAAGTGGGGCAACCAGGGGCACCATGGAAAAATGGCATCTGTGGGCACAGTGGTTTGCCATGGTTTGTTTGTATTTCTCAGTCCTGCAGCTCACTGCTAGCACATTTTGCAGGGGGCTTTTTGACAGCAAACCTTGTTTCCTTGTGCCCTACATCAGCAAACTTTCTACACTAGATCTCTGTGGTTACCAGTTGAAAAGGAAAACTCACACGCACAAGCACATACACACAAACACCAGAGGGGAAATCTGCACAAATTTCATGACAGGAAAACATAGTTTGCGAATGCCTTCACATGAATGCTTTTATTTCAGCATAAGGGAAGCACCAAAGTTGAAGACATTAGCAATGGTTATAGATATGCTTCACTAAGCAATGGACAGGTGATCTTTTGTTCTTGTGCAACAGACCAAGAGACATATTTAAAAAAAAAAAAAACCTTGTAACACATTCATTCATAAGGGCTTAGAAATTATTTCCTTTTTGTGATTTTTTTTGGCAATTGCAGAGCGAGCACTTCCCTTACTAGTGGGCAACGTCTAATTTGAAAGGCTGCTTCATGTTATACTGAAGTAAGTACACCCACCCACAAAGAGCCTTCTCTCATTTGCCAGCCTGTTCCAAGTCCTTCTCACCTTCCTGCTTGGAGTAAAATGTTGTGTCAACATCCTTGCCAATTTCATTCTTCACTTATGCACTTGCCAGAAAACATCTTTTAAAATATCTGCAAAGTACCCTCTGTCCTGCAATCAGCAGCCATTTTCAGTTCCCCACACCCTATCTTTGTGCTTGTGGCTACATAACCAGAGCATTTGACAGGAATTATGCAAAATTTATCACAGAACAGTAAAATAAAGGAGAAAAATATGAAACATTCCTAGCAACAGCCATTCACTCCTGCACAGTTTTGCAAAACTTAACAGTTTAACAGTAACAATGTGAGTGCATTTGGAACACTCTCTGCTGTTTTCCTATCCCACCCCCCAACCCACTCCCAAAAGAGTATTCAACCCATTTTGGGGTTGAGAAGAGGTGAGGCAGAATTGTGGCCACACTAGCAAGATTGTGAGAAGCAAGAGGGGTTTTCAGTGTTCTTGCTGAGCAAGTCTCTAGCTGTTCCCAACAACCAATTAAAAAAAAGTCCAGCTAAGGTTAGACATTGCAAAAAAATTCCTCCTGGACACCTGATAGCAATCCTCCTCCAAGCCATGGGTTGTTTTGCCCAAAACTATATATGAAGAAATGATGGCATTAAAAAAGAGATTGCATATTGAAATACAGGGATCTGATTACATAATCTTAAACAACTTACATGTTCTTATAGCTGGCAGGTGGTATGCAGAACTTGAAATATTTCTACTAGTGGTGGAAACAAAGAAATCATATTCTGTGCCTGGAATTAAGTTTTCAATAGTTACTTTCCCATCTGTCAATAAAGTCAATGTTGCATTAGGGCCTCCTTTACTCATCACATGTACTCCATCAATTAATCCAACAGCAGGTATTTGAACAAACAGAACCACAAAATTACTATGAACTTCGTAAGGGATGGCAATCTGTACTGGTTTGGGTTCTAGAGTAACAAGAGAATGAAAAAAAACAAATACCATTTTACAAATAGTTTCAAAGTAGAATGATAAATGTGGATCAGTTTTTCTACTATACATAGATACAAAATATTAGAAAACTAGGAATGGCTTGCCTTATACTAGATAAAGTATTATTCACAAAGAACTAAGTTCTGTCTCTTGACCTGCTGTATGGTCAACATATTCACATCCCATTCACTTCAATGGAACTCTCTGGAGAGGCTAAAACTTAAAGAAAATATTCAAGCCATTTAGAAGGTTGATACATTCTGATGCAATGGTAGAGTGCTTGGGAATTAGTGTTCTATGTGACCTTTCCCAAATCTAAGGCAGCCATGGTGTACCAGAGAGCAAGTGTGGTATGGTGGTTACACTGTAGGATCTGGGAGGTCTAGGTTCTGGTCCCCACTTGGCCATGAAGCTCACTGGGTGACTTTGGGCCAGTCACTCACTCTCAGTCCAGCACAGTTCTTGCTGAGAGGATAAAATGAAACTATGAAAGCCAACCTGAGTTCCTCACAAAATGAAACAAAACAGGATATAAGAGCAACATCATCATCATCATCATCATCATCATCATCATCATCATCCATCTCCCTAAAACAGTCACATAGCACAGTTCTGAAGTGGTCCATATATGAATAAGTTCTGAAGTGCTTCAGCAGCCATATGAAGATTGCATCTTATAACATGCACAGATCTAATATTTTGTACAATAGGTCTGCAATTTGGAGCAGGTTATTTCTCCAGGGTCTCATTAGCTACTTATAATTATCTCTAAATTATGTGACTGAGACAGCATATAAAAACGCTAAATAAATAAACAAATATCTCTAAATAAAATATCTCTACAGGATGTTGGTTGAACAAGGAGAGAAGCATTGCATTATATCAATCATGTACTGGTTACACTGATTACAACTGGTTACAGTAGGAGGAGGATGTCATCTTAGATCATGTCTTTTGTATCTGTTCCTATTCTATTTTTTATTGTAGTATCTGAACATCCTTGTGAAACTTTCAGTTTGGACAGTGGGTAAATCAATAAAAAATCAAATTAAAAACTGTTGTGTGAACTTGCACTCCAATGTGCTGCCTATATAGGATTCTGTTAGCTGCCTACCATGTTTTCTTTACTAAACCTCTCATATTTGAAGTGAATCATCAATATTCTTTCTGCAGCTGAATAGAAAACTGTCCTGTAAGGCACACATTTCTCTTAGTAAATGGAAAAACTGTTACTCCATCTGTCATTATTTTGAAAAAGAACACAATCAGTTTTGTATTCAGTTCAATCCAGCTGAAGCTACAACTCTCACTGACATTCAATGGAAGTAATTTCTATTACAGTGAATCTCTGATTCTCGGAAGACAAGAAGTCCCAAGGATAATGGTGACAGAGTGCTTTGAATTAAATTCTGCTTCTCTTACCCATTAAATATTATGAATTTCACAAGTTTTAAATCTTGATGCATTGAAATCAATTATCATCAGTTGATTAGAACAGTGACTGCTAGTAATAACAAATATAGTTATTTTATTCCTTGATAGTGAAATGGAACTCAATGAAAAATGCTTTTCAATCTGTATAATCATTTCAAAATACATTCTATGGTTTTAAATGTCTTACTAAGGGTGCATTGAATGGTTTTTAGTTCACTTCTATTTCCATTGGTCACTGTGGCCACTCCTATTTCATAAGTCATTCCAGGTATTAAGGGTTCGATTTTAAATCTCTCTGTGTTGTTTACTAAAAACATCATGCTTTTATCATGGACCAAAGATGGTTTAGCTTGAATGTAGGATTCTTGGCCCTCTTGTGGCAGTTTCCAGTAGATAACTACATGGTCTTCTCCTACATCTTCTGGAGGGATGAATAGGCTAGTAGGGGGGCTGACACCTGAGAAAAGAAAAGAATATCTACAATATACAGCAAATAATCACAAATATATATTTTTCGTGACTTTCTTTTAAAAACTTGGTCCTCAGCTGAAAAAGATGCATGCAGTCACTTACAGAAAAGACGTACAGTGTTTTAGTCACAGAATGATTTCACAGTAAATCACTCTTATTCCTTCTTGTTTGCTACCATAGGAGACAGAAAATTGTATAAGTGGATATGTACATTCTGTATGACCTGAGTGTGTTGCCAGCATCTTAAATTTGTCATAAAGATAAAATATTATCTTTCAATTGCTGTACAACTATTTAAATATATTGCTCTCTGAAATGTCATATTGCTTTTCTGTGCCTGCTCAGGAGCAAGATGTAACATTTTTGTGTAGGACAATATGTATCTGTGTTCTGTTGGGAAACATAGGAGAGCATACGTTAGAAAAGTAAATCTGTATTAATTAATAGTTGGTCACAATATTAAGGTTTCATCTTAAAACAGAATTGAGTAGGTTCATGATTGATGGGTCTGGTCATGTTATCCCTCCTGTTCTCCAATCCTGACATGTTGATATGCTTACTTCAAGCCTTAGTAGGGAGGCAGGAATCAGCTCAAGCCCAAGCACAGACTGTTAACATGAGCCTTTTTCTGCCACCCTGGGTTGTGGCTGGCTTACAGCCCTACAATGTCTTGATGCCACAGCACCTGTTTGACAGCAACTAACCTCTGTCCACAGCAAGAAATGTTTTACAAGGAGTCACTGGAGAAATTGGCAATGGCCATGCCAAAGCCACATTGGGTGTGTGTCATGTTTCATCAAGTTATCTCTGACTGAGGGTGACCCTATGAATGAAAGTCCTCCAAAATGCCCTGCCTGTGGCAGCTCCATTCAGATGAAACATTTGGGGGTTGAATTTATGTCTTGGGGAGGCCAGCTAATTTTCTCTCTGGTGTGCCCTGAAAGCTCATCCACTGCCAAACTCATCAGAGGCCTGATTCCAAGGGGATGCAACACTGTCCAGATCTACCATGGCACTGTGTCTGAGCCACTGCCCTTCCCCACTGCCTCTGTTTCCCTTCTGTGACAGGGCACCTTCATAGTCTTGCTCCCAGGTGAGCTAGGTGTTAGGCTTGTAATAAAAATCTGATTTCTTATACCAAAAAAGTAAAAGTTTGCCTGATTTCAGGATTGCATTCTGTACTTGGTGATATTCTCAACTTCCATGAAGAAATATCATTTTACTCAGATTTTAACACTCCTGTAGGTCAGATCTCCTATTGCACAGCCAGTTAAATGATGCCTTCGGTGTACAAAATAAAAATTATGTACCTGTTATTATTAGCAGAGGTTCCTCAAAGCAGCTTAGAGTTCCCTTTTCAGCAACACTCTGAAGATGTAGCTGATACTGATGGTATGGTTTGATATTTCTAATTACAGCAGATGTGTTAGTTTTTCCAAATGGAATGATTCCCCACTTTCTTGTTTTACTATCCAAGATGCTAACTAAGTAGTGATGAAAAGATGCATTGCATGAGCTCACTGGAGAATCCCACTGCAAAATGATTTCTGATGATGTCACCTGCGTTGACTTTACATTGTATAAATGTAATGGTCCTAATGATCAAAGGATGAGAAAATAAAATTCTGCTATGTGAAAAATCAATAGAAATATTCATTGCAAAAATGGAAAGAAATATGTTTTACAGTGCAGGTTAATATATGGTTGTACTGGAGCATCATTTCTTACAAATATTTTAAAAAACCACCCGCTCCTCAGATCTGGGATCTTCCTTTTCTGCAATATCAAGTATCTACTTAATGACAGAAGTATGCGGTGTTTGCATTTCTCTTTTTCGACAATCACAAAGTTGTTATAATTTAAGAAAAGGTTATCACTGCAAACTGGGCAGAAGCAACCTGCATAAGTAGAAGGTTCTTCATGCAACCTACTTCCACCTGATTTTGGGTCATTCACTTTTCCTGCTAAACCCCCATACCACATCTCTTTTTGGAAGTTCCCCTGATTTTCAGTCAAAGCTTTCTGGATTGCACCATGGAGTGCAGTGGAAAGAGTTCTGGAGGATATACAAAAATCCTCCTCCTCAAAGATTCCACTTTATCTCTGTTATGCATTTTATATGCTACAGTACATATGCTCCTTTAGATGCTGGCTAGGTTGCCATCAGAAAATCCAGAGCCCCAGCTCCAAGCTCAGAAAAGTGTTCCAAGGCCAGAACACAGGAGCCAAATACCAAACACCCTAACATTTACAGCTGGTATAGCACCTTTCACACCAGCTGTGGCTCTGGTGTGACTGTGAAATCTTTTGGGGACATGGAGGAAAGAGGGAGGCTGGGATATAAGAAATCTGACAGTGACCCAGCTCATCCTCCTCCCAGGCATGTTGAAACACTTAGATGGTCTAAATAAACCTCCTGAATGCTTTGGAAGGCAAGAAGTATGAGAAAGGAATGCTTATCTTTCTTGCTCCTACAGTCCTCCATGCTTGCACTCTTCCAGTTTGGGCTGATGCAACCAAACTGCACAGTGCCCTAAATCTATCTAACTTTTATCCTTTTCATGTCTATAACATAACTGCAATTTTGTCACCTACATATTTTTTTGCTCTGCAGCAATCTGGAAGAGAGTAAATTTTCGGTTGCAAATACGAATTACGTTATGGGCTAGCTATTATGAACTGATATGTCTTCTGAACTAGACCACTTCCTGCAAGGTGGCAGGAAAATATGCCACTCAGTGCCCATCAACTCATGATTTGCTCTATAGGATGTTTGATCCACAGTGGGTTGTTGTGTCATCCGAATCTGGGAAAGTGAGTTACAGGAATCAGCAAGAGAGTTTCTCAACATGAGTGGCAAAACCTTCTACTGCTATTTTGCAATCTCGCCCTTGTCCCATCAGAGACAGTCTCTCTACTCATGCCTGAGTGGCACTTTGGAGAAGGGTTTCAATAATCGTTCCTGGAACCCTGCCCTCTTCTTGAGGGGAAGAACAAGCCATGGGGAACCACATCATTTGCCAGGCTGTTCTCTAAACAGTCCACACCATGTAGCTTATTGACAGAGCGGAGTTGCATGACATGGCAATCTCTGAATTTTAAATTTTATTCAGCAATTTCAAAAGTGAGATAAAATCCTGAGCATAATGCTAATGGGTAGATTTTATACACATTTAATAAATTAATAAAATAAAACACAAGGCAGTATTGTTCAAAGGACCATGAATATTAATGTAGTAGATATTTTATTATGACTTACTTGTCTCTGCCATTATGACCGGATGTAAACTAACTTGTCCTCCTTCAGGGCTTCTGGCTGACAATAAAAAATTATAAAAATGACCAGGGCACAAATGCAAAATTTTTGTGTGTGTTGAATTTATAGTGTGTATTTCAAAATACTGTTCTGAATTTTCAAAGTAATATTTAATATTGAGCTGAAAGTCTGGATTAAGCCAGCCACTCAAATTGCTCCAAAAAAGCACTGCTTCATTTATGCCAATTTCTTGCACCTTAAATGTGAAGTTCTCAGGAACAGAGGACACTGAAAAAGATGATTAACATTCTTAGCATTGGGTACCAATTCTTCACAGACAATTTAAATTATTTCTTATAAAAATAAAATGTTTAAAAGTGATAAAATAATTACACTCATATTTGCAAATATATGGCAGTGGGATGTAGCAGAAGAAACCCATGAAGAAATACTCTGGAGCAGCTGGATTTCTCTGGAAAGCATAACAATCTGTTTCATTTTCTGGTATCATTGACAGAGGAGAGGTCTCAAATTTTCCAAGATATGGAGAGCCATCTGTCCATAAGAGATGTCCTTCATCCTGAAAGAATTATAATTTCCGTGATGCATTTTTAAAATCAGATGCTATATTAGTGAATTGCCTTCCGTAACATACCTGAGATACTATAAATATGTGTTTATGGTTTTTTTCTTGATGAGTAAGTTAAGAGGCAATTCAGTGAGGCGACCTATAACCCTCCGAACTCAGAGAATTACATGCATCTATGCAGGGAGAATGAGCACAGAGTCAACAGTCATCTTTGCAGTACCAAAGCTTCTGGAGAGCCAATTTCACGTAATGGTGGTGTTTCAGAGATGGATGGATGGATGAATGGATGGATGGACGGACACTGAGTCACTGCCTAATACACTGCATGTCAGTAGTGCCAGTTCCTGCAGGACACCCCCTGCACCTCAGCTCCTTCCCTGAGGTCACTCTTGTGACATTAGAGTAGCAGCCAGCATGGTCCTTTCTGTGCTGGCTGCAGGGGAAGGGGACAGGGATGGGAACGGGGAAGGGGAGGGGGAAGGGTATTCTGAGTGCAGCATTTCAGCCATTCTAAACATGTTCCAACCATCAAAATCATGCCAGGACACCTCGTTTTTCCAACCCTAACCCTACCCTGGTGCACACCCCTATCCCACACCCCTATCAAAAATCAGTCCATTGAAAGGGGCGATTTTGAAAAGGCCTTCCTTGAGTAGCTTTTTCTGCACAGCTCAACATTTCTGCCCATTCTAAACACATTCCAAGCATCAAAATCATGCCAGGACACATCATTTTTCTAATGCTAACCCAGTATTGGTGAACCTTTTAGTGACTGAGTGCCCAAACTACAACACAAGACCCACTTATTTATCACAAAGTGCCAACACTGCAATAAAACCTGAAAATAACCAGTCCAAGCAAATATATATATATTCCTGGCAGTGCACTGACCAGCCATGTGAATGCTCGGATGAGTCGTGGCTAATGTGTCATGGCTTGTGACATCATCGCCTGGCACCCTTACTCCTTTCTGAGCATGCACATGGCTCCTATGTGTTCTGTTATGCAATGCTTGGCTGCTTGCGCAATGCTGGGGTGACTTGGCTCACGTGCCGACAGAGAGGGCTCTGCATGCCTGCTGCGGCACGCATGCCATAGGCTGCAAACACATTAATTATTGGTAGCTCAAGTCCACTTTCCCTTCCAGACAAGTACCTTAATGTGATGCAGGAGTTTGAGAGTGTCAAGAAAGCCAAGAGTAATACTGCCAGGAGGTCAGACTCTCTCACTATCCTGGTCCCCTTGCAAGTTCACCCAAGATGGAATGGTCAAAGCTGAGACACCAGACAAAGACATATCCACACTCTTCAGGAGTAATGGTCACATTGCCAGAAGAGAATGGATATTTCTAATGGCATTGGCTGCAGAGAAACCCTTGAAGGGCTCTTGTTGGACAACAGTAGCTGGAGACAATACTGATAGAGGATCTTTCACAGACAGTGGGAGTTAAGTTCCAGCTAACTCTGGTTAGTATTGTCTCAGCATTTGATCATCATGATGTATAACCTGTGTTGTAGAAAAGAATCTATTGTTAGAACATTCATTCATAGGGTCACCATAAACTGGAAATGACTTGATGGGACATAACAACAAGAAGACAATCACTACTACAAAAACTCCACTAGGTTATCACTGTCATTTGTTTTCTAGCCAGTTTACACATACTGGTTCTTCTTTTAGCCTAGGTCTGGGATTCCTGCAAGTGTGCTTACTCAATATATAGTTCCTCACAGATTAAGATCTCGTGATGATGATCTATTGCTAAGATGTCATTCCTCAAGAGGACCTTCAACACTTTAAAAAGTATGTCTATGGAACTATTTGTCATTTGCAATTGATCTAGTCCAGGAATTTGCTTTTTCAAGCATGCTGATCAATCAATTATTTCTAGGCAAAAACATTTAAGCTGTTCATAGTTTGGGTATATTTATCCTCATGCTATACAAGATGCAGTTACAATTATGCTATTATTTTAAATTAAGGTGTTTAACTTTTTGGTGTAGTATTATACTTGCAAATTTCAAGATTATTTAAGAGCAGATAGATTTCTTATCTGAGATAACATTGCCCTTCCATTCCTGGAAACAAAGCATCATCATAGTGCCCCCCTCCCCCCACCCCAAAGACAATTCCTTCACTGTTCAAGGGCCAGCTCAGACAAGACAAGTTTCAAGGCAGCTATCCTGAATCTCCAAACTCAGAAGATTAGGTGCATCTTAGGCTGGGCAAAAGAAGTGCAGCAGAGGAGGTTGCCTCCAGGCTTCTCCCACCTTTCAAAGTACTTAGAAAGCCAATTTGAGTTGTCTAATTGTGATACTTTGGCACCAGTCTCCTCCTCTTCCCACCCATCCAAAAGGCTCACTAAGCACCTTCAGCAAGGTCATTCTTATGAGCATGAAGTAACAGCCAGGGTGATTCTTTCCATGCTGCCTGAAAATGGGAAGGGTTCTCTGAACATGGAGGTCCAGCTGTGAGATAGCTGCTTTCTGACATCAGAGCTGAGGCTCCAAAACTTCTTGTGACCTCTAGCTGCTATTTAGGCACCAGAGGGCCATTCTGTTGCTGCATTGTTTTTACTTTGCTCTACAAATGTGTCTGTGATTTAAGGCACTATTATGCCATTTTACAGACAGTAAATCCACAGCAGAAATTGGCTTGAACTCAGGTCTCCCCAGATACACGGTCACGTTTATAATGCAAGGTATAATATACTGACCTGAATGTCATTAAGACCTGTCCACAGCATGATTACTTGACTGAATGACTGCAGAAAAGAACTCAGAAATGCATGTTCTTCATGATTTCTTATATCAACAAGATGTGATCCAGTTGAAAATAATCCACATTTTTGTTGTGCCATATGCCAAGGCATGCTTTCTTTACTTATTTTATAACAGTTCTGCTTGAAAGCTGTCCATCCCTCAGAACATGAACCTACAATAGACACATAATCCCATGAATTCCAAAGTTATTTTTCAATGCACTTACAAGTGGCAAAATAAGTTCTTCATGGTTTATCATCATACAAATTAAAGATAGAATAATCTATCCTTCATAACTGCACTAAAACAAAAGCAATGATTTTAGTTCTACACAAGTCTCCTATGACATGGTCCTAAAGGTCTGCTTTAGACACAGTGTAATAATTAATATTGTTTTCACTGAGCAGTTTATAGATTATAGATCTATAGAATGCTTCATTTGTGGAGTAGTATAGAAATAAATTAATCAATTATCATTTATAATATTAATAATATGAACCATGAATACCATTATATGTATTAATGAGCTTCTTTAAATTATATGAGATAACTGTGAGGACACCTCTTGGACTATAGAAATGAAAGAAAAAATACATCTACATTTTACAAAAGCAAATCGTATTCTCATTAATGTTCCTTAACTTTTATGTAGCACAAAAACCAAAAACCTCAAAGTACAGTGGAAGGAATGGATATTCTTCTTCATTTCTTTGGCTTGATAAAGGTGAAATGAGCTATACCTGTCAAAGCAAAGGCTACAAGCCAGTGTTGTTACTTGTCCTTATCTCTGTTGAGAAAGGCTTGCAATGGCACTTTATGTTTCAGTATATTTAGAAAGGCTCATAAATATGCAGTGAACAGCTTACACTTTTTGATTTAATTATCTCTGACCCGTCTTATAGGAACTCAGAATAGTGTCTAAAGAAACATCCTCAAAAAGGCACTGGCTAGCGAGGTTCTAGTTACTCAGTTACTGGCACTCAGTCACAAAGCTCACCAAATGATTTTGGGCCAGTAACACACTCCCTGCCTAACCTACCTCACAGGGTTGTTGTGAGGTTAAAATGGACTATGCAAGAGAAGGATTATGTAAGTAGCCTTTGGTTCCTTGCCAGGAAAATGTGGAATATAACTATAATAAATATTAATAAATACATAAATAGCAAGAATGAGCAATTACAATATGTACCTGTTTCAATCTGAACATTCAAAATCTGAGACACATTAATAAATTCCAAATGAAGCTGCTTAAATTCAAGGGTAAATATGTGCAAAGTTGCAGGTGTCAGATTAGTCCATTCATAGATGGCTACATTATGTTCAAGCATCCGAGAAATGTTATTATATGAAATTTCAATGGAAAAATCATTAGCTGGTATGCTCCAGTTAAACAACACACTAGTGCTTGTAGCATGTGTTTTGACAACACTGTCTGCAATTCCATCTGCAAGAGACATAAAGGAACACCATATGTAAGCATATTTCATCAAATTAAGAGGAAAAAAACACTGAATTGGTTTCATGTGTAGTAGAACAGCAATGTATTGATGTGTGCCTGAGCAACACATATACTTGCAATGAAACAAACTAGAGTTCTGTGCTGAAATTATCTGATTCTAATGGCAAATAAGCATGTATAACTGGATCTAAGTAAGCATTGCGAGAATATGTACTCCATTTTGAAGTATACCCTCAACTATTTCCTAGGAGATGGTATGACAGTCCCCAGTTTGCACGGCTTTAAAAGAGGAGAGGACAGGGCAAATTCATGAAGGAGGTGGCTATCACTGACTAATAGTTCTGATAATTCTATGTCAGTATCAGTATGAGAGGCAATATAACTATGTACGCCCCTGCAACCATGCTCCGCTTCTGGGTTCCAGGGGGCAGCTGATTGCTGAACTAGATGGACTCTTGGTCTGAATGAGCACAGGTTTTCTTAAATTCTTAGGGCATGGTGCAAATACATTTTAAAAAATCACCAAAAAAGGAACTGAAACTGCATTGGGGCGCATGCAAATATTCATCACAATGTGGTTGTCTATTATAAAAGTATTGTTCTTTTCTATCAAATATTTTTCAAACCTGATGTATAAAGATGCTAAAAGCAGACATACATTGCTATACTTACATGTCTTGAATGCTTTTGCATATAGAACT